GTCTGTCGCACAATCCACTTTGTTTGGTCATTCATATTGGCAAAAATGGCCTATTTGGTCGTCTCACCTACTAGTCGCCCCTCTACCCATTAGTGGCGACTGTTCTACTCGGAAGAAAAAAAATAGCCTGTTTACGTAAAATGCAAGGGGAACGAAGGAGAAGTAAGAACTGTGCAAAACTGCACGAAATTCTTTGGAAAATTTAGTGGCATAGATGTAGGTTAATGGGGTCCTTTATCGTCAAATACATTCCCCAATCTCTTGTAAAAGATGATAGCTAACTCAAACAGACGGAAGCCGGTACCGACTAAAAAAACCACCAATCAGCACAAATTGTTATTCAACGTGATATTTCAGACCGAAACTGTTACTCACTGGCAAATGGATTAGCACCGCCCATGTTGCATTAGGAGCACTATGTCAGAATCGCCCGTGACACTTCTCAGGGTGTAACGTATCTTCGGTTTTCAGACAAGCACATTCGAAAAAACAATTTTACAAAAGATTTGAAGACTATCTTAGTTAAAGTGTCAATGATGGAATAAGTTGTACCAGTAGACTATGCTGTAAGTCAGAGAAAAGGTGAAGTTGTAGGTAATGGAGTGACCTTTGTATAGCGTTTAGATAGCAATAACGAATTAAAACGAATTTCCAAATGGCACTTAAAGCGGATTTCACTCCCATGTTGGTTTTTCTATAAAGGAATGCTAAAAATATTTTTTATTTGTTGGTATTTAAACCTTTTTAGTGTTCTTACATCTGAAGCCTAAAAATGGGTAGATTGTAAATCTACATTTGCAGAACTGAACAAGATGATTTCCAAAAATACCGCATATATTCAAAGCGATGTACTCATCCAATGAAGTGAACTTTATATTTATTAGCATAAATGTTCGCTAAAGCAATTGAAATACCTTTTTTATAGTATGGTAAAAGATATTTAGCAGGCTTACCATGAATAGAACTGGTACCAAAAAGCTAGAAACACGAAAAAGCCCAACGTTGGTGGACATTGTCTTTTCCCGACTTTTCACTATCAATATTTTCCCAACACCCTTCTTAATAACTTTATTTTAAAACCGAAATTGTGGAAGATTGTCATGATTTGTAATTTGGGACCTGCAGGAGTGAATGTCTTGCTAGATTATGTTAGCAGTTTGAAACGAAATGTGCGCTGTGCCCAAAGCCTTTACATGGATATTAAGGAAGCAATCTGAAGGGCAAGTCAACTGTGCATTTTTTTCACATAATGTAACACCCGCATTCCACGTGGCTGTAGAGCTTTGAACCACGCAGCCACTTTTTACAAGGCTATTAATAGCTTCCCTACTTTGATAGCACTGTATAGTCATTGGCTGCAGGGTCGAGGGATCGACCAATGGGCTACGAAGGACGCTACACCTGATTGCATGGGTCGAAGAAACACCCCTCCCTGATTTGTCGATGCTCCGTGGGCGGGTCAAAGGGTGGCACAAAAGCAATTGGCCGCGTTGTTCATTTTCGGGAGCCCTGGTCTGCGTGGTTACTTTTCGGCTAAGCCAAATTTCACGATAAATCTGTAAGTAACTTTTGATACCCTCTTTCTAAGTTAAAAAATTACAATGCCGCTGATTTAGCTCAGCAAAACTTGTTGTACAATTTCAGTTATGAAATATGATGTGCCTGTTTGATTTTTCCGAAACTTATTGTCTAAAACACGGTTTTTGTCATCTATAACTTGACCATAATACAAGGTCTGGGAAATGCTGACTTGACACGCTAAATTAAGTTGGATCTACGAGTGTTTTGGCTTCAATCTAGGCTGTTCAATTAGTGATTGGACCGAATGCCTCCAGTTCCATAGTACCAAGTCTAAATCAAACCATAAGGAAGACAGCTAGAAGAATCAAGATTGGATGGATAGTTTTCGGGCGTTGTAAAATATTCATTCAAATTTGTCCTGTAGTACTTTTATTCACCTGTAACTGTAAAAAAGGGGACAATTTCCTTTGCACGCAATATTTTTCTTAAGTATTGGATGAACTACACACATTATTCCTGTTCGAACTCGCAACTCAGAGGTTGTGGTGAGTAATAATTTCCGAGAAATTTCACAATCCAGATGATGAACAAGCACATCATGGTACTCAAACTTTCTCCACCAAAATATAGCGTTAGGTAGTGTAATATTTGTAGAAATTTTGCACTTTTATTTTTCCACTTTTATGATGAACAACAATTATGCTTGAGGCATTGTAAAGTAGCATTGCAATGCGTTTTAGAGTTTGATGTTTCTGGGATAAAGTAGTTTTGAGTGTGTTTTACCATGGGATTAATCACAGCAACTTGTAAATAAAAACCGAAAGAATACGAATTATGCTGTTACTTTAGCGGTTTTATCTGCAAGAGGCACATGTCTTGTAGCGTGACAGGCTTACAGCTAGCATAAATCACTTTTCTGTGCATTCATCACAGAGGTTCAAAAAGAGAAGGTAAAATGCCGGGTTTAGTATTTCCGAATTTTTTGAGAAACGCAATTTGATGCATTCACTTAACAGGCAAGGCTCACTTATTTTGCATCGACATAATATCAAATTTCCAAAAATAGCGAATCATTTCTAGTGGAACATTAACTTCCATTGACCTAGGTTATCATGCTAACTGAGTGACCTCTTATGGAAGTAAAAACTATTTCCCAAACTCAACTAATTTTCCTCAAATGGTTTTCGCTTTTAATGTCTTTTTGCTTTTTTATTGAAGGACTATTCTTTGCCAATAAAACCATGGTTAGTCTTTGTACGTGCCAGATTTTCTGATCGTAAAAAAATATCCAAAACTTGCAACGACAATTAATTTGTGAACAAGTTTAGTGGTCTCACATGATGACTTTTAACTTTTGCAAGCTCTAGTCACCTCCTTTTACTAAAAGTCGGAATTGCTTAAGCTTGGAACAGGGTCTGATTTATTGGCTCTGTGGTCGATGCTATTCAACTTTTTATCCTATTTTTGCCGTTAAGTATAATTTGAGGATGTCGAAAATTCTTATCGTGTTTAGTAATTTACAGAACTAAACTAGGGTTTAAATACTTTACTGAAAAAAGATAGTAATAGTAACACCTTCAAATGGAGGCGCAAAATTTGCTTTGAATTTTTCACCTTACAGAGCGATTATTTACTGATTTAGCTACAATCAAATTTTGGCAGATTATTGAAAGTTAAAGGTGTAGAATGTCATGTATCCTTAAGTATATTTTTACTTGTCATGTTTAGGAACTTTTTTCCGTTTGTCTCACAGCATTCCCTTCTTGATTTTGATGCACCGTAGCGGATGTTTAGGGTACCTTACTTACGGAACCGTTGTGAACATAAGCTCTATTTAAGTGAAGTTTGGCAAGACTGACAGCAAGCTGGCAGGGAGGCTTCACTTGTTAATCGTTGAAAACATTATTTTAAAATACCAACTTTTTCTCGATTCACTCTATTAGATGCAAAGTTTACTCCAGGCAGCGAGGTGCAATTAGTGTCACTTCATTTTCACGGGCTCTTTGTGCCTTGATTCGTGCCGAGTGCAAGTCTCTGACTTGGCTTCGATAAAAAAGATTTGAAATAACTTTTTACGGAGAAGGCTCTCCTTATTCGTACTTTTTGCCTTGGCAGCGTAAAAATTATTTTTAAATCGGCGCTTTGATTTGCAAGTCCTTGAAACAACGTACGACCAATATGCACAAAACCTAATATGTTTGACATGGTTACAAGCCATTTCATCCTCTTTCCTTGTCCAAGGTATTAACTACCTTCTACTTTCCTTCCCTACTCAAAATTCGGCCGCTTCATCATCGAGGTTGTGCCGTTGACCTTTAGTACACGTCACCCATTGAGACGGCCTGAATTGTCAACAGGCGCTGCAAGAACTTACCTTTATTTTTAGTCCTACAATGATGGACGTCCCTGTTGCTTTTCGTTACATTACTCTACTTATGCCATCAATGAAAGCACAAATATTTCGCATTCAGGTAATCATGAAAATAAGCATCTAAATCTAAAGGGATCATTTAAAACGCTGAAATGCGGAATCTGCATCAGCATATATAAACTCCTTTTTGTCAAAGATTGGGGTAATTGGCATTTGCTAAGATTATATTCTTTCTTAAAGGTCAATATTGGCATAGCAATTGTGTAAGGTAAACCATCCGCTTTATGGATATATAATGAGTAGTATCCGCTTGGTTTCATCTATTCTTGCAAATCCTTAACGACATCGCTAATGACCGGTTTGCGAGCTACTTAAACAAAGAAGTATGTGAACAGAAATGAAATGAAGTCCAACAACCACACGCTGATTTTCTAGCAATGTCCTCATGGAATAGTCAAGCTGCAACATTATTCTCTGCACTAAAATTTACCCACTGATGATCGAGAGGACCGCATTTGCAACACTCTCAGATTTGTGTAATGGTTTTAAAGTCGAACTGCAGCACTACCCCACAGACTTGATGCTTATAATATTAAAATATATAGTTTAAACAGCTTTTAAAGGCTTTAAGGGCGATTGTGCGCAATATTATGGCAATTAGGTTCCTGCAATTATCACAAAAATTATAGCTCTACCAGCAGTGCAGATAAACTCTCCAGAAATAAGACCCTGGAATGTGGCAAATCAGATAAATGCCAACTGCCTCTTTACTTAGCCACTGAGGCCCACGCCAGATGAATTTTATGGCAATATCAAATCTACAGCGCAAATGAAATCAATCCCCTGGCGTGCCAGCGTTTGTACCAATCATCTGTCAGCGTTGGGACGTTCGCATTTACGATTGGCCAAGTGCTCCCCGAGGTCGAGGAAGATGTGATGATATATGTCGGTGTAAATACGCCGGAGATAGCAGAAGAGCTCTTTCTCGAAGCAAAGGGCGCGGGCAAAAAATTTTGACTTTTCTCCCTAATTTTTACCCTCCACGGGGACCATTTTTGACCAACTAAACAAATATACATTTCTCCTTACTCTCTTTTACTCCAACATTATGCTTGCTACCGTTGATATTACTGTTAAGGCACCCGATATGTTCACGGCTTCAAGACACGTTCAACGCTTGGCAGGCAACTTTTTGGACGACGTGGATGACTTTCAAAGAGCCTCACGGGCTGCCGATCGTCGCGCCATGAGTCACTTCGATGAGGCCGTAAGTCACCCCTAGTAACGCGCTCAGTAAATATAATCATCACCTTTGTGCTGCGTGGGTTATTCTAAACTATAAATGTCTTGAGTAATTACAAGTGAATTATTTGAACAAATGTAGTTTAAGATCAAAATGTAGCTTTCTGTTGGGGCAAAATGCTATCATTTTCTTGATAGCTTAAAAAGCAAAATACATTAGCTATGGCGGCGCTGCTAAAATAAATTAATATCCGGATCAGTCAATAAAAATTGTCAAGTGAAATTCGGAAGGTAAGTTCGCAAAAAACCTGTTCGTCGGTTGTGGATGTTCCTGAACAGCCGTCAGATTTGAAGAGTGTCTAAAGGGATTTCCGATTTCATGGCGTGGCACCTGCAGTCCGGCCAAACTCACCTCATGCGCCCACGACGCAGCATCTCAATTTCGCGAATAACCACCCGTCCGTCAAACTACTACCACGTGGAGGGACCGCGAGTGCGTGCGACTAGCGCGGAGCCACGCTACACCACCTACACTTCGGGGGTGCGTCCAGTGACAGTGGTGGGCTCGCGCTACCATCACTACTCGCCCTACTACTATTACCGCTACTACCCGCGCTACTATGTCCACGACACATACTACCCTAGCACTGCCACATATTACAACGACTACCCGTTCTACTCTACATCGGCGTGTAAGTACTGGCCTTACACCTCGAAAGCGCACTACAGCCACTACCTGCCCTCTACGACTTACTACACTCGTAGCAACGGCTCAGTATATGACTACACTCTGCCTACCTCTGGCTTGCGTGCTTCAGTCCCCTCCTGGGTACATGCACTTGTATTCTTTCTACTCATAGTTATATGTTCACTTTTTGCCCTGTTATTTTTTAATCCTACGCCCTCACTCCAACCTTATGCTCACGCATGAGTGTGATGGAGTATGTGTGATTGAAAAGAAGTCGTATTATTATCAAAGGCCGTTATTCAGCTTTTTTCGAGATTTGTATGAGACATAGGACTTCGGAACTGTCTTAAAGCCATTTAAGACATTCTTAAATGCGAAGTTTAAAACGATAGGTTGTGCCTTTAATTTTATCCTTCTGATATAGCATGGCAGAACGAGTTCATGCACACGGACTTGTTGCTAAGGCACTCTGCGAAATTTTGTGGTGATGTTTGCACAAAGGGTCTGGCCTACGTTGGATCCATATTCCGTTGGCTAAATGGTATTTCTTTTGTCCCCTTGATTGTAGGACATTGGCTATAGACCTCTGTCGCTGAGCCGTTGGTACTCATATAGCGATTTAGTAAGTAAATGGTTTGGATATGCACCTAAATGGCAGCATTCCGCGAGCATGAATAGCGATGCTTTTAGTCAGCGGTTGCGATTTTTATGACCCCACTTACGAAGTGCATTATTTTGATTTGAATGTGCTTGACTTTCACTCCTTCACTCAGTGTTTCCACGTTTTTTTGGTGACTATTTTGTTTTGGATGTTATTTACCTAGTCGTTTGTTGGCGTTTGGCATCATGCATCCCTATGTTTTCACTTATTATGTACACCCGCATACATAGCTACTTCATCTGTACACTATCCCCATGTACAAATCCCTCTTACTGAATTTAATAAATTCCTTGCCGAACCGTTCTTAATCAACATTGCCGGGGTGAGGTTCTCTCTAGAAGAGCACAAACCACGCTGCCATAGCAATCGTACTTCGACAGCCGCCTAACCAAAATGATAAGTTAACAGGACACTTTTTGTCAGTTCGAAGTCCACTTATGACTAAATAATCTGCAGGTCGACCCTCTGGTGGTGTATCCATCAAGCATTTCACCGCCTCCGGTGCAGATTTACGATTACCCGCGGCATCCCGTCCACAGAATGCGTTTCGGCTCTGTACCACCTGTTTCCCCCGCAGCGGCCGCTCAATACCGCCGCGCTGGAAGTGTGACCCGCGTTCCGCCACCGCCTATCAGATACGTCACGCAGTACTACTCCGATCTCACGGGGCCAACCCCCATCAATACGAAATACGTAAAACGTTCTACGTGACTTCTTTTAATCACTGATACCTTTTGGCCTTAAGTATCTTTAGAAATCTACAAATTATATAAATGTAGTCTCAATTAATGGGTTAGTTTCAAATCAACTATAAACTCACATGCACTGTGAAAACTTGTGTACACTGTGTTATTTCAATCACGCCTACGTCAAATCATGTTCCAGTAGCAATTTCGTTTATAATCTCTTAATACCTCGAATGCAGTGGGGACAAAATACACGTATACCTAGTCTGCCAAAAACTCTTGTCTTGTTGTCTTAACTGGGATGGGGAGTGATCAGGAGTTATTGCCTTTATTCATGTGCTTCTACGTAAACACTACAGCCTACTGAAGAAAGAAGGTTTGGGTCACTTGATCTCTGAAATAGCATAGGCCACACAGTGCTAGAAGCGGCTATAATTCCAGATATCTTATTGTTCTGGCGACCAAATGCAGATTATTTTTTACTATTAAAGGCAAAGCTTATTCTCCAACATTTATTAATTCAGTCAGAAATAACATGGAGCATCCCTTTAAAAACCTATAACTCTTTCCTGTCTAACCATGGCTTCTGAAGCTTTAGCTACCGCTTGCCGCTTGATAGCAAACTACATTGAAAATGAAGAAGAGTTTTCTCCTAAATTCACGGAAGTTACCACCTTGGTGTGATATTTGCTGTGTCATTTCCTTTTGGATCACTTGTTTTTATTTGAAATCCTTTGTTGCCTCAGTAGGAAACAGAAAGGATAGTTTAGAAGGCGTTAAAAGGCACACAAAAACCTTCACGTCGGAATCAATAGCATCTTTAAAACGGCAGCAAAGGGACACAAAAATATTCTAAGAGAATTTTGAACGCTGCTGTTTTAAGATGATGAAAGGCCATGATGTTTTGTTCTATTTTAGGTCTATCACAGTCCAGCTAGTCTACTTCCTAGACCCGGCTACAGGTCACGTTTCTACCGCATTCCAAACGGACCTAGCAGTTTATTGGACAGGACAATCACTGCGGAGGTGATGGCTGAAAGACGACGCATTGACGTGAGCTTAGCCATCTCCTTTTTCACAAACGTTGGTTATGAATCGATGAGCGCCAAGATTAGGCATCTTTTAGCAGTAACACCATTCTCTCCTCATCACTCATTTAAAACGTGAGAAAATTTGAAGAATCACATTTTTTGATTAGGACGAAAAATTGTTCTCCCACACTTCCGCAATCCCACGCGCATGAACTGCAACCATAAAGTGGGGAGGCGAGCTGTACAGCAGACAGATGAACAATATTCTCACATATATATAAGCAAAATTTCCAACACCAAATTCTCGGCCACTTGTCAGATGACGATTTTCTTAATTTCCAAATAATGTTAATTGGGAAGCTTAGACAATGGAAGTTGCCTGATACATGTAAAATCTCAATATTAGCCAACGCAATTAAATAGCGAGGCATTGAGGTTGCAATAAATTTAAGGTCAGGCACATTGGTTCAAAAAGCCAGTTTAACCCTTTATATTAATAAAATTAGTTGAAGTATTTGTCATTTACCTTATACCATTTTTACATCGGGCATTACTTTTATAACAGCGTAAAATGGATGATCTTCTGACCTACAAGCTTCCAGATGCATCGATTTACGACAGTTTGAAATCAAGTCTTCGCAAAGTACATGACAAAATGGATGTGCATCGTTCGTTGCTCGACCGATACTCAGCAATTGACATGAAAGACGGTCCCTCCTCTGTGGAAGAACGAGTTGCCTCAAAGTGCCGCGAGCTAGGAGAGCGCATGGCCAGATGAAGGAGTCAACAAGTGCAATTTATGCCCCTTGACTTAACTAATCTTTATTGAACCGTCTATCTCTATAGTCACTTACCTTGTTTAACCCTCCGCGCCTCAACCAGTGAAATATACTTAGGCTTGTGGCATGCTGCATGCTTTTGAAAATTGTCCGCCTTAAGTGCCTTTATTTCTTTATCGAAATCACGTTGGGCCTCCTTCATATGGTCATGCCTAGCTCCCCTATGAACGTTTCGTTTTCCTTCTATTCGCCCACCCCCACCTCCCCTTCGTTAGTGTGCTTCCTTTAATATTGCAAATGAAAGTGCCTTGGGTAATTGGTCATGTAGTTTATCCTGAACGTTGGGTGTTATGAAACATTTTCTGCCTACTGCATCGCTGTGATTTTAGCCACAACTTTTGTATGCACCAGGGGTCATATTCAGATGTCAACTTTATTTTTTCAACTTTCAGCTCGATTCAAGCCCACTGGTAAGTCGCATTGCTCTGTTTCGCATACTTCTCCTTTTTTATTTCACCACGTTATTTTTAATTGAACATTTCATTACCACTAGAACCTTCTTAGGACAACCAGCATCTCCTAAGCACCCCTTATCCAATTTTCCCCGCATTGTTATCTCAACCAGTAAGATGTTGTAATCACTTAACTGGGGTATTATGGAGTCACTCATAGTGGTCCACTCTGGTGGATACATATAAAAGAATCACATTACAAAGTATGTGGATCCAAAACACCTAGTCATACTTAATTCCTAAATACATTTCAAAAACTAGGAAATGAGGATGCAGGACGCAGTGACCAACGTTCCAATTGAGAGGATTCCGCGCGCCCGTGGTCCTGACTTAAAAACTACACCACTAGAGACCGAAATATACTACCGTCATCCTCAAACCACCACGGTGACTGCTAGTGCTAATCGGGCGTAGATAGAGGCCCGGGAGATTGCATGTGTGACATCATGGAAGTGTCTATATTTGCATGCTGACTACTGGAAGTAATCTGTACAGCTTTTGCCTCTCATCTTCTAACAATCTTCAATATGGGCACGCCTTAACACTGCGCTGACTGTATCATTAACATCTTGTATTACAGGGCTACCGGTACTACCGATACTACTAGTAGGCTGAAACACAACACGTGAGTAACAAGCCAACCACACTAGCACCTTACCAACGCCACCATGGCTTGTATTAAGGGAAATCTGTTGCAGGCGGCTACAATTATTTGCTTTGTTATTCGCTAGTTTTAGCAGTTTTAATGCTGCCTCCCATTGCTAACGTTTACCTGCTGCTGTGCAACGTTTGCTGAGTTACTATGCATTGTCAGTGCAGTTCAAAGATTCTAGGATATGGTTGAGCTTATTTTCAGAGGAGCTCTACCGATTACCATTTTGACTGTCACCAGGAATGTCATTCTGCTTTTTAAAGCTTACACGGGTTAAGATACACCGCTAATACCCAACGAATTTCTACATCAGTACTCATTTGCGCGCTGCATGCTTATGATTGATGAACCAACGACTAAATGCCTAACCGTTGCAAACTTACCTGTGCACAGCCTTACGATCGTGTACTCTAGAAGGTGACATATTTCCATCTTTTTTGTTTTAAGGGCTATGGACCACCTCTAGTTCAACCAACTGGCAGTTCAACAGCCGAGCTTCGTGGTCGTATTCGTCGTCTCATCTGCCGTTCGCGTAGAAACCCGCATCATTTTCGTTATCTCCCATCTTCCTACCCCTCTGCTTGATTGTGAGCACCGAAATTCCTTGCCCAAACGGACCCACTTGCCCTATTTTTCTGCCCTTACAGATATAAAAAAAGAACTTGTTTCCGTTTTTGCGTTACCCTTAATTTTGCCTATCCCTTGCGTCTAGACAGTTATTTATCAATGCTTATATATGCTGCTACTGGTGGTAGCAGAGACGTTCAACTTATAGATTGTGCTCTAATCTTATATTCACTAGTACTAAAAAAATGAGATTTTCTGCCCTAGAAGTCTATATGAAACTTGAAGAAGAGACTTGCTTGTTATGACTAGTCCTTACTCAATAAACCTTACGATATTTTCTTTTCGCGTTTTGTGATAAGTAGTGTTTTGGAGAGTGGAATTACTGTTTCATGAGGATTCTACACAACAACGAAGCAGCTTCGACCCTCCTTTATTCGCTGTTTTAACATCGCATTCATTTAACCGACATATGAGAGTGGCAATTGATAAGAAAGACTACGTTTTCAAAGTTTGTATTATTAATTTTTGGTAAAAAACGCCGCAAAGGAAGGTAGCTTGTCTTGACGAAGATGGTAGACGTGCTAATATCCTAAACAAACCAAATATTGTCATCCCACGTAACACAATTACTTCTGGTAATTTAAATCACTGTGTCTACTGAAGTTTGATCAAACTGATAGCGCTAATAAATAGTACAAAAGCCTCGTAAAGTTTCGCTGTATTTTCTTAGATTCTATTCATTGAAATACTGTTTGGTTCGATACAATAAAATATGGATGAAAATGTGTACATGTGCATCAAAAATGCTCAAAAGACAAATCAAATAATGCGTAATGCATATAATGCTGGAAGCCTTGGTTCTGACCAAACCATCTGCTTGAGGTGCCTATCTACCCATCCCATTCGTAAGCTTGCCTTAAAATGTGGTAGAATCGTTTCTACGGCCAATCCCGTTTTCAACTATCTTAATGCTATGTTTAATTCTGAAAATCCAAGCTGTTACAATCCAAAGATTTAAACGAAGGACTAGGGGCACAATTCCTTGCTGACAGATTGAAGGACTTTTATAAACATACCTACATGTATTTTGTCGCCAAAATGCTGATTGTTCCCCACCCATTTTGAATGTGTCCATAAATGTATTAACACAAGTTGACAAGCATTTATTTTTGTCGTCCAAGTTCAAAAAGTCCACAATTTTAAAGCCGAAAGAAGAAACCACATTTGAAGTGCATGTTTTGAAAATATGTACGCGATCATTGGCATAGGCTTAGGTAATAAACTTCCACTATATTTACAACTGTATATTTGCAGCAAGATGTTAAGAACTTGTTTTCTGTTTACTTCTCTAAGGAGGAATGCAGCTCGGTGCAGTGCACTTTGGTGACTTAAGTACTATGACCATCAAAACTGTCCAAACAACTAGTTTAAATAAACTCAAGAATTCACCTTCCAAGGCGTCTACGCAAAATGGATCTCACCTATAAGGGGCCTCAATAAGTTCCTCTAAAACCCTTTTACCATAATACATATTGCTCATTTTAGTTCATCTTTATTGCGTGACTTTAAGGTCACATATTAGGTAGTACTCAAAAGGTAAGTAAATGGTGGTTCTTGGTGCAACTGGCGGAATTTAATTGGATGAAATAAAACGCTCACCTCTACTTGACAATTTTTATTATGGAAATAAGATACACTTTAAGTCGTACTGATTTGGCATTTGTTTTGGTGGTCATTTCACGACACGAACCGATTAGCCTCCATGAGTCCTCCCTCCATCTTGCGGCATAACATTTCGGCCCTGTCTATAGCCTAACGGCTATTCCGCTGTTTTGGTGCGCTACATTGCGGCCTTGGGGTGACTGGGGGGGACACTACAAACCTGTTATTACTTCTACGTCTATTATTGTTGGCTTAATTAATCGCACAGTTGCTAAAGCTCTGGTAGTAGTAAACTGTCCTCTCTCAATGTTAAAAGAGCCTAGAGACAATAATTTGAGTCAAAGTTGGGAACACAACAGCTAAAGGAATGAAAACTGATGTTAAAGTTTTTTCTTTCGGAGAAAATGTACTTTAATTGCGCCTAGGAGTTGCTTGGACGCACTTTTGGGGCGGATAACAGGCTAGGGGTCATTGAAAATCTTTAGCGTACTTTGTTGTGTGTCGTAAGACGTATGTTGTGGATCTAAATGGTCAAATTATCTCCATACTTCCACTGGCTCGCATAGCTTTGTAGCAATGCAGCAATATAGCATTTTCATGCTTAGTTCAATGCTTCTGACGGTGACTACCAGTGCCTTAATATGATCCAGTATCTCATTCGCATGGGCTGCTTGATGAATGGAATTGCAAACACCACAACTGGGAAATGCAAGTTGTAAAGGACAATTCGAGGCCCGGGATAACGGTGCAGTTAAATGTAGCACCCGATTAGTCTATCAGAAGTTCGAACGTTATTCGTGATGCGGCAAAACTTTCCAATAATCGTCGTGGACGAAGTTCATTTGTGGGTAAAATTAAAACCTGAGAGTTCATGCTTAATTGGGAAACGGGATTCACAGTTGCAAACTAAGAATTCAGAATTTTGATTTTCATGAGGTCATATGTTGAAGTTTGCTTAGCATTCCGAAATACTGGCCGGAATCATCGGACAATGACCGCGTGGTCAGAACTTGTATATTTTATAGCCATATATAGAACACCGATATTGCTCAAAATTAGTAACCACTAAAAAAATGTCCTGAAATAGTGACTTAACTGCAGCCATGGGGTGGATTCAGGAAGAATTTACCATGATTCAGAGATGCCTTAAAATTTGAGGTGTTAAAAATATCTTTAACCGGAGGTGCCCAAATAATTCAGATGAAATGGTAGGCGACTTTATATCAGGGAGCAGAATAATGTGATCAGTAATAAAATCCACCAAACAATTCGCAATTATTTTTAACTAGTTAACAAAAGTGCCTCATTTTCTTACTTGGATTCCAGAGATAGAAATGATACTTAGGTGGAATGCACAAGGTTTTTGTGAGGAAGTTTGACTTCTTTTGTGGAGGAAACCCGGCAGTTTAACTTCATAAAGATGTTCATTGCAAGCTGCGTACCCACTGCGGGTTCAACTCCACCTTCGGTGCATTCAAAAGGCCAGCGGTTTCAGGTAGTAATTCGTTTCACGATCACGTGTCAAAGATCAATGAACACAGAGGGAGGCGGCATTTTCAAGCATGATGTTATAGGAGATGCGACAATTATGGAACCTACACGGAGTTTTTCTAGAACTGGTCGATCATCCTCCATTTCAGACTACGCCGATAATGAGTCAAAGATCATTGAACAGACATTTTTGTGTCCTCTTGATAACAGGAATTTAAGTCAAAGGGTTCATTGCATCGAAATTCCCAAAATTCGACCACGAAAGTGCCTTAGCCCTGATACTAATCAGTCGGGGAATGCTGTATCTCTTGTACTGCCTTGCATACCTGAGCCACAAAAGCGTTCAAGGCGAACCCATTTTTTATCCACTACTTTGCTTGAAAATACAAATGATAACCAAAAAGTCTACTATCCCCATGCCCGAGCGGATTCTATGCTCGAGTCACCAGTAGGAGGAAATAACACGACCGTTCATAAGACGTCCTCATCCAAAAGGAGACCTCTGTACCTTCCACTGCCTCGCAGAATGTCATGCAAGTACCCTGGGGATTCCAATCAGGTGAATCGACGGGGAAAGCCTATGTGGAACATGTCTTCGAGAGTCGATATCAGACCTCGCTCTGTGAGTAGTGTCTCTCCATCCCCTGTAAGATCGGTGCGGTCGACATCAATACCGACAAAATTGATTCCCTTAGAGGTGAGTGAGCGCAAAGCCAGTAAAATAGATGAGCCTGATTGACCTTTTCAATTAAATGCCGGATCTGTCTTAAGGATTTAGGAAAATTTCTCAAGTTTTATTGAGTTTGAGTTCTATTGAAAAGATATTGCAGCCTGACTTGAGTTTAGTTTTCATTTTCTGGATATTAATTAGAACTTATAATCCATTTTTTAGCATTCTAAATCAAAATTGACGCCAATCAAAAGAGAATCGGTGTTTGACAGACTTTATAGAGAGGGCGGTCGACAGAAAAACTCAATGCGGATAGAAGCAGTAGAAAATCCTATTAAAAACCACTGGGAACACAGGTTGCTCTCACCTCCACAGTCGTTTTTACACACTACGCGATCAAACCTGACCTATTCACTACCCAAGAAACGCCCATTAGATGCGCATAGTATTATGGTCTCTCCAGTACACCCTCCTCATCCCGTAGGAATACCACCTCCTTCTCTTAGTAAGTCTCATATTGAATGGCGGTCTGCTTCGCCACAGCCGCGGCCGCGTACAGAGAGTGCGGCGTCCGCTTCGGCCTTCTTCACACTAATGATAAGAAGAAGCAGGGAAGAGTCGGAAAAGGTACCTATTACCGTAAATAAAATACAACAGCCTCTTACTTGTAGAGAAGACGCGAAAGAATGGGACAATATTAGCGCTAAACCATGCCAGTTAGATGATAAAGATACCATAAATGAAAGTCTGAATGAGCTGATTTTGCAGTTGATTGAAGAGCAGCCAAGCGCACCTATCAATGCCTTTGTGAGCGAGAACGTGGTTTCCTGGAAATCTCTTACGGCCTTGTTTGCTGAAGAAACTCATACTTCAGCAAATATTAAACAAGTGCAGGGATTAATTGATAAACTTCTACCCGATTACACAAGCAAGTGGGAAGAACATAGCGAGCCTCATGCAAAATCGACAGAAGTATATCGTTCAATGAAACCGATGCATCAAAAACTCCCGTATAAAGAATTTGAGTCGGTCGTAATATTCGATCCGGCTTGCGCAAATGCCATTCTCAGAGAACACGATACCGATTATTCCTCCTCTCCAAATCTCACGACAGTGGCTGATAAAGTGATCGACTCTGCTTGCCAGGAGGTCTCCTCACATTCCGACCTACAACTCACCTCTTCTCCATCACCTCATAAAATTAATACCAATAGTATAAATAGGCCTGTTAAAGGCGATCGCTATGATAAGGAAGCCCATGCATCTACTCCCCAACCAAAGCAGGAAGAGGTCTCAGTAACCATGATGGACAGCGGAAATGGACTTAAACAAGGCCAAGATAGTGGTTCGAAATCAAACCGCCTAGACTGCATGGAAAATAAAATAATTGTGGCTAACGCAACGTTAATGAGGTCGTGCATAGAAGTGATTGAGCCTTATGGAGAAAATAGTCGGTTAATGGATTCCACTGATCTATTGGCAATTCCTCCTCTATCAAACAATTCCTCAACAGAACGAAGAAGCGAAAGCGGAGAACAAGATTCTTTCATCGATGAATCACTCGTTTCACTAAATAGTGCTAGTGAGTATTTTTTTCAAGAGTATGTCGAACTTTTGAAACCAAATAAGGCTCAAACGAATGAGCTCGTGGATAGGGAGGAGGATGGGAAGACACAACGAAGATTAATTGAAAATCATGCGCCAGCCACGGAATGTCTTGATCAATTGAGTGTACATCAACTACTGTATCAAAGAGAAGTGGAGAATTCTGAGTTTTCAATGTCTAAGGTAGAGGTTTCTCAAGACCGTTGTTTCGAACAGGCTACTCTTAATAAATCAAATTTTGCGTGTCTATCTACTGATCTCGAAAGCTACGAAACTGAGAAAGTGTGCAAAGTCAAAGGATCACTAAATCTTTCAGGATCTACTTTTGCCTCAAAAGTGACCAATGAAGAAAGACAGTGGTTAAAAGCTGCATCTAGTAGCAGTTCATTCATAGCAGCAGATGTGAAGCTAATCGTTACACCAAAGGTAACCGTTTATACTTTATAGTTAGGCTCTGCAGAAACCCTTTGACAGAAAGCTTTTATCTTAAATAACTTTGCAGGATTTACATGACATCCATTAACCAGAATCACTTTGCACTAACTTCATAAGGACTAAATGGCAAAATTACCGGGGCAAACACAAGTTGAGTGCAAAAGAAGGAAATGGAGGGAAAGATTCCCTACTAATTAACGTGTATTTGACCTTTTACGACCATTTTGATCGCTAGGATGGCTACCTTTATGATGTTGAGGTGTATGCAACCATTCCAACTAACCTAACTATGGTATCTCCGGTTAAAGTATGTTGGTGGTTGCAAGTAAATTGACGATGAAGAATGCTCTTGCCAGAAAAAGGGGTAAACAAATACTCCATCTAGTATATTAGATCTGAAATTGTTGGTACCTACTTAGCCCGATCATAATGCAAGCTGAGCACATGATCTCCTATAGTCTTTACTGTTTATACGCGCCAAATGCATTCATCGAATTTTTTCACGCCTCCAATTAAATGGCATAGTTGGATTTGCATTTTCACATCTTTATCACTTTCCCGAATCGACTTACACAAAATTTTTTTAAGAGAAGAAAATTTCTGCTGTATGCCAGCTTCATTAAAGTGCTACACGAAGCCTATCACTTACGCCTTGAAATCAATCCAGATTGTGCTATTTATGCTTGATTTTTCTGTTCATCTCTTCATTGTTTTGCAATAACACTGTAATGAAGGCGATAAACAGTGATTTTAACACATTATAGCTCATTTAAAAAAAAATGCTAGTCAACCTCATTAATTGGCAGCGAAATTATTAAACCGCAGATTTTCGGCAATTCTCAAAGGTTGCATTTCGATTCTCTAGATGAAGAAATCTAGTCAAGCTTTGGTTACAAATAACAATTCTTTATATGAAGGGCATTTTGCTTACGCCCTTCTTAGAACAATGCCTGCGCTTCTCATCGTGAATACACAAAGATGCCATTTCACGATTTCGTTGCACCGAAGTTTTCAATGACTAGATTAAATGTAAACGAAAAGTGGTACAATCACACACTTCACGGAAACAACATCATACAACCGATGCTAGCCTGATAGGCATGGAGTCCTTCCATTTGAAGTTCTTCTGTATTTATCTTTTGCTCATGCCATCATTTATATGTTTCTAGTAAAGGTACGTAGTAATCTAAATGCAAAATTTGGCGCTGAAAACCAAACTTAGAAGGAGACGAAATGCAGTGTACTCAAACTATTTAAGTATTTTTTTTTCATTTTGCGGTACTAATAATGTTTTGAAGACACCTACGTGGCACATAAATCCGATAAGTCTCCACAGAACTCAGTTTTGAAATTTTTATAATGAAAAATTTTCAGAGCTTTTGTTTTTAGTGGATATTTCATTCCTTTTTGAAATCTCCCAACTGCAACTGTGACCTTTAACATTTTGACAGTGTGACAAGTTGAATACACAAGTCAGATGTCTACATTCACGACTCGGTAAAGTCGACAGTATTACTGCGAATACCTCTATACCTTGCAGAAAGCACTTAAGCTGTAGATCGTACAAGCTGTATACAAATATGATAAAGTTGCTGTGAAATATGATTTTTAGAAGTGGCTATGGCTAAAGTTTACCAACAAAAGCTATGCAAGCTGTGCATATAAGTAGGATGATGGAACATTTCCTTCAATCTTTCTTTCAGGGTAAAAAGACTGAATTCTCCCAATCATCTCTTCACCCCTTATCACTTGGAACCAATCTATCGGCTCAACAAGGAAGCTACAAGATTTTTCAAGGTATGGATAATTTTTGCTTTGACATTGTCTCTGCAGTCTCATCGCTGACTGGAAGCGAATCCTCCAAACAGGAACTACTAATATTACCGGATTATGGTCCTTGCAAGCACCAAATAGCAGAAACTCGTAGGTTATAAAATTACTTTCCCTGATGCATCCACTTAGCAGATTACGTTTTCCGAAGAGCTACTCCTGAAGAGACAGCAAAAGAGGTTGCACGGTTCAGAGAGGTTCTCTCAAAGTTGAATGCTCGATTTAAAAACGCTGGGATAACCACTAAGAACTTGGCTCGGGAGCTAAAACTGAGCTACCGAGGGATCATTCTAGCCATACGATCTCGTCTTAGCTCGAAGAAGGAGATCATATGTCAGAATTCCACAAAAGCTCTGGGCGCTACCCTTATGCAGTGTGTGGAACAGTTCGTGCATATAGTGGACAATCAAGTTTTGCGTCACAATTGGCTGGAGGCCTGGGATAGGGGCTGTCTACTACGACTCAAGGCGGACTTTATACGCTACCTTTATGAAACCTTTCCAGCTAATTTGACTTACCAGCTAAAGTGTCGGGAGGCCTACAAAAGCGCGCGGCTATTCTTTCTGGAAAACGGCTTGCAAGATAAGGCCGAATGGGTCTATCTCCAAATGAACTATGCCACTTTCCTGTACATGTTAGGTGAGAGAAGCACTGCTCAATTTATAAATGAAAGACTGATCAACTCCCTGGTTGTTCGTCGATGTGGAAAGGATATTAAGGCAAAGCTGCAGTTGAATCTTCAGTTTTACAGCAAACCCTAGTAGTGAGTTATACCCATCCATGTATTGAGATCTTTTATTAAATCAAAGCAATCAAAGTTGTTTTCCAGTGTCGTTTTTACCAGAAACAACTGAATACAGTTACCATTAAACTTTTACTTTGGCTAACCAAATGCTGGAATTTTTTGTTTACCATGAAGGAAAGGCTTTATAAGTTTCCACTTTCGGCATTCATTCCTCAATAAATTCTGGGTGTTTGTTCTCATTGAATTCATTGAAAATAAATATTAATAACTGATTCGGACTTTTTTCTACTAAAGGAGCAATTAACCCCTAAATAGCTCAAAGCATTTTTTACGTAAAAAATCGTATCCCATAGCCTTCATGAGAAGCTGAGAATAGAACTACTTTTTTGCCTGTTCGGTCCATGTTGTGCAATCAACGGTTTGCCAAGGATGGCCACATAGCCTGCAAAGACGTGTGGATTCAGATGAGACGCGTTGTGGAACACACGCCATATGTGCACACTCCTTTCCCGGGTGTGGTGAATTCAAAGATCCGTCCCTTGTAGGCCACACGGTCAACTGTTGCACCGTTATAAGACAAGTTAGGGAGTGCGGTCGAAAGGTCGACATCAGGTGAATCACTGAATGAATCAGCAGTAGATTTAATGAGTCCCGCAAACCCTAACGCCTAGTTTATTTCGTTGCGCTCAATGTCCTCTTTTACAATACTTTCCACTGAGCTTTCGAAAGTAATATTTCAGTAGCTTGATGGTGTGGTCAGCTTAATGGGAGGTTAGTGAAGAAAGATTTCGTGAGCTTTTGTGGTGATTGATGTTGTGAATATTAAGTCGGTTTTACTTAAAATCGCCAAACACGAAATGCATAAATATTCATGACCTGAAGGCAAATTCAATTAAATAAGGAAAAAACAGGTAATAGAATATTCCACACGGTAGCTAAATATTCGTGAGGCTTGACTTTAATATGTCCGAACAGTATTAGCATTTCCACCCGGCTTAAGAGTCTTGAAGCACATTCCCAAGCAGTATGCCAAATTTGGCAAAATTCCAAAGCCTATGTCGAATAACTGTAAATTTGGGTAATTTAGAGGTCACCAGTTGCTTAACATTACGTCTCAATGAAGAAAAAGAGCAAAATTCGGTAAAATAATAAACCTAAGATGTCACAATTTGCACTTCAAAATTTGTTTCAGACCATAAATTGCAATTGCGTGGCAAAAACCGACTTACCGACTTACTGGAAGTTTATTTCAAACCGGTAAAGTGTAAAAAGCAGTCCGTGTGTGCTGAAATAATGACACTGATGATGACGATGATGGTGGCAGTGGTAGTGTAGTTTATGCCCTGATCAAAGACTGCATTACGGGCACTGCTGGAAATTTTGCATTGAATTGGTAAGTGAGTCTACATGAGAATGATTTCCTGAACTAAAAATGAAAGTGATATGCAAAGAAATCTAGAAGCCATACTTCGATTAATAGGTATGTGATGTACCAGTGATAAGTAGGTGCTAGCAAAATGTGCTAGAATATAGCAGCGGCACAGGCACCGAATTTTTGCCATTCCTCACTTACTGCTAAAACACCTTTAACAAAATCATATGCTAATCAAGGCAACTCATAAAACACCTTGTTACACGAACACTATGCAAAACCAGATTACAATGTTTAAAAGGATAGCGACCTCATTAATCTATGGAACTCAGAGAAGCAGTGCCCCAAAAGACTCATAAATATTATGTAGCGTCCCAAGACTCCCTAAAGACGAAAGAAGACGCAATACTCGGGCAAGCTTTATTATTCAGCAGAGAGAAGGTGCCTGAGCTACTGGAATAGCCCAAAGGCCAGCCCACCCAGCGAGGTGCAAGAAGGCTAATTAGACGTACAAAAGTAACTCCTCTCCAATCCTGAGGGATAAACCACCATCGTATTACAATTATGCTTAAGTGTTTTAGTTTGCGACTGCAAAATGCTACGGGTGGTCATTGATAATGATTTTTACATCACATAGGATCAATTTAGTTGCACAGATCTCATAAAAGGCTGCTATCCACTATTTGAGTATGTCCCTGTGTTCTATCGATACAAAATATAATTCATAGCCTTAAGCTTGGTGGAAACCACATCTGAGAACTCGTAATAATAGTGTAATACGATGGTGGTTTACCCCTCAGGATTGGAGAGGCGTCACTTTTGTACTTTGAATTAGCCTTTGTGTACCTCGCTGGGTGGGCTAACCTTCGAGCCATGCCAGTAGCCCAGACACCTTCTCTGTGCTGAATGTATGTATATATTCTGCCTCAGTATTGCGTCATCTTTCTTCTTCAGGGAAGTCTCGGAACGCTACAATAAATACGCGCGTAAGGCGTCTGAGCTGTCATAAATATATACGTTAAGTAGAAAATAAAGAAAAACTTATTTAAGTTTATAAATAGTGGGGCCTATTTAAAGAATCATAAATCGTCAAGAGGCTAGCCAGCCTTTTCTTAAACCGTTACCAAGGAATTTGTGTTTAAGCGAAAAAAGAGAACAGATAACAGTTAACTTTCTTTATCTGCCCCAATTACAAATAGTATATTAAATTCACCTAGAAAATCCCATGGCTGCGAAAATGGCAACAAAGGTTTTGCCGAGCAACCTTATAAATATAGATCAAATTGCTTTGAAATTAACAGTGATAAATCCTAGGCTTATCATAATCAAATGCGTCAGCCCCTTATCTAAATTCATGAATACATAAGGGGGAAATTTAGGTAAACATTAGTGCAAGTTAATTCCTCTTAAGTACCAAAAACCGTCACTCTGGTGTTAATGCAATTACACATGTGTCTGTCAATAATTTTTAAACTTTGTCTTTTAGTTTGCTAAGCTGTGGGCTTCTTAATTCTACTTTCACTAACTTGACGTTTTGATTAAGCAGATTTTCACCGGGCCTTTCGACTATGCTCATCATCAAATAGCGCAATTGCGTGTGTGATGGTTGTCCTTCGTGGATCTAGTTTCAGCCATGACCTCGTACGAGGTCTAAGGATGCTGAGTATGAGAAGTGTTAGATCAAAACGTAACGCAAAGCCCGATGCTTCACGAGGCGTTACAAATAATGAGCTTAGGATGGATCATGAAATGTTTGACGCTGTTGAACATCTTTCCGATACGTTGATAAACGATACTTCTCGTTCTGTGGCCGCGAGTATAACTAAGGAACACCAAAGAGCACGTGAGAATATTAAGGCTCGAATAATTTTTCGGAAAAACTTCAGGTGTTATCTTCGTTATAAGTTAATGGGATATCTAGGGGCCCTCCTGAGTTGACAATTCTCACCTATCGCGCTAGAGAGCAGATTGCACATTTGTCGATGACCCAGCCATCCGAGTGGGGTGCAGAAGCCGTTTCTGAATACTTTCCCATTTCCTGCTGCGGTGCAGCTTTACTCTTACAAAAGCAGAGGAAAAATCCGCATCGGTTTTTTCGTTCTCTCGATTTTGTCGTAAACCATGATACTCAGTCAATTAAGAATTGGCTTACTCTTATCGAAGTTATTTGTACAGCACAGGTTGAAGATCAAGTAAAGGCGAATGAATCCCAGACACTTCAAATTTTAAGTACTCGTCTGCCCAGTGGTTTACGTTGGATTGGAGTTGCGAACGTTTTGAATAAGCTAGCCTTCGCCGACGGAAACCCAGCACTTCCCTATCCACCTCAAACGTCCATCGAAGCATTTAGTTTCATCAAATCGCGCCATCAACCGGGGTACTTCCAACAAATTGCCGAAAGATTTTGTAAACCCATTGACACAACCAATGAATCCATCTGTGTGCGAGAACAGCAATTGTCTGTCATCAATAAACTGATTAGTCTTTTCAGGTGCATGGACTTTTCCGTGTTTACTCAACCTCTGTTGGAGGACAGTGCATTGACCTTCAAAACAGTTTGTCGTAATTGGTTGTACATTGATTCCAACTCACCGCAGCTGGCCCAGTCTCGGTTGCCAAAAACTAAGTCAAAAGTTGACTGTGATTTTACGAAAAGCATTCGTTATAAGCGAGTTTGTACATAATCCACCTAAATAAATCCTTTACGCAGAAATTTCTTTTTGTCCTCTTACGTGTAGACCATAACTAAGCGGCTGGCCTGTCTACCTTCAGGACCTTTCAGTCGGATCATTGAACGAGGAGTCTATATTGTCTTCCACAGAGGGCGGTGGGTACCGTCATTCAGCCTTAGAAAACACAATTCCAGGGCTAAGCCTCCAGATTTCGCCGTCCATGGATCGGTGTTTAAGTGTACTGCCACCGATTGACACCTTCAGTCACCAGGTTACTTGAATTATTGTCATTCTAGTTCCCATGTCTCGTGATATTGATGTGCCACGGTTACTTGCAGGAAGTCGAGCCGAGATTCAATAGGCAGGAGGAGAGCAAACGTGGTTTGAAAGTGAAGAGTGTATGTGTTTCTGGACGATTTTAAGACTTTAATTTATCTCCACTGAAACATCTACGGTTTCTTACCTTTTTTAGCGACGTAATCGGACCTCAGGAGGCATTCAAAAGCAAGCCAAACCCCTTTCTATTTCTAAAAACGGCACTACTCTCGATAAGCATGGATTCCCCTGTCCCATACCCTCGTGCGTTCGAGCAAGTCCGGAAACTGCGTTCAAGCGACGGTACCTTTGAGTCACTTGCTCTGTCTTTTGGTGTATATTTTACCGTGTTTTCACGCCTCATGCCAGTCCCTCATTGAGCTCTGTTTTGCTTTTTTGGCATCGTAAGACGTTAAAGCACATTACGTTCAACTTATTTTACTTATTATTTTTAAACTAAAGAAATACCATTTAAGTATGCTCGAAATTGTGTAGTTGTGCAAATTTACAGTAATTCTTTGACTCAGCTATGAGTTCGGATTGGAACAAGTAGTTTAATTCCTGTAAATCAGTATTTCAGTATTCTTATCTTTTTGGTATTTTGGTATTTTAAGAACTTTAGTGGTGCCACATGGTTCTAATGAATAAACCGTTATTGATTTGGAATATCCAGATATCCCACAGGTCCTAATCAGCAAAACCGAAACTTTCCATTTTGGTTGAAACGATTATTTCCACTAAATTTGACTGAAAACAGGTTCTACGGTATAGTATTTAAGTTGTTGATGTTATAAGATTATCTTATTCTTTTTTACTGTTTCATTTAATGAGCACGCTTATATCGGCTTTTCTTGAATTAGGAGTTTGGATAACGTGCTCCTGCTGCAGCTAACATCGACACCATTACCTACCTTTCTGCTTAATTCTATATCGACTCCATTTCTTATCTCCTGTTTTATAGTTATCCGCTGCCAGATGTATCCTTCCATACTTCTGACCGTTAGGTGGTTATGTGATGCCTGGTTCGTTGTCGAATGTATCGTTTGCCTATTTTGGAATGAGAACTCTTCTTTATGTGGCCGATTCTTTCGTGATGCAATTGTAACTTTGCCGCTGCACATTAGTGGTTTTAGCTAACGACTTTTCACCAGGCCGCCAAATTTGGGTCGAAAATGCAAGAAAAGCAAAAAATAACCCCCCCTAGTTTATTTATGAATCTACTTAAAAAGATTTCATTCTTTCTTTTCTTAAAATGAGTTTTGTCTGCCTTTGATTATTGCGTTTCATTAATTTCAAATTACTTGAATCCTGAATGGAACATCTTGAATTTTCAACAAATAGTAAATGCTATCCATTCATGCTTATGTATTCGCTCTGATAGATATCTCATGCAAGAGCACTTGAATTTCCACAGGAGGCAAAAGCCCTTCTGCTGTGATCGCTGCCCTCAACGATTTACTTCAAGGCAGAACCTCGCGCGTCATCGCCTCATTCACGCTGGTATGTTCACGGGCGCCTTAAACCCTCCTATCCTTACACTGATCAATTATTTGTAAATAGAATCATATCCCCTTATTTTCTTCATGAATTAGCTAACCCCTCGATGATGTTTTGATATTTATGGACTGCCAAACTAGGTTAACAAATGAACGGCCCTTTCGTGAATTGTCTAAGATGTGGAATGGTTGTTTAGCTTTGAAAAACTTTCACAGAGTAGACAGCCAGGTCAACTCTTTCACCTTCATTTCCGATCACATTTTTTGATTACTTAACTTATCCGCTGTCGTTTTCAAGAGTACTGTCCTTCGCTTCATTCCCCCTGCGTTCTTAGGTGTAACCTACACCTGTTCCGAGTGTCGTCACGTTTTCATGCGATCCTCTGATCGCTCCAAGTGCTTGCGAAACCATAGGCTGCAGAGAATCATTTCTGAACAGGTAATGAATAACAATCTTGCTCTCGGTTCTATTTTTTGTTTTAGAAAATATTTACTGCTAGAAGGGGGAATTCCGGTGTCAGCATTTCGCTGAGTGTATGGTCTAAGTACCTTTTCAGATAAAATAAATTCTTATTTTAATCCTGTAGTTTCGTGGCGATTGATCTAATTTAAATGTCGCCTTTCCACCGCAATTTATTCACGAAGCTCCAGACTCCACAACAAAAGTTTAACACTTCAGTTTACATTGAAATTTGTTTCGGCAATTTCTGAGTAAAGGGACAACCGGGGCTTAATAGATTATTCTGCTACTAGTTATCTTAAATTGGTTCTCATTTCAGGGAACGAATGCTAGGCCAGCTCCCGCAGTTGTGGTGCCTAAGAATGCGTCGATTTCCTTTCCCACCACTATCAATGGCCCTTACGTCTGTCCTTTATGTCCAGATCAACGGGGGTATAAATTGGACTCCTCTCTGCGAAAGCACATGCGTCTCCACCATCCCAACTACAAGCGCACCATGGGCATTCAAGTCTCACGAGTCGACGAGATTCCTTCCAAGGTGGCTACCCAGCAGGTTGGAGACCCTCGAAGAGTAATATTGCCAATTTTATGAAAAATCGTAAACCTCTCGCAATTTTGGCACTGCCCTCATCACTAGGAGGACATGGTTTTATCATCATATTGTCACATCTGACCGCCATGGAGCACTCAGTTGTATCATCCGAAGTAGGGAGTAAGTCGGAATAACTTAATAGCCTAACCCAATTATCAGTAAGTGAATGGCGTAGCCTGACGACTTCGCCTCGTTACTGCGCTCAGGATTCCCTTCTTGGTGTAACTACCTTTTGCCAGTCGAGTTCACGTTTTGTCCGTATTACCTGCTTTGCTAAACTATCGCTTCGCGTCATTCATCGTAAAGGATAGGTGAACATTTCAAAGCAGATGTCCCGGACAGTTAGCCCATATTGTGGTTAGACTTTTTAGGCATTCAATAAATGAAGCGTACTGCAGCACAGGGCAACCACCAATGCATCTAAAACCGTAATTTTGTCATTCGAATTGCGTGACCTTTAAAAACGAATTTGTTTTGCCATAAAACTACCCATAGCTGACACACACGATGGGATATTTGCATGATTTATGTGCAGCATTGGTGCGTACATAATGGCAACAGCTTTGTTAGTGGTGCTTATTACCTGTTGTTGGTGCTCTTTATCACACTACTGCATGGTTTTTAAAATTCCTTGTCCTGTGCGCTTGTTTTTTCTGTCATTTTATTTATTTGGAACCATTGTTCACTAATCTTGGTATTATCTACTGGCAAAGGACTTAAAAAGAAATGCATGGTTGTAATGTCTTCTCAGTCCAACCTGGGTAAATTATAATAATTTATCTCATTTCTTTGTTGGACATTCCGATTCATTGAGTCCAACCCATTCAATGGTTAAGATATAGCCTTCTGATTGATTGACGAATTCTGTATCCTAGTTAGACTCCATCATGCTAATATATCCTCCAAATGTATGATATTGTAGCTTCAATATTGTTAGGTCAAACTTACTTATTGTATCCCTTTCAACAAGGGTACATGGCACATTCATGTTCGCTCTCTCAACACTTTGTGTCTTCCATGATGTACTTTTCCACTACGATTATGCTACAGACATGGTGATTTTCAGAATGTGCTGTGTAAATCCTTATTTGCCGTGCTCGAACTGAAATGTGCAGAGACGAGCCGATTTACTTATGCATGCCATCCTTTTAATGTATTAGCTTATTTATTATAAGCCTTGTCACAATGTACTTCTAGAAGTTACACGATACCCAATCTAATGCGAAATTTGTGCCATTCCGTAGGCATCATAATGCTGCACTGCGTAAGCTTAAGTCAAAATCGTTTTCATATGTTATTGAGGTTATTTAAGTGTTTGCGGCGCCTGAAGGCTGTAAGTTGTTTCGCATAAACTTTTGCACATTCGTGCCCATCTAGGTGATAATTTGAACTCCTAACGCCCGATTTTCGGCATCAGTACCCCAATGGAGCTATGTGTGGGGAAATTTTGTTTTCCTCGTCCGTATATTTCTCCCCTCTGGGTGATGTCTTTTGGCCGAGGCCACAAGTGATTGTGTTAATGCATCCTGTCTACAATTTTTCACAACAGCCACCTTCGGAGACTGCTGTAGTTAACTACAGTTTGAAGACACCCGCAATTGCCGTGGCATCAGACCCCACAGCTTCTCAACTGCCAATCAGCCTCGGTTCTGGTACCGGGGCCTACCTCCTATCCACTGGGGATATTTTCTATGCAGTAGTTCCTCAATACACAGGAATTGACCAGCCCATCCCTGCTGTTGGGCCTGCCGGAGTAGAAGGAACTACTGAGCAGGTTGGTACCAAGGTGTTGTAGTAGATCGCCCTCATGGTAGAGTCAAGCATCAAGTATTCCTTTCATCTAGCGTCCCACCATTTTAATGGAGCTAGCTCCTGCTGGATCGGGTGTAGTGGGAGAAGAGCCTCGACGGTCAGTTCACAGTGCCGTCTTGGGAGTCACAGAGGGACCCCTGATATTTACTCACTGCCTCCCTGTCGACCTCTGTACTTCGGCACTCTGCTTGACTGTCACTGATCCTTCGCTTCCAACCTCCCTCTCCCCTGTAAGTTGACATTTAAGATCATCGACTTTTTCATGATGAATAAAAAGTGAATTCATCCCCATTCATGTTAGGCGTCAGTGGAATTATTTCCTCCGATTCATAGATTCCATTCTTCTAAGATACTAAATGCCTCATTGTCAACCAGCAGTATTTGCGAGGTACGAACTGAAATAGGGAATATGATCCCAAGTGTCGAATTAATTGTATGCCTCAATTTGCAAACATCCTCATAGGGTTTGTGACAATCTTCATCCAGTCATTTCAGCCGATTTTTTTTGCTTGCGTTGTGTTCGGGATGGTTTTTTTCGGTTGTTCAAACATTATTTTCTTTCAAAAGTTAGATGTGAAGGCTGCGTTGAAATGTGTATGACAAATTAGAAAAATAGAAAGAACGAAACTACTTTCCGGATTCGTATAAAATAATATAGATATCCACCTCCACAGCCCCGAAATGAAAAGGTTGAGAAAAAAAACTACCTGCTCCTTCTCATATTCCGTTTGCGCATTTCGCACTTCATTTCCCTTGGCAGTAGCACCTGAGCCCTCCCTGAAGATGCTGTAAGATGCAATAACGCGAACTTAGAGAAGGGCTTGAAATCTGCAGGGATAAGTGGCATTGGCATGGTCAAATCGCGATAAGATCGAAAGGACCACCGTTACAGACATTTCAGCAGTCTAAACAATCGCAAGATATAAACGAGGGCGAAATGCATCAGTAGTAGTTCGCACCGTTGGCTTTGAAGAGGATTCTTAGATATCACGTCATCCTCTGGGCTAACTACATGGGGATGAAGCCAATTCAAAAGTAATGCTTAAGACGACGCTGCACATTCCGTAGGAGAATTCGCTTAAAAGCAAATCATAAACTGTATCCATCAGGAATACTATGGCCATTTTATTAAGGAGAGTTTGGTTTCGTCCAATAGTGGTCTCATTTTATTGCCAGTCACAATGTGTTGCTAGAGATTGAGATAGTTGCTGAAATTTGACACGGTCTGAATAATCCCTCTGCTTGGTCTCTGCAGGTGGGTTGTGTGGTGTTGTAATGAAGTTATCAGCCTGGGAAAAACGCGATTTTTCCTCCATCAGGCTGGATTCTCTGACGATGTCACTACTGTAATGTTTGATTCACACTGAAAGTGCTATAACACGAGCCCAGAGATATTGTTGTCATCGACGTACGGATGGACTTTGAGAATATTAACATGTGTCGTAGTTAAACCGCGGGAAATCCAAAAGTTCTTATGGCTAAATATACAATTTGAATACATACTATTCCAATACGCTTCTGCCTGCAGACGTCTCAGCATCCGGCAGTGATTCCTGTCCAGACCAGGGTGTGTTCGTCGATTGCTGGTGAAGGAGCCCTCGATCTGACCGAGCTGCCCCATGAGGTTATCGATCTGTCGCACAGCAACCCCGTCGACCTGAGCAGTGCGCACCCTCATGCGTCGAGATCCACGCTGTGGGAACCGGAACCGGGTTTCAGCTTCACCGATCTCCTCAATGTGGATGACGAGGATCCCAGAGGACTTCTTCTAGGTAGCGAATTCGAGGTTGGATTGGATTTACGGCTCCCTGAACCTCTGTGATACTCTTCTCTCTCACACATATATAAGCACACACAGCAAATGAATTTTTTACCACCAATGAAATTGTTACGTTAGTCTGTTGCAGTACTCTAGTTATCCTGTTGGTCCATGGATGGGGCAGTGAAATGTGATTTTTTTGTTAAATACTGCTGTTTTTTGGTTTGAAAGAGGTGTTTGTGAATTACATCGGATATCATTCCAATAACTCTCTCCTACTCCCCTGCGTTCCTGAAATTCTCTGATAGTGCAGAAATTTTCTTATACGTGTAGCCCTCTAGCTAAAACATTTTTCCATAGGATCGTTTGTTCTTTGTCGCATAGAAGCGGATTTGGCAGTAGAAAGCGACACAAATTTTACTTTCGTTAAAAGTTTGTTCCACATAACGAGTATGTACCTGTATCTCTCTGAAATGGCAAGTAGCGACTTTGAGTAGTTAAAACCAACACATTGCGCATTAAATTCGTGTAAAAGAGCATTTTCTTAGACCTCGAGAACGTTTCCACTGTGAATCTATCGAATGGTTCTGTGGTAAACTTTAAATTAAATCAACAATTCAATTAGTTGGCAATCATAATTTGCTTCTGTTAATTTTTGGAAGCACTAATTTAATGAATGCGGTCTTTCCTGATCGAAAAGCGATGATTTGCTGATTGCATAGAAATTACCTTTTACTGGTACTTGATTTGAAATCGTCGGTTGTTCCTGGGCAACATCAAATAATTCTCAGTATTCTCAGTGCGGAAGAACTTCCTACATAATTAATCACCACCAAACTGCGTGAAAAAAGCCTTAGCGACGCGCTAAATTTCATGTAGGGCTAGCCTGTAGCACGTTGTCTTTCAGTTAGGAGGGCTTCCTCCCAGTGCGATGCATCTGAGCGTGGCCTAACTCTAGACGCGGTTAGGACGCCTGCGTATTTTAATGTAGTTTGGCTGATTTTTTGCAGTTAAAGGAAGACTTTTTTTTCATCAACGGTCGCTATTGTAGTGACTTCAATTAATTCTCTGGTCAGAACTCCGCATCTCATCTCAACTCGAAATGCCTTCTACCGAAGTGATATCATCATTCGCATTCAAGTGCCAACTTGCAGTGGTAATCATTATTCAAGAAGCATTGTTGGTAAGTGCCTTTGGTATGAGGACTCACATCCTTTAAAGTGTTTTAGTCATCCTTCGGCGACTTCCACAAGAGGTGTGATGGATAAATATTAAGTTTCAAAGAGGTAAAGGCATGAATAAGGCCTTTTGAAGTCTAGCCCCGTTAAAAGACACACAACCTCTTCAAATCGTCATGGTTTCCTACTTGAGCCAACTAGTTGTCAGCGCGAAATAAAAACTGTTGCCAGAATCTATATCACCCCTTTGGGAATTAATGACTAACATCCCGTTAAAAACTGCCCCAGCTCATCTAAATGTTCTTATGAAGAGCCTTCATAAACTTGTCATTTGTACTACTTTAGGGCTTTTGAAATCCGATTTGAAGTGGAATTATGTAACATACTGAACAAAGCTTAGATGTGTACTAAAAGAGTGCCTCGGTAGGTGGTGTAGCAGCAACTGTGGGAATTTTGTGAGCAAACTCGTGATTAACTCTCTTTTGGTGAATATTCACCGAGTACCCATAAATAGGAAAGTAATGCACCTGGGTTTTTTGAGTCCAACTCTCCCATCGACCTCATGCATTTGCCTGACTCGATAATATTGTCCTTTAGATTTGGACATGTAAGGAGACTGAAATTTTAAACGACATTTACCGCTCTTTTATTCGTCTAACGCATGAGAAGGATAACAAGGTCTACTTTTATTGCTCTACTCATCTAATTCGACTCAATCAAGTCCCTCACCGGACACCACTCAACACCATGTTGGTCTGCCCCAAGCCTCTTCCTATGATCATTGTGTTCTCTGGTATTTGTAAGAAGGCATAAATATGCACGAATTAAAAAAAACAACCTTTCCAATGTTATGATATTCAGGGGAAAAATGAGATGGATGGAGCAATTTGTTTTGAGATGTAAAACGAAATGTAACCAAACTTTTCATGTGCAATACTTTTCCCAAAAAAGATTTCAGTGGTTCTTTTGCAATAAGCTCCATGTTTCTTTCACCTCCGCCTTCATAGCCTTGGGACCAGTAAACGAATTTGACAAGGGCATGCTTTAATAGGTAGCGAAAAATAAAGGGGTAACGCGGTTTAAGTGTGTTCAGGGTATGTTTTTTTTCCTCAGGAGACGATAGCGTCCGACTCGTCACGACGTTCGTGTTTACCGACCCTCTCTCACCTAAAAGGTACATCTAAACAAGCATGGATTACACTTTGATAATTTCACCTTTAAAAGTGTTTGTTATTAAGCTGTTTGTGGGTCCATCCCATCCGATGGTAGAATGTGTAACATTTAAACTATGCTCATAAGATGAAATCGCTGCATTCCACTGATGACCAAACTGGTTTTTAAATAACAAACTCCATTGTTTATTAACATATTAGCTTAAAAGTAGTTGGAAAGGAAATAATTGGGGAAAATAAACGCTGCAACAACGACTCGCCTCATCATTGTGGAATTAACCGAAGTAAAAGGAGCTGAACCACAAAACTTAGTGTAGGAAATTTACGGCCGTCTGTATTTTGAAACATCTTTGAAATCATTTCACTGAATAGTGTCACCGTCGCATGAAATGAAGAAGGATAATTAAATAGCAATAACTAATTCCATTTTTCCAAATGAGGGACCTTGCATTTGACCACAAGAAAGTAGTGATTAGTTTCTCTGCAGCGTAGAATCCAATCTCATTCTCAAGCCAAACCACACGTCACTATTTTAGGTTTTGCTCGCATGCATTTGCTCAATTTGATTTTTCCTTCATCTTATGTAATTTGCGGTGGCAGAAGGTATTGTTAGTCAGGCTTTTCGATTTTAGAGTATAGGCGCAGTAGTGACTGCTCCTAAAAAAACATGGAAGAGCATCCCATTCCATAATGTGAGCCTTTGCGTCCTACATCACTAACACTCACTATCTCGTGCATTGGGCGGCTGCTCCGAAAGGTACACTTTTACTTCTCTGATACCCTTGCTTTTGGGCTGAAACAAAGAAGCTGTAAATTCATGTGATATACGTGGGAAATGTTGTGATTGACGATTCATGGAAAAAAGTGGGTCCATCTCAGTCACAAAATGCAAGACGATACAGTATCCGCCATTGGTAGAGCTAATCGAGGTGAACTCACCATACATGCACATTCCCCCAAATTACATCACTTTCTAACGGTAAAACATTCCTTTTAAAGGCATCCGCAACTCGTTTTTCGGATGTCTATTTGTTTGGTGTAAAACGGAATGGGTTCTTCCACGTTTGTATTAGAAGGAGCACAGATAACTTCTGTGTATGGACACGACACTGCCATGGCAGAAAAGTAGACATGCAAGTGCTGAATCACGTGGCACGCTCCTTAGCAAGGCCTTGCATTAAGGCACTGCTTTTAACGCTACGGCAGCCAACTCCACTTCAACTGTGCCTCTACATTAGAAGTGCGTGGAACGTCATCCATTATGGGCGATGAGTGAAGTGGAGATTAAGGAAGACACCGTGGAGATCACAGGAACCAGCCTAGGTTTAGGTGTTCTTAGTGGCGCACATTGCATTGATCGGATGTCGATGCCTCTGGCGGACGTCATTGCACATGAAATGATGGCTAGAAGCGGGGCAAAACACCTATATATGCCAGGTGTGCATATATCCCATACCTACTCTGCATTTTGCGGTTACCCCGCAAATGAAGGACTTATGTTAAGCTCGTATCCACTAGTTTAGTTGTGGCGCAAGCAGAACTGCTGGCATAATAACCAATGGGATGGTGAAATGCCTTTGCGCTGGCATCGTTCCTCCCAAGCGTACGGTGCTTTTCTCGCACGAGCTGGTGACGAGTCACTGTTTTTACTCATAACAGCAAGGAAACATCCCGCGATTAGAGTGCTTGGCAAGGTGGCAAAAACCGGATTAAATGAACAAAATGCTTGGATAGACTTTTCTCTTTGGCTCTCTACCCCTTGTTAGGAGTGAGCGAACAACTGACTAGTCATGAGCTTAAATGCCACTCAGTCGGGATCTTTCCAACTGTGGTGAAGGGCACAAACTTTCAAGCCTGTAAAATCGCAGTAGAATGCAAACATTCTCCTGAGTAGCACGTGGCCACAAAAGGCTCGGAGGCAGGGAATCCAGCGGCACATGAACTGCTGCATAGTTATGGCAAAAGCTGTGTTTACGGAATGTCGTGTGTGCGCAGCCCCCGCCACCGAAACGCAGACATCAAAAGGCACGTGGTAGTCACGTGACTAGCGCGCGGATCGGTCTCTGCTTTCCCCTTGGTCAGGTAGGCTGTCGGACTCTGCAACAACTGTTAGGTAGTATTTGCTTTTGACGACTGTAGCAGCACACTATTTTTGAAATATCGTTGTAATTGACGCTTTAATGCACGGGTTATTCTGCTGGGATTAACGGACCTCATTTTGAGCTAATCCCACACAAAAATTGTTTTGAAATTTGAGAATATTGTTTAGACATGAGTGACTCCTAATGTTACACTTGAATGTGAGCGTTTGGCAACTACGGAGACCCAGCATCGATGACACTTGTCGAGCGTCGACAAATTAGGCTCTTTCTAGCGTAATGTCCCATACCAATTATTGCTACCGAAGTAGACAGCTTGGTAGTGTCTCCATATCTTCAACCTCATTAATGGGCACCGTCTGATTGATGCATTTAAAGGTGATTGAAGTTAGCATGCAAAACACAGTCCCTTTCAACCACAAAAGTATTTGTAGTTTACGCATCATGTGTTCCATGAGGTTGACCTAACAAATTGTGCGAGCGAGAGTGGACGACATGATGAGATGTGAACTTGTTAGGCCGTACGGTGGCGTGGCCGCACTTATGCTTCAGTCCGACTTAGTCATTATTCGACTGACCGCTTATCAGTTTCATAGGGGGACACTAATTTCGTAAGTTCAGTGTTAAAAAAACAATGGCATTTTGGCCGAGTTTAGTTTGTCTGAAAATATTGAAGTAGTGATTCAGATCACACTGAGTAGTTCAAGTTGAGATGAAATTGTCAAATATGCGATTCACCGAAAGGATGGGTGCATCAATGGAAAAGTGCAAGCATATGCGGATGCTGGAAACCGTTGTTAATTGTTTTACGCAAATGCATCAGCAAAGAACCCAAATTATGTACATTACACGTACAAAAAACCGCATAATCTATGGATGTTATGGCGTGAGCGAGACTGCGATTGCTAGGACTTCTTCTATTAGTCCGCCTCAATCACCAATCAAACGTCGACGACTGTATCGACAACGTGAAATTGCGCAACTGGGTGGCGATTGCGCACGCAAAGCCCCATGTGTGCGTGTGCGTGCGTGTTGGTGTGCGGATTTTTTTGGTTAGCATGTGCCATTTAATTTTCCCCGATTTGTAGATTCACATTCCGTTTTGAACCCAACAACTAGTGTTGATTTCTATTTTTAGCCACAGAACAATTTCCCCTTCGTGTGACCTTGAGTAAATACGATCATACCGGTCGAATTTTCCTGCTTTGCTGCTATCTCAGCTGCAGTAAATGAAATGAATATAGTGTATTGACTGATTTCGTATATTAACAGGGTCGATGAGTTGCTTTCATTTCGCTTCACAGTGATTTTCTGACGGAAACCTCGACAATAACACCTTTTGTTTAAAGCAGAAGCCGTGTTTGAATGCAGGCGCGCCAATCGAAGATACTGATTCCTGGGCGGAAACAGCGGAGCTACGACCAGTCAAGAAAGCGTAGGTGTACTGTCAACAGTAATTGGCGCTCATTTTGAGTGATTTCATTCCTTTTTTACTGTTTGTTAAGGCGCTGTCACCCCTATCATTGAGTGGTGCCCATATCGCCGCTCTTCCCCCCACTTTGTGTTACCGGGTGTACTCGCATTGTCGCTATTGCCAACCTGTAAGATGGGCTTGCTCAACTGGCTGAGGGGTTTCCGTTTCTCTTTTTACGCACAATAGAGCCCCAGATTCACGACAGAGCGCAACTGCGGCGCCCACCGCTCATGCTCTTTTGGGGCCTGACTGCGTGTTCCGCGCTCGGCACAGGCTTAATCTAGTGAGAATAACCCGCTGCCTCCTACCAAAGGATCATACAGGTCCCTGTGGGAAATAGGAAATTAAGCTGTAAATTTCCTGACATTTAATTGAGAATCCCGATAGGTAAACGTACACCGAGATCAAGGTACACGTTGCCGCCATGCCGCGTGAGTACACACAGCGCCATCAGTCAGGAAATTAATTGCACCTGATATGCCTCGTCCTCGCATTGATCACTGGGTCGGACCCCCGATGGAAACACCGGAATCAAGTGCTGAATGACTAACTTGCGGCACGAACGACTGTAGATCCTGACAACGCGAGTGACCGATGCCGATACCTGCTCCGGGTGGAACCTACGTGCCTACACGTGAATACATCTTGTAAATGAACATACTTCATACTACCCCATAGCGATTGATTCAATGCTGACACCCGATAGTTCAGAAGAAGGCAAAATCAGCGGGGTTGGGTAACTGTAGCAAGGATGAACCTTTCTTGATAAAACAATTAGTGCTGCACTCATGTGTACAGAAGGGGCATCAATTAAATAAGGGAGAAAAGATGTATACAATTAGTGCCCTAGCATGGCGGGGAATAGGATGAGAACAATGGCGATGAAATTATACACAAGAAAGTGCGTATGCACAGGGAGCTTTAGGCAGGCATAGTGGTAATTTCGTCCTCAAACACGGGTCCTTAAAGCAATGTTCATTAAAGTATGTACAAGAAGGACCGCGGGTGAACGTAGGGACAAGGTATAAAAGTAGTCGTAGCAAGAGCAGCTGAGAATCAGTGCAGTTTCTTTCTTTCTAAAGTACCAATGCGTTCAATTTTGTCCCCTTCGCAACGACACGGCAATGATGGTCTTGAATTCGCGCGGCACAGCTGCGTCTACACTGTACAGGAGGAGGTTTTCAGTGTTAAAATTGGCGCAAATATAAATGTGGAAATATAAGTAAGGTATTTTGGTGCCATGGAAGCGGGAGCAAGGAGAGAATACCGGCCGTGATCTGCAGTTTCGCAATTTAGGCCTCTTTTGGGATCGGTTTTAAGAAATGCTGTAAAAATAAAGGCCCATCGCTCAATTGGTATACCCAGTACTTCATAAGCCTAAAAGGAGAATAATTCACGTTAAAACGATTTTCAGGAAATCAGCATCAAGCTCAGATAACGTTTCGAACCAAGTTATGCGAAAAGAACCACAATTATTTTTGAAAATCCACAGCATCTATGGCAAAAAAAATAAGCAGACATCGTCGACTGTTTATTTTAGGATAAACAACGGCACCAGGAGACTCGTATCTGTTGTGAACCTAAACAGATGGCAGATTACAGTAAAGCGACAGACAGCTAGATGGAGAGGATTCAAGGGACCTGAAAGGGATAATTACCGTTTCCCCATAAGTTCCAACAGGAACTGTTGACGATAAACTCAAGTTGCCGGACATTTGATGTCAGTTTATGTAAAGAAGCATTCGTAAATCAAGTTCCCATTTCAATACTACTGTTTAATTTTAACTTACAACCTGAGTTCTTATACAGTTTAAGGATTTCGACTGAGCTGGATAGCTTCTCTAATGGTTCCTCGTCAAAAATAGTGGAATCATTTACACCGACTGCCCAATCTGATGTAACATCACGTGCCCCTATATAACGGAAATTCATCAGCCTCTACGAGCGAGGACCTCTTACATTAATCTTTTTATTTAAGTTGTCACCTCGAATGAAATTAGATTTGATGATCCTGAATTAAACAACCTATCTAATGATGGCTTCATTATAAAGTGTGACAAATTTTGACCACACGAACTACTAGTTGTCATAACGTACCATCATCCGCTCCCACTGGCAGCGGCCTTTTGCAGATCGCGGAGTTGTGCACGCAAATGCTCCTGTTTACGCCTCAGGGTCTCCTGAATGCTCTCCATGTCGTGGTGGTTAAATGCAGTGGTGGGCGGGGCCGAAGCCAGTGATTGAGCGAGGTTGGGATAGGCATGAGATCTTGAAGCAGACGGTTGAGGAGGAGTAGAGATGGAGTACGAGCGTGCATGATTGCCTTCAAGATGAGTAGTGCTAGAACTCGAGGTATGACTGCTTCGTTGAAGACGCGCAGTGGACGGCTGGAAGTCTTGGTGCTTTCGTTCCATTTGCCACTGCAGAATCTCGCGATCACGTCGAAGAATATGCTCTACAGGAGGAGGATAACAGGCGGTGGGAGAGACAGGTGGGGTCGCTGAGTCTGATGCGGAACCCAGATGGGGGGGCGGAGGCGGGGAAGCTCGCCTTTGGGCGTGACCCGAGAGGTGTCGGTCACAGCCGCCAGGAGGGCGATGTGGTGGTGGCGATGCCTACAAAAGGAGCACCGGGCACAAACTAAAGAACGGGTGCTTCATAACGTAGGTGCATAACAGGCATTTGACAAAGAATATGGTACGGGAAAGGGACCAATTGGAAAACAATTTGTAAACGCATTAATAACTGATAACAAAAGTCGAAATGTGGAGAATGAGCTTACACGTGGCTTTTCAGAGGAATCGATGCTGAAGGAATCGTGAAACCGTTCAACGGTCCCTTGCATAGGCGACGGTAAGGATGCTGGTGCCGACAAGGGAGGTGGCTGTTGAGATCGGTGAAGAAATGGTGTCGATAGCGTTGGCAGAGAAATATCCATTCGTTTTTCCTCATCCTCATCACTGGGAGGTTCACTTGGTGTCCGAGGGCCTCCCAGAGGAAACTCACTTGTGGGTGGAACGAGTGGCAGTGAAGGGAGAGCGAGTCGTTTCAAATCAACTGCAGGAGAACCGGGAGGTGTGGTAAGTGAAACAGGAACCACTACCGGCGGGAGTGCCTGTGCTTTATTCGCTCCTGTGGACTCTACAGAAGCTGTACTCAGACCACGACGACGACGGTACTCCGAGAGAGACATTCGTACCTTCTCTAGTTTTGGTTTCCTTGGTGTCCCTGGTCTGCTACCATCGCCTACTGTATCCTCCTCAGACTGACGTTTTTTCAGTGGGAGCCTCTGAAAGAAAACATGCCATGATGCCGATTCGATCCCAAAGGACCAGCGTTCAATAAAATCTACGCGCAAAGTAGCTGATAACATCCGAAGGTAAGATAAGTACTTACCGATGCAGGTGTGGGAGCATCAGAAGATGGGGAAACCTCTATATGAGAATCAAGTGGTGAAGGGGATTGTCGTTGTTGCGCCATCGCTTCCTCTAGCTGTGAAATTATTCGCTTCTTAGGATTCAATGCTCGTTGATTTTGAAAGTTGAGTGGATTGAATGTGGAATCAGGTGGAGTTAGTGAGTCCACAGGCGATGGTGTTGTCCGGCTAGGAGGATTTTGCTGATGTTGTTGATCTTCCTCCATCAGAGCCTACAAAGTACAGATACAAATGACAGCAACGGCCTGTTACGCAGTAGCTTTAGTTTAATAGCTAAAATAGTTGAGCGAAAATGTGCATATAGTTGATAAAGAAGGCACGACAACAAAAATTTAGACTAAACTGGTACTATAGTAAGCAACAGTTGAATTTGAGATTTGACGATGATGATAAATCAAAGATTCATTATAGCACAAACACATTACTCAAATACACAGACTCCGGGAAGTGGCAATAGCTAAGGTTAAAACACATTTGACAGTTCTTTACCCAGTACTCACTAGTATGCACACTCGTAAGCGATCGAACATGGATGCATAGCACAGTTTTCAAAGCAAATGGTTGGGAAAAATATGGAGTATCAAGAATATTCAAGACAATTATAATGACGATACCCTATACTTCCATAAAAGTACAACTAAAACCCTCCCAGCAAGGAAATATGGAATTAGGGAAGGAACAACAAACGATTAAATAATCGTACCTGCGAAAGCCATCGCTTTTTAGAGGGTTTGGGTGGAGAAGAGGAACCGACAGATGGAACTGCATTGGAGCAGCTGGGGTCATTGAAATTCGAGGCTCCGTTCGCCCCAACAACACCACTATGATCATCAAGAAGTTCTCCACCAGCAGGCAAATCTTCATCCACAAAGCTCTCCACCAGACTGTACGATCTGTTTAGAAAATTTTGCTGCTGACGGTGATGGTTGCCCGTACGTGAACGACTGAACTTCGCCATTGGGTCTTGTTCTCGACGCTTATAAACAATCAAACTGCACTCCGCCTCGCCTCCCGCACCATCAGTGCCACGATCAGACGTCTCCTTCTTCTGTGGAGAACGGCGCGGAAGGGAAGACTTTGCTCCACTGCTGCAACGTCGCCGCTGCTTTATAGAAGAACCACTGGTCGATTGGTGCTGAAGATGGTCACCAGCGGGAGCGTCAGAAGACTCCATTTCAGCGATTCGTTGAATCTGCCACTGCATCCAACGGTCTTCACGAGACAGTGGAGTTGTAGGTGGATGAGATCCAGTAGAAGCTGAAGAAGCCGGCTTTCGTAGTGCCTTTTTTGGAACAACTAACAACTCCCCCTTGAGTGCCTCATCTGATTTAAGGGGAATCTCCTCCTTCACTTCCACTTGTTTTTTATCTTCATGTTGATCAGGAAAAAGAGGCTTTGGAGGGTGTAGTTCAGGTTCCGGTTCCACGGATTTATTATCTATGTCCACTTTCGGCTTCTTTGTGGGATTTTTCTTGCGCTTCTTTTCCATACGTTCAATACGACGCATAACTTCAGCCAACCAATTATCCTCACGAGACTTCTAAAAGATGAAAGGCCATTTTAAGACTAATAACAAAGAAAGAGTAAAACTACAACCAGTACATCTTGCAAAATCATTAATAGAAAATTACCTAAACATATTTTAGAAAATTTGTATATTCGAGACTTCTTTGGGACTTCACATCAAAGAAATATCCAAACGATGATATAAAACAAAATTTAAAAGTGGCCCATAAAAATCACACAAAGAACGACACCTAATTTTGGCATTGAGAAATCGTCGTTAAGGGTGCAAGATATAGCACTGACTTTGCTACTAAGAGCCTATGACAGCAGTGAAAACCTACGCTTGATCGTGTTGTCAATGCTTTCTCTTTGGTCTTGTCTTCTCCATCCCCTTGTTCACCCAAAGGATGATCACATGTTTCCACGTTGGATTGACGACGAGTACGCTTGGCAGCGGACGAACTGCCCTTTTCAAACAGCCTCGGGGAGCCGTCCACACCGTTCGACAAACGACCACCCGTTTTTCGAACGCGCTTCGCCTTTTCCGGGAAACCAAAGTAAAAAGGACACTTAATTCCTTCCGAAAAACTGCTATACCACAAATAATGGTTAAGGTGTACCTTCGACATGGCTGATATTGGTGACTTCAGTTCCTCCGATGGCCTTTCAATAAACACAGAATCAGCCTCCGGCGGCATAACAGGTGAAGTAACTGGACCGTTCGACGTTCCCATCGATGACCTCCTGCATGTCCGACGTGGAGAGTGCATCTTCGATGAACGACGCTGTCGAATTTGATGCTGCTCCCTACGAGCCGAGCCCTTCTTGTTGACACCAATATTTCCGAAGCAGTGTACACGTGACTCTATAGCAGATGAACGCGTAGAACAGGTCCATGGGGAGGTGGCTCCGGGCTCCGTGACATCTGTCCGGGGAGAAGACGAAGTGGGTAAAGCACAGTGATTTACTCCGTCTTCCTCCTCCCTCTCCTCTTCCTCCACATCGGAGTTATGTCGTTGGAGTGGAGAGCAAAGAGGTGGAGGACGACGAACAAGGTTGCGTTTTATGCTGCTGCTGGGTGGGCGACCACGTGGACGACTGGCTCTAAGATGTTGCTGTTGTTGACGGATGAGCCCACCGCCACCGCGGCCGCGACCACTGCCGCGAGTGCCACGAACTCCACGAAATCCGCGCTTGCTAAGCCCAAACGCAGCTGGCATGCCGTTTTGGTGCCTTCGATACTGCTCCTGAACCATATGCTTGGCCGATGGGTACGGCACACGTGAGAAGGCTGGGCTAACATGCTTCGAGTTAAGCAGACGCCTACAGGATATTATTAAAAAAGAATCATGGCGTTAAACAAGTTTACCAGTTCTAAACCAAAACAAAGGAACATTTCAAGTGAGTTATTTAACGGCATGGGTGACACAATTCTATAAGTAATTATACAATCACAAAGAAAATGAGCTTTTATCACGATCAATTGGAAGGCCAAAATCATGAGAGAAAACACCGTTTAATAGTTAAAGAGCATTGAGCTCATTACCTTTGAGGCTGTAAAAGGTAAAGCTAAAAAGAGTCTCTTTTCTCAGTTCAACCCTGCGTTCTGATTATCTACTGCTAAAATCACAAGAAAACCAAAATCGACCAAGCCGAATTTTGCAATAGCAACGCCAAGGCATTAGAATGTGCGCAAAAAAATACGCACTTCAGAGCAATCCGACTATGAGTTGTTTTCTCAACGAATCCATGATGATGACGACTTCGATGCGACAAAGGATTGCGATCGTATTGGTAATCAATAGCCTCACTGCCGTCATCAATATCATCAAAGTCGCAGTCGCCTTCACCTTGATCTTCATCGGCAGTACGCCGATGTCCCTCCTCCGCGTCGCAATAGTCGTAGCCATGGAGGCTGGAAGACGAGTGATGATGACGTCTAAGCCAATCAGCCACGGCGCATAGTGGTGCCCCACGGCCACATGCACACCGCACAGGATAGTAACATGCCGTATAGTCGAAATCGAAGGCTAAGGTGAGTTCTGTGCCAGCAGGAATCACTCGGCTTATCGACGAGGTAACGACAAACTGAATGCATTGAGGATTTACTACCGAAGAGAAGGAGTCGGCTGGTGGAAATGTGAGCCTGACCTAAAGTGCGGGAGCGATTACATTCATGGTTATTTACAAATCAAAATAAAAACATTCCGGTGGACATTTATATGCCACTTCGGCATAAGATTACATAACTAGCTGAGCACTTTGTAATAGCGATGAGAAGACTGGTTTACTGAAACATAGCAGTCAGAAACTAGAACAAATTTTCGAAATCGCATCATCTGTTAAAAGACTCAAGCACATTTACATAGCAATATAGCAGAACTCCAAGTCCAAAAAGGCCTTAAATATCAATTCGCAGAGAATACATAAACTGTTGACTTACGGCAATAGAGCAAATGTATCGTTAGCTAAGTTGCGCAAACCTCGTCTATGAGTCCTTATAGAGTTATGCAAGCATGGAACTTTAAACCAACTTTTGTTGAATAGAATTGCCGGCTTACTTCACAGTTCGGCATACAAGAACGCCGTATAAACCTCGCTTCATTCCCATAATTACTCGCGTCCAAGCATATTGCTGCTTTATCCAGTTGTTTGTAAAACAGCACGAAGGGATTGTAGCTATAATACGCAATAAAATTTAATAGCGTATACTAAAAAAAGGACTGAATAGACTAGAATAAAAACATACTGCCGTTTATAGTTGTGTTGCTGGGTGTATTCGTCCAGTAACATCGCGTAGCCCTTGTATTCGATAACGGGTTGATTCGGATAGATGCACTCAGTTGCAATAAGACCCTATAGTTTGTTAACAGTTACCTTTGTGCCTGTCTTTGTAAGTTAAATTCCAATTAAAAGGATTTATTGCGGTACCTTACGACCCAATTCGAAGGAAGTAACACGACAACGTTGCTGACCGCGCGATAATGCAAAAGAGTCCGCCATTTGCAGCGTTTTAAGTTCACGCTCCGAAGGAGTAAGAAATATATTTCGGATTCGTTGTTTAAGCGCATCAGAGAGGCGTGTTTCTGCGGCCTTCTCATAAGAGTCACTCCATATGACAACATCAGGTGAGGCAGGTTCGGGAACACCAGTGGAGAGCCCAGTAACCGCAGACACATCACCGGTGACTTCACTGAAGGCCGTGGCTAGAGATCCGGACGATTGAGGCTTAGCCCCTTCAATCACGTCCAAACCACACACTGATCCAACCACTTGCGAAGGCGTGCGATAAAACTTAGGCCCAGGTAATTCATTACCTTCGCCGCATGACAGGGTATTGGTGTGATCGTTATTGGCAGATACGGGCATGTGTTGACCGTTCGCGACGTTAGCCTCGTCGTATGAATAGTTACTTGTCATAGCGTCGAACGAGACTGACTCTCCTGCAACTGAAATAAAGTGAGTAATTGACATACGACAAAAAATAGCAACCATTTCAGTAAGTACATACGTGTGAAAAGATCCTGCTTTCGTTTGGAGGATCGCTGGTTACCAACAGTCGTCATATAAGGCTGCGATTGCTGCCTAGCCACGGCAGTGTCCAGATTAATAAAGCGCGGTGAAAAATGATTGAGAGCTGCTGAGTCGACCTGGTACAAGGCAGCACCACCACTAGAAGAACCCACAACCTCGCCAAGTCTCACTTGGATGGGTCGAACTGATAATGACGTAGCCGCAGTAGACTGACCACTAGCACCGCCTGTTAAAAAGAACCGATTCGGTGCAACAGTTGGGTTATGCACCCGTGGCGTAGTGGGAACGTTTGAACGAGGCAACCGAAACGCTGCCGTAGGACCCGTCAACCTAATGGTCTTCGTTGCTAAGGAGGGAGAAGTGTTGCAGATGGCCATTTTTCTGCGCTGCAAGCCAATAGCCTCACTAATCATGACGGGTCGCGGTTGACAAAGTTCGCAGCGGTAAGGTTTTGGAAGAATGCTACTGGAAGAAGGGGCCATGCATTCAGCGTGTTGAAAAACCCTAGGAGAACAGACAATGCAATTGCTTTAATATGCGACAAAATACACCGAAAGACAAACCGAAAAAGCATATTATCAACTTACTTGCAATTCGTGCACTGAACCAGACAACCATCATCACGAGTAAAACCGCAAATACAGCGAATAGACCCGTTGAAAGTAGACGAAATACCATTAGAAACATTTCCAACACCAGTAGAAGCAAAATCTGTCCTCAGAAGGACCTGAGATGTGTTAACAGAGGATACACGATGGATTTGGACTGAAGCACCCAAATTTCCACGACTTGGCGTAAGAAGTATAGTCCGGCCATTCGAGGTCGCGACCTTGCACGTGGGCCCAGAGAGCTTCTGCTGGATCGACGAGGATGTTTGATAATTCTGATTCAAGAATGGAGTTTTAATAATCGTCACATGAGGCACACTGGGGCTCCGGTAACCAGGACTTGAAATCACTTCAGTGGAATTCGACATGTTACCGTTGCCAGACGAATCTGACCGCTGGATTTCAACATCAGTGCTCTCTTTCCTTGACAGTGCAACTTTAGCCAATAAGGCCAATTGGTTGTCACTGTTTGATTCTTCCTCCCATACTTTTGCATAATTATGATCCTATACGATATGGTAATAACAAATGAAGAATACATTATAGGGCAATCCGTACAACTCCCCCGGCTCTCCATAGGTAACAGCGTGGAAAGGATAATCATCTAGATCAGCACTGAAACAGTTCAAGTTAATAGGAAAACAAGTCTTACTTATTAGCCGAAAAGGAACAGAGCACTCGTTTGCCTGTCCATATTTTTGAAGGTGAATCGCAAACACTTTCGGTCTGATTTTCGCTGATAACAACAGTGCTACCAATCTCAGGCACAAGAAGGTCTTCATTGAAATGTAGAATAGTCAGGGGGAACTCATCATTCTGTAAATTTTCACACTTCACATCCATTACCTATCATATCTTAGAGCAAAAGAGTAGGACCAGTGTACTTATCAACATTACAAAGCACGGCACAGTAATTCCGTGGTTGGGAATTTTTCAGTAAAACTAACACAAAAAACGGAATTTGAAAAACACGAATTAGCAGTGATAACTACTAGGAATACCAAGAAAACATGGCCCAATCCAAACTCACCAACCTTCTAAACAAAGAATCTATGCAATTGAACCGGGTCAATGGTTATGGTATCTACCGATTTAAAGAAAGTAGAGAACACAAAGTTATTTATCAGATTTAAGTTGCTACAGCTAAAAAAAGCCAAAAATAATAATACCGAATGTATTTTCCAAAAATACGCCACTGAACCTCGCGCAAACTGCATAGGGTTTAGTTTACTTCTTTTGCAATACCAGCACTGGTTTAGCCCCGTCTTATTTATTAGCTGAAATATAACGGGATCTACATCAGACCAAAATTTGTTTGCACACCATATCCGAGGCTTATATGGCAGAGTTAAGGTACTAATCCCCACAGGTAGATAAACGGGTTCACGCACTGCCATAGCGGGCACCTCGTTTAACTCTCCTTCCAGGACTTCAATCCTCCCAAACGGGTCTACTGACTCAATAAGGGCACACCAACTAGCAAATACAAACAAGAACGTGCAGAGCTTCGGGACTATCCCACAATGATGCCTTCGTTACCAGTTTAGTGTTCATTGAACCATTTTTACCCAAAGGGCGCGCTTAAAAATAGCATTGCAAAGCGTATTCAAGCATACTTATTTCAAAGCAAACACAAAGAGTGCTTTTTAAGGATGAATACATATAAAATGTAGCAAGACTTTTTAAAAGTGCATAATACCGACATTCCTGATATATTCACGGTATTTTGCATCCTTTTATAATTAGAATTCTGCCTTGCTCTTTGTTTCGTTTATTTGTAAGGCTGTAGTTCAAAATTATTTAATTAAATGCTAGCAAATTAGGTTTACCTAAGCAAATTAGTAATCTGAGATCTACAGAACTTTCATTTTAACTGATTTGGCCAAGAACCGAACACCAATATCTGTCATATCTTTCTGAGGTCTTCCTGAGGTTAAAACAGGACAAAATAGTGCAAAACACCTGTTTTATTGGCGTACAGACGGTTTCAAAAGCCACAGGCCTAGTTCAAAGTTCTCGTCAGCTATCGGACGTGAAATATGCACCTACTTATGAGCCCAAAAGCAACAGGACAAAGTATCGAATTACCTTAGCCCTCATTTACAAAATAATAACAAAGTTACTTCCCTAAATTGAATAGACTTCTATTACTGCGATAAATTGCCTTCACACACATATTGGAGCCTTAAAATTTATTTTAACTTGTACAGTTTTTAAATGCCACATAATCAGTTTCGGTTCTCTCGGTGACCTTAAATACAGGCTACCTATTTTTATCACTAGATTTTCCCAAATAGGGCAACAGCGGTGTTTGTACACCCGGCTAATTAACTTACTAAGCCTAAGGAAATGCCCTCTCCCATCTCCTAATTTCTATCCCTCGTGGCACAGTAGCAACTGGTCAGCCTTGAAGCTTGCAAAAATGTAGACTGCTACTTAAGTGTAATTTGACGGTTAGTTATTTCTCGGTTTTGACGAGGAGCCACTTTTGACTTGGCTTTTGTACCTCGCCGGGTGAACTGGTTTTCGGGCAATGCCAGTAGCCCAAATACCTTCTCTGTGCCGAATATACATTTTCCGCCCCAGTATTATGTCTTCTCTCATCGTCAGGGCGGTCTTGGGACGATACGTTGGTGGCAGCGGAAAGCAAACCCGATCCTAAAGGGCATCTAGCCTGATTTCCGCTGCTGTGTGATAACCCTTAGCGGAGCGGAAGAAGCACACATGTTGCTCATGGAAAAACGGTGCTGATTCCAAACCAAAGGGCCAAAATTGACGTCTACCTTCAACATCTACCTCAGTCCCGCGTTCTGCAAAAGAGCTATTAATAACTGAAGCGATATTAGCTGTGAACTATCTGGAAGCCTTGTTATATACTTTCCAACCTTACCTGCATAAAGCTGTCGACAAAGTGAATTTGCCATACCTCCTCCACTTCCTTACTAGCTGAATAGAGCCTGGTAGATATGGCTAGGCAGCTCCGAAGTGGAAACAACATGGCAAGGTGGAACAGACACGAAACTCTTTCCCACAGACCTGTGTTAGATTCCGTCCTTCCTTGCATAAATCTGTTTCTAGGCCAGTGTTCCTACTTTAATCTGTGTAAATGCGTGATGGTCAGCACAATTCCTCGTTCCTGAATCCATTTTTCAAACCGGAAGAAACTCCAAATTCGGTTAAATTACCAAAAGGGATCAATGACGTTGCGGTCAAGTATCACCTCAGTTGCATAGAAATTTAATGACTGTCACGGCCGGAATGCGTTTGTCTTAACAGCTCCGACTACGATGTGATGGCTAACGCGGCAGCTTGACCAAGAGGAACGCCAAAGACAATGCTCAAAAGAGGAGAGAGTCCATGTAATACGATGGTTGTTTATCTCTTAGTTTTGACGAGGAGCCACTTTTAACCTGGCCTTTGTACTACGCCGGGTAGGCTGGCCCTCGAGCCATGCCAATAACCCAAATACCTTCTCTGTGCCGAATATAAATATTCTGCTTCAGTTTTATGTCTTTTATCGTCGTCAGGGAGGTCTTGGGACGACACATAGGTAGCAAACACACAGAATGCATTTTGTTATTTATCCAAAGAGTAGCACATGTTTTACCAATATTCTTCAGTTTTAGGAACGCTCATTAATTATGCATTAATGGCGTAGACACATTCAATTTGCTCAGCTGTGCATATAAATACATAGACCCGCTTATATACCAGGGTTACATTTCCGCTTTAACGTCAAGGGATTATTGCGATCCAAAGAAGACGTCGAGTGCCATCGCGTCATAGGTCTTATGAGATATTTGCACATATGAAAAGGTCAGCCTGTTATTACGTGGCGCGTTTTTCACTCCCGATAAAGCGTTTAGTAAATTTTAATGCAATGTTTTTGCAATTTTATGCAGTATGACTTTGCCACCACTGTCTCCTCTTTAGTGGTGCAAAAACATCGATTTTCTTTCAAATCTGTGCAATTCTATGGGAGTTTCTACCTTAGTAGTACATCAAACCTTTTACAAATCCATCGCATCGACCAAAAAGCTAGAAAGGGGACAATTGTGAAACTTATCCATTACTTCGCTTGCAACAGGGCAGTTATGAATAATAGCCCATTTTAAATGCGCAGCTTTAGCTACATTACTTCTAAGAATACTTGTATTGGTACCTTTCTAACTTAAAAATCAGTATTTCTTATGCTAAACTGCTGCTTCCAATACATACCTTCGGGTCATTATAGCTTGCGTATTTTAAGCACGATATTAAATTTGTTCGTGAATTATATTACCAAATCTTACTATAGGCACTTGATTTCTCCAAATTTTCTCGAACAATTATTGGCCTAAAAAATTGTAATTAGGCATGCATTTGGTTGGCTTAACTTGGCTGGTTAGGTTAGTAGGGTCATTTGTGCTTTATTGATACGCACAAGTACGAATTTCTGAGCTCCCACAGTAAGTGTAGTTGAAATTTGAGCGATCTCACTTCTCCTACGTGAATTGAACATTCCATCGACATTTATAATAACTTTTTAAGTTTAGTGGCACCAAAATTCAATCTTGGCATTTTATGTATGGTAGATGTTTTTGCCATTTTTTGAAGCTAATTTTTTATTTCGTAACCATTGTAACGCATGATATTGGAAGCAGATATGCTTGATTGCCTTGCCGAGACTCGCATTGTTCCGTAGAATCGATTATATTTGCACATCTTGCTTTGTAGCTACCAGGGATCTACTGCTATGTACGTGATCTGATTGTTTATTCATGAATGGTCTTAAAAGTGAATATCTCGATGATGACCGTAGCATGTCACTTGTCATTCCTTTGGAGCCTTTCCCATTTTAGTTCAAAGCAATGGCAGTTTTAGATTGCTGTGTCAAAGCTGATCTTATATCTGTTGAACGATCAAACCATTGGGTTCAGCTTTCGGGACATAATGGTAAGTAGTGCCAAATTGACACTTATATTTTCCTAGAACTGCGACCAGTTTACTTATCGGTGATTTTTCTTGCATTTTGTTGTTGTTGCATTTGCTATTTTGATCCAGGTTAATAAGTGGCTGACTCTCTGGCATCCTTTTTCTGATTTTCTAACTGTTTTCGTTGTTATTATTTATTTTAGGATTTTTTTCAGTAAAAATCGAATCTTACATGACATTTCCGCATTTCATATCCTATGATGATGCGTACGGCACATTTCTCATAAACGTTACCTGCTGTATCGGGTACGTAGCTGTATACCCGTACTTTATCAGTGTTTTAAAATCCGTATTTGACTGTATCATTTCCTTTTAGTATCTACTTAATATGTATAACAGCAACGAGCTCTTAGATGACGTACCATATCCACGGACCGGGTTATGTCTGGCTTTAGGCACGCCAGAAATGATGACTAAGGTTAATAAGAGATTCTGTGGAAATGCTGAATCTTAACCGTAAAAAGCTAGCGCTCTTCTACCACGGTTATCTTTTCCTCCGAAGACCGTCGGTATCGAATGTTTTCCGTCGATTGTTAATACGGGATTTGTTAAATGTCAATTTCTGTTTTGAGGAAAATAACCTTATGAAGCAGCCCTACGGCAGATGTCTGCCCTAGGTTGATTAGTTCGTAATAAAACCATAGAGTTATGCGGTTTTCATGCCGAGAACTTTGATTATATTATGCAGCTATTGCTTCAGTCTGCGTCATTAAAGCCCTTTTTTATCCACACGTGTAAGTCCTTGAATTATTCCATTTATTTAAACTCTGCAAAAAATTTTTACATCTGGTTTTTTTCTGTTGCATCGTCTATGCATCCGTTGATAATTTTTGTGTTTGATCCAGTGTGCAACATTCTGCAATCCAAATCTGCCACCGTTTTTAAGGCATTTTTTTGAGTGAATGCAAATCTGGATTTGTGAAAGCTGGCCAAATGGATTTAACATTACCCATCTTGCCTTCAAGCATGAGGTCAAAGCGTTGACGATTACCTCTGGGTTTTAACAAGATCTTGCCTTTGCATCATTTAAGGGGAATGATGAGGCGAGACGGTTGATACCAAGTTTCCGAGTTCACGACGCGTTTTTTGGCCAGACTTTGTTGATAGCTGTCCTCTTCGCTACTTTGAAAAAGCTTTTACTGTTTAGCGGGTAGATAAGCCTTCACTTTCCGGATGGAAATTTACGTAGGAAATCGGCTATTTGTTTCAATTCTTACATTTTTATCGAAATAATCATCACGGAGACCTTTTAACAGCATTCACCGACCTTTACCTTCTAACTTACAACTTTGTGCATTAATGCCCCTCAGTCCAACGCATGCCTACCTATAGCTATTTTGATTCGACTTACTCCATTTCCTACTAGCAGTTTTAGGGCAATTGGTTTCATATTTTGCTGACAAAGTGAAAAACTGCTTTATTCATAATTAGTGGTTTTGTTGTCTGTCGTTCTGCTGAATTTTCTTCTATGCGTTGGAATTGGACAATGGTTAAAATGAGTACTGATTAACCGGAACATTTGACTACTTTTTAAATCAGTGAAAATTCCATTTTGATCACAAATGTTGCGGGTCGTTTGCTTTTTATAGGCTCCTATTATCTTAAAACTTGGTCTTAAACATGGAAATTACTTATTTTCGAATGTGTTTGACCTGACAGTTATTCTGCTTCTTAACCACGTAGGTTTTTTCTAGGAATACCTTGTATTTTTAGCCCAATTGGATCTCCTAGGCGCTGATTTTTAATGAGTTAAATTCGGATTTATTTTCTAAAAAGATCGAGATATCATTTGATTACCCGCATGCGAGCAGCTTTTTCGCCAAATTGCCGATTATAGCATTCAAATTATCTGGTTTCCTTTGCAATTCAGAATACTATAAAAACTAAAATAGGGTCACAAAACTAATTTTCGCACTGTTTTTGTCAAACCTGACAGCATGTGGCCGTTTATTGTCTGGAGTAAGTCGACAAGATGCATCTAATTTCATACTTTCAATTATTTGCTATTTTCATACAAGGCTCCTTCATTCCGGACAAGGCTGATACTATTCTTAAAGTGTACAATGAAAGGGAAAAGAATTGTCTCGTCGCACTGTCCTTCGACGTTCTACGAAATTTTGTTCCTGATTTCATGGGAGAGGCAACAACAGCCAACGGAAATCGTATCCTTTATGTAATTTCCCTAGGTTCCACCGCTTTACTTTGCGGTTTCACCACGGCGGTAATTTTTTTTGCGCTCGTCACTATAATTCCTCTCACTCGAGGTAAATAACCGATGACAATTAATGCAGCGAAATTATGATGGAGTACTTGTAGTAAAATCCCTATCTGCTGCATTGTTCCATTGTAAATGTAGGTTCTTTCTCTTGTGATCATAAATTGTAACCAAATATCCCAGATATGAGTGGTAACGACGCTCACAGCCAAGGGGACAATACACATTGATGGTGATTTCCAATTGACCAATGGCTCATGCCCATGCTGTTCCTCGGAGCCACCACGGGGCCACATGTTTGTCCAGCCGTCGACTCGCGTCAAGTCGTCGTGACTTCTGCTCCACCGAACCATTGCCGCAGCACAGACACACCACGGTCGTGCAGATGAGAACAGCAAACGCAGACCACAGATAGATCTCCGCGTAGATAAACATAAGCACTGTTGTCCTTGTCGATAGTGCAGTACACCGACATACCCCAGAGCGAGCAATGTTGACTGTGAGCAAACGCGGTAGACTGAAGGTGGTAGCGAGAATTGTGATGAGGCTGTAATAATCGCGTATACGAGAATCTTCCATGGTGAAACGAAGACTCAACTTTCTGGTGATTTCAAGTGCCCTATCCATGGTAAGCAGGGTAATGTTTAGGAAGTTGAGCCTTCCTATAACATAATGTGGAAAGTGAGAGTACCAGAGTAGACATGCCTGAGCGCTTATACCTTCCTGATGCGACTCCAGTATCTGCCAATTCTGTGGCGCAGCTACTATGTCGACTAGCTCTAAAAGACAGAAGAGGCAGCTTAGGACTGTCTGTATAGCCAAGATAACTAATCCCGTTGGTTTTCTGCTTGTCAGGTGGAATAAAGCAAATGCGGTAACAATATTCATAAGGGTACCGGTTGTAGCGAGAAGGACAATGAGAGGGTGCAAAGGACTGTTCAAATCCAAGGCTGCACATGTCCAGAGCTTCTGCTGGCCATGCATTGTCTCCCGTCCGGAGCAAGTTTTGCGAATGATTTGAGACGTGTGTAGCTGTGTACACATGAGGGCGGAAAGGGCGTTTCTCATTGAAGCATCCCATCAGCTCACCTTATCCCTTTCCCTTAAAAGTATGCGTTCACGCCCAAATGTAATGTCCTTTTCCCCCTTCTCAACCTCTGATGTGGTTCGCTGCCGTGTTGGTACAGGACACTTCGGGCTCTGAGTATTATTGCAAGGGATGGGTCTCATAAACAGCCAAATGCTGCTCATTGGATCGGCAAGTATTCTTACCGTTTGTAAGCTCAAGTTGTACCCTGAAAATGACTTAAAACAATGTGCTACCTGTTTATATTTTAATTCTTTAGAGTCGATCGCTCCCCTGAAAGGAAGTTATTGCAGCATGAATGTCGGATTTTTTTCTAATAAATTGTTCGGTTGAGTTGTTATGAACTGTACACTTTTCGGTGTTAAGGACGTGATTTTCGTGGTCAGGTGAAGTGTCTATTGTTGATCCCATAACATTCAGCTCCAAGTGTGGTCTGCCAATGCAGCAGAGGCAGCGGTATACTCCAGCATGAATTCGACAAGACGAATAGGTTTTCATGTGGCTTTTAATTGTTTTTCAAGTGTCAGGAACACTGACTTACATTCATTACCCACTGAAGCATGAATAGTTATTACCTTAACTCGACGCTTAAATAGACTTTATTAGGATGCAGGATCTTCTGAATGGCTTCATTTGTCCCTCCATAATGGACGTGAAAATGGGTCGGCGAACATTCCTTGAGGAGGAGTGGCATGCCCTTCATAGTGGGACACCGAAACTGAGACAGGTAAACTTACTTTTCGAACCAACTTCTTTGCACCCTGCAATAATACAGCTGCAGTAGTGCGCTTACTGCTCACGTGGAATTCCATATTGTACTTTTTCACTAATATTGATGGCTATCACAATTCGCCCACCGAATATTTGACGAATGACGTGAATTTATATGTTTGAGAGGTGATAAATAGGCGAAATTTTGCGAGTTGGGTAATCGCATTTCGTCACCTTGGTTATGTAAGTCATAGCTGTTCTCAGTTACGATTACGCTCAATGCTCTTGGCAAATTTTGCGAATTGAGTTTTAAAACGATAATTTTCTGCACAATTTCTAGATTACCTTATGTAGCGACTTGTATTCACGGACTATCGGGTAAATAACTGACTAGATTAAATGCCTTCTCTTCGTGAACGTAACACCAACTTTAATAAGATTTCACTGATTTGGGCGTTAGTGGTGGTTGCATCCATTTTTTAATTTCTTAAAGTGAAAGCCTTAATTCCTACTTAGATACCTAATCATTTCTGCCACACTAGCTAGGACTACCCTGTCTATTGCCAATTAAAAAGCGCTCCACTTGTCAATTCCACTGTCTAATGTCTAAAAGTTCAAAATTCTATTTTCGCATGGGCATGGCAACCACTTAAGACGAATGGAATTTAACGGTAAGATAGTATTTTCTTCAGTTTTCATGTAAGGTTGGTGCATAAATTATCTTTCCGTTGAAGAAAAGAACGGTTTTTCGCAATTCACGCATTCGAAAATCCAGTCTTTCCATTTTAAAAAGCCGTTTCTCTTTTTTGAAACGTGTTATGTGGGAGCCTGTGGAAACTGCCTTACTGGAAACTCTGTTAATGCAAATGAATGCTGCGATTAGCTCGCATCACTGACATCATGCCCTAGACTATCCGATCATCTCCACTGGGTTAACGTCACTTTGAATCTGCTCTCAAATGGAGCTCTCAGTTTCCGGCGTAGGTATCTTACTTCAGCCTTTAACTGCGTTGCTTTTGTAGGCATGATGTGGACTAACACTGACCCGATGCACGAGTTTTAACGTAAAAATGTTCAAATCTATGCCATCGAGGTGCATCTTCAGTGGTCGGTTTCACATAGGCAAGTAGTGAAACAACGCTCTTCTCTTCAGGATATGTACCAAAAGATGGTCGAGGTGGACCCGAACGAACCGACTCCGTTGGAGCACCAACAAGCGGCCATTACGAAGCTGCGATACATGCAGTGGAGGGAAGCGCTCAGCTCCTCCGCCGATTTAGGCTTCCGGATAGAAGGCATTAAGGTACTGTCCTAACCCGCTAAAAGGTTTATAAAGCACTCACATTGTTAAAATAGGCGCTTTCGTCAACTTAAAAATTCATATCCTGCGTCATTTGAACTGGCTGCGTGTGGGCTCGGGATTACTTTGGCATTAGGCGTGGAATTTGTTTCGCAGTTAATTCTACCACCTTACATATTACTGAATATGCTTATGCAGGTTGCGTGTAGAAGGGTAGCTTTCATGATTTTGATTAAATTCTAACCTTTGTGAGTGCCAAAATGAAACCTTGGTTTCCGTCCCTCGTTTGCTTTGCTATCGCGAATCCATTTGGGAAACCTGTTTTCTATAACGAAATAAGTAATTATTTGAAGCAAACTACTGCCACGTGAAATGAATTGGTTGTTTCAGTGCTTTCTTACGCAAACTGGTAAAAGGTCTATACTTTTGTACTGATGGATTGTAATACACACTTTCTTGTTAATTGCTCAAGTAATTAATTAGTCCACCTCATTTATCCTAAAATTACCGAAGTATCGTAAATGACTCTTGCTTTTATATTTAATCTACTCTGCAAGTCACTTTTTTTATTCGGGGTTCTTAAATCCGACCTTTGCCGAAGTCATTGCAGATCGCTCTAATTAATCCCTTTGTTAGTTCTCCTCTTTGTCTCTTCTTGTCGAAATTTGTCGGCAAGACCACCTTAAATCTGACAGGAATTTCCTACAACCCAGGCTAATGGGGCGAGATTCGTAAGCCAATTCATAGGTGTTTTGGCCTTACTCTGTGCAGCGATTTTTAGTGAATCGTGTCTTCTTCGTTAAGTCTGGTTTCACTACAACTTCATTTTTTTGCTCCTCTTCTATCCGTTCCTTCTCATGCTTTCTTCCTTCAAGTATTTTTAGGTTACTGCTCACCAATATTCTTTCGGCGCCACTATTATAATGATGAATATTTTACTATAAGGGTAGGTGATTATGCATGCTTTTTTGCTCTCACCGTTGCCATGATTATGGCGCCTTTGCAAGTATCCATTCTCATATGTACTTACCGGCCATCTTTTCAATTGCCACTGGCCCACTTACTTCACAACATTCCTTCTTAAAAGGTGTGATTTTTCAGCGTTGCCGGTTTCCTCCTCTATTATGTTGTATTATAAGCATATGCTCAAAACTCAAACCTTCTTCCCATAACGTCCGTTACTATGATCTCTACAAACATTGTTTTATCAGTCTAATTTCCTGTTTCTTTTTCTTGGTTTTTTTTTCTGTGTTTTCAGTAACTTTTGCATTCGTTTTTGGTGCAATTTTGCATGATATGCAATTGAAATGAAACAAAACTCCTTTTTTTCAGGTTTCTTTGTTTTCAAAAACTTTGTTGCGGCAGGTCATTATCATCACCTCCAAGCATTTGATAATGTCTCATAAGTTTTAGCTGACACATCGGTCACATGGAACAGCTATAATGGTCCACTCTGTGTTTGATTGACAGGCTTTTATTCGTCATGTGCAACGAACAATAGTGTGACTTTTTTACTTTGTTGGCGTTTTCGTCCTTACTACTATAGGATCATTGCACACCATAACTGTCTTTCGTAGTTTAGTTATCTCCACTTGATACTTTGACCATAGAAACAAACTTTTGCTGCGGGATGCCTTCACAAAATTGTCACTCCATATTAATTCCCCTCCAGGTGCTAATCCACTTCTTTCACTCAAATTAGAAATTCTCTTGCCTAATTCATCGTTTTTCTCAGGACCATGACGCCAATCCTTCAAGGGACTTTAAACGGCTCAAGAATTGGTCAGATATCAAGGGCTGTCTCAACAAATTCACTGAGGGCTCTAAACAATTACAGGCACGTTTTATTGCGTACTTTGTGCATAGCTGGTCTGTCCCTTTTTTTGATTTGGACGTTTCGACATCAGAAAAAGGGCACGGCATGTGATAGGTAGACGCTAGCAGAAGGGAACCCGTCAATGGTAATGAAAACATTGCTAACATTGTAGGCGACCTACCTCAGGAGACTAACATCCCTACAGAAGGTGCTTCATTCATCTCCTTTCTTCAACTCTCACGAGGTAATCGTCACTTGTTAAGTCTGTTTATCTTGTTTGACTGAAAAGGAGCATGTTGATTAAAATATTCGGTGTCTTTCAGTCTTCTTTTTCATATTTCAGAAAAATTTAAAATATGATAACACTGCATTCTACAGCGATCGTGCTGACGCTCTCCATCAGTATGAGTAGATAATTCGTGCATACCGCGCGAACTGGTGGTATGAAACAAACGTATTAGTCTACACTATTCATAAATAAATACTCCACCTCACATGTGCCTTTGCTTAGCCAGTTTTTTACCACTTCCTGGCCAGGTGACCTGGCGCGAACCTAAATTTTGATTTTGGACAGTTGAGGTCACTGCTTTTGAAAATCCACTGAGAGTGTATTAGTAAGAGTTTATCACGTGCTGAAGTGCGAAGTGGCCCGGGGTGCGTGTTCATGCCTGGTCGACCCTTTGCAAATTGGGCTAATGCCCTCTCCGTGATATCATCGTCCACCGTATTCACCTTTTAGATTATTGAAACAGTGTTCCAATGCTTTGCAACCCACGTGTTTGCACTTTCGAAATCTGCCCTGTACGAGGAAAGGGAGATAACTCCCACCTTACGCACTGTTCACTTCGTGCTTCGTTTGGGTGAATCTAATGTTACACCTCACACTGAATAGTCTTTTTCTCACTTTTTTTTGTTTATCCTCACAGATGATTGGCACTTCGCTGTTATTTGTACACGATAGGACGGGAAACGCTAATATTTGGATGATAGACTTTGGCAAAACGTGTTCCCTCCCACCCTCCGTGAAGATAGATCACTACCAGTCCTGGGTGGCTGGCAATCACGAGGACGGCTACCTGTTCGGTTTGGAGAGACTCATCGACATGTTCACTGAGCTGATCCGCGAGGTGCCTCCCTCAGCAACCTGCAACCCCTCGTCGTCCCTTTGCACTCCTTTCCGAAAAACTGCCATCGTCTGTGAACAGACTTCCCTTCCAGAGGCCAACATCATTAGGAGTGGGGGAAATACCTCCAGGCAGCATTAGGCCCCCCAATTCCCCCTTCTTTTATTTAACTATTTTTGATCATTCCGAACTTTAAGGTCATTGCTGAACATTTGATACTTTGAAATACCCCATAAGTGGTATTTTATGTGTACCACAAATTTGTTATTCGTATTTTCCGCAATTTGTAGGCAAGGCGCCTCTTAGCGTGTTTGGTCACTTGTGAGGACTTTATGTCATGCCACAGAAATCCTGTGTTATTTTTAGTTTTTGACAAAGTTTGCTCATTTCGAATAAATGTACTGCTGTGGTGATCCACTTCTCGTTTTTTTGCACTTTTGACTCAACACGATGATAATTGTAAGATTCGAGGTAGGCCATTGTATTCGCAAGAAAATCATTTCCTCCGGCCATTGTGTTCCCAATACAAAATGATGTTTTCGTGTTGCTTTAGTGCACTTCTAACAAGTGACCTGTTTGGTCGCAGCTTCAAGACTTCTGACGTCATAGGTAATTATGCTTCTAGGCAAAACCATGGATAGACCACTTTGCGGCCTCCTGTAGGAGCTATTTCTTCTGTCAAGACTTTTCCTCATTGCTGCTGTCACATGATATTTCCAATACTTTACACCTGACCGTCACTCAACCACCTCGTTTTACCTAGGGGAACTTAATTTTACTCTAGAAAAGCTAGTTGGGACACTTATGATACATTACATACCATGGCAACACTATTTTCCAATATTTAAAGCACGCATCCATGTTTTCTTCATTCAACGTGGAGTTTTCCCATTGTCGCCGTCCCACTTAATCACAGAAGTTATACAGAGGACTGGTCCAATGGGCATTAGCAACGCAACAATTCCAGCGACCGTTTTGTTTGTTTATTTCTTAAAAAAATGTCACTTGTTACGCATGAAGTGATATTGTGCGTGGAATGTGAATTCAGTCAGTGGCATGCAAAAGCCACAAAGTCTTCCCTACCGCCATTTCCTCACTGATTGTAGATCGTATACAGCAGCAGACTCTAAGCTGTCTTGAGCCATTAATTTGTTTTTGTATCAACAAGGGTATAAAGTTGACTTACTACAGAAATGTTGGCTGAAATGGGGAATCCCAAGTCCGATTAAATCATTTAAGGTCCGTGCTGATGCATTCGAATTAATGCTTGAGCTCCGCTTTCACGTAGACAAAATTCTATACAGTTGTTCCACCTTCCGAAAACCATTACCTAAAGTGATATGCTATGATGATTTCTGCACACTGAGTTGGAGCAACTTCCTTGTTTCCGTGTTTATTATTTCAACTACGCTAAATAGTATATGGCTGGTTTATTTAAAAAGGCCAGTCATCAAGCCTCTGGAATCTGGAAAACAATGCAGGACCGAGGCTCTTAATAAGTGGTACAGGATACTAAGTAGAATAATCTTGATACTCGATACTTTGGTACGGCAACACTCATTGAGCAAAGTCCCATTTACTAATCCCCAAAAACGGGAGCAGAAGTGGTGATACAGAACCGAATGAAAAAAAAAGCAAAGTTACGAGACCAAGGTAACGTTGTGAAAAGAAGGCAAACTGGCTCAAGGCACCTACAGTCAAATTAAACTTCAAACGGAATCGGCAAAATAATTCTGAAAGGACTGAACTGAAGAATTTGACAAAATATGCATCCATCAACATGAAAACTAAGGCAGAGGTGCAAAACATGACTAAGAGGGGTTAATGGCACTACACCTGATACACAAAGTAGACAGATGACATTTCAGAACCACTGATCACAATGGAGCAAAACAAAGAATTTCGCAGAAACATATTACCTTCCACTAATTGGGCTTAGTGGATGTGTGAAAAGGAACGATGGTTTAAGGTGATGATCTTACTCTGACCGAACTGAGGAACATCAATCTTGCATCCAACGTTCGGTAGTAGTACAAACACTTAATGTCGAGAAATATTTTGACGTGAGAGATGACCATTAGTAAATATCATCATGCTGGTTCATGAAAAAGGCATAGGGACAACCTTGACCGCAACAGAAAGAGCACAAATCAGCAGGTGACCTCGTTAAAGAGCATCCTTTAAGCAGATGGAGATATTAAAGGCACCTCAACATCCGGGACAAGAAATTTAACCATTAGCAAGCTAACTAGAATTCCTATTTTGCAAAGCCATCCTTTTTATTGTGTCATCGAACATACTTCTTTAGTAACTATTATCCGCATTTCGTCGAATAGAGTTGGTCGCTCAAAGAAAGTCCGGAAATGTTTAGTTTTAGCGCCAATAAAGTTGGACTTTTCTTCACCGAAGGCTCAAATAGTACCAAAACTGTACTGTTTAAGGATGATTATAATAAATACGTGATCCACCACGAAAGTATTGCAGCGGAACAAATCTTCTTTGAAGGCGTTTTAAACCACCAATTAGTACAAGTATGAGTCCATATTACTCAGGAAGGCTGAGAAAACAAGTGTGGTTGTAGGGCAAGTGGAGAAACAATTAGTTACTCCTTTTAACTATTTCCTGTACAAAAATATGTAAAGTTAGGCGCCCACTTACTTGTAGTAATTTTCAATTAAAATGGCAAATCAGCTCGACGGATGGCCTCAGCTATAATCGGCTCAACAAGTTCTATCCTTTATCAGGAAAGTATAGGCACCTATTTTTCAATATCAAGTCTTTTACTTTGCCTGTTGAGGTTTTACACCAAAATTACGTGACCTTAAGAAACCAACTAATCAAAGACGGGTGGAGTTGCGATATTCTTGGGCAAATTTAGCCCACGAATGATCAGATGTGTTCATTGAATTATGTGGCGCAATATCTTACGGTATAAAATTATGTTCCTTTCACCTTTAGAGTTATGCTGAATTTACCTGCCATCGAGGACAAGGTTGTGCCAGAGTTATCCAGACATCCGCTTGTTCGGAGAGCTGCGAGGTCATTGGTCAAATTGCTTAATTCATCGAAACTGAGAGGTCTGTTCCATTCCAAATTTTATTTGCATTAGCTATCAAAGAGATGGAAGAAACACAGCGACTATCATCCAACTTCTCTGACTTTATAAAGCGAGTAGCAGAAGAATTCAGACGGGGGCTTTCCCAAAAGTGATATACTTATGTAAGTTTATGCGATCTGTCTTGACAATCTTTTATGGCCAAACCTGGCCTCATGGTTTTGTTAGACTTATTTCGCTCGTCTTTTCTGTCAGACGACTATCTTAAAATGCACCTCACTACTTCTCTATGTGGTACTATCCCAGTTAAATACAATTTTAGCAATAGGAATACATCCTGACAGGTTTTATATTTCATTAAACTATTTCTCTGGGAATTGACATTGTAGTTAAGGGCGAAGAAGTGTTATTAATGCATTTCCAGTGCTGCTACGCGGCTGAATTTTATTAATTGCTTTCTTAGGCGTCATCTTTTCTGCCTCAAGTAGCACGCTCTTCCCCAAGTTACTTGGTTTTGTCTTTTCCCGCCACTCTGTAACCGCTAGAAATCACCAAAAGTCAGACCACTACACCTTTATAATATTACGCAGTTCTGTCACCCCTCTTGCTCCTCATGTATCTTAACCCGCACCCTACTTGGTCTCACTGCTTCCGACGTAATTCCATTTCGGCAAAAGCCACATTCTACGATACACTGTACTTATCATTCGAGGACTTCCCCGTGGACCTCCTCCGCCATCCAATCCCGGTGTCTTTTCAATTTCAGATTCCCAAAATCTCACCACTAATGCACCCGTTACGGGTACAGACGTATCACTCGAAAAAGCAGACACGCTGAAACTTGTGCGCCTTTTCTACGAACTTCGAAATCCAAGCACCGATGGACCACCGTTTGATACCATGACACTCGTTTGATTAGTGAAGTGAAGAAATGAACGCGCGTCATGCATAGCATTTATGACCGGAATATCATACATGGGCGTTTAAAAAATGCACACAATGCAATGGTGGTCACCACCCACGCCGCATTTGTGGTGGTGGTCTCTGCATCGCTTGTCTCTTGGGTGGGGGTGGACCACCGTACCCGGGAGGCGGCGAGGGGCCATTATAGGGGCCTGGTCCGCCCCATTGATGGTCGTAGGGGGGCCTGAAGGGCATTGGTGGGCGCCGGAAGGGAGGTCCACTTGGACCCGGTGGAAGATACCCGCTAGGGGGATATCGGGGTGGTGGCCCTCCCATAAATCGTTGCGGTGGCGGTGGGCCATATCTCGATGATAACGGCTGATTCGGTGGTCTAATGGGCGAATGTGATTCCTGCTGAGGAGGCGGGGGTGGTGGTGGCTGTGGAGGAGGATGAGGTGGGGATGGTGGCATCAAACTATTCGCAAAGGCGAGCATCTCTTCCTCTCGCGCGGCTGAGTCAAACTTGCGCCCCTTAAAGCGTGCGTCATATTCGGCCGCCTCTGAAGCGGCGGCTTTGGCCTTTGGATTCATGCACATGTCAGAAGTAACCAGAGGAGTGGAGACGCTCCGCGAATGCGCCATGTCCATCTTATTTTGATTCTCCACCAAAATCTCGCTACCCACCGGGCCTTTATTTGCAGTCCCACAAGCTTCACGATTACTTTCTTTAGCAGCCGCTACAGCGGAAAGGACGACCCCGGTCTTGTGGACGATTCGGGAACTGGACCAGTTGGCCATAAATTCTTTGGATATGGATCCTGGAGGGCGATTTGGGAGTGGCCGGTTTTTTAACACGTCTGATTCTTGTTCATCCTCTGGAGCAAGTGGGCCGGGAAGGCCATCGTTCAATCCTGGAATTTCAACCAATGGTTCTCCACTGGGGGGCTCCAGTGCACTTGATTGGTCATCGGACTCCATGGGTGTATCATGCATTGATCGACTCAGGGATTCTCCCAGTACATCAGTTACTAGGTCCTCTGAACTAATGGCGGGAAGAACATTTGTGATTCCTGAGAGAGTATTGCCAGTCCCATTAACATCCTTCAGGATGTCACCCGGACGGTTTCGTGTCCAGAATTTCCTTGGTTAAGTAAGCAAATACGGTTAAAATGCGTTTTGTTGTTGTTAATGCACGCAATAGAGGCGACTCACGTGGTGAAGTCATTACCACCGGATACAAGAATGTGTCCAAGCGGATGCCAGGCCAGGCTCCATATCATATTGTCGTGAGCATCATCAATCACACCGAGTTCAGTTTCGGTTCTAAATGTATAAAAAGTATAAAAACATGGAATAACATATTTGCTTGTACCAACATCTAGCTTATAACAATTAATCATAATTTGGTGGATCCTACCCAGCGCACCAGAAGTGAATAGCGCCATCACCACTGCCGCTAGCGAAGAGACTTTCGTGACACGAGTGCCAGGCGACGCGCGTCACCTCTTTCTTGTGCCCACGGAAGGTTTGTAATTCTGTCCTCATATAGCGAAGATCAAAGAGCTTGATCAGATGGTCACGCGATGCTGTAAGGAACCAATTGCCGTTCATGTTCCATGCCACGTCTGTGCAGGTGTTCTTGTGTGCATACCTATAACACGATACAGTGAGGTTGCACTCTCCACAAATTCCAAACTAACATTCGGTCTGCTTTTCTCTGAAAACAGCTTAATCTACCCTTTTGTGGGTAACTTGAAGAGCGTGAAGGAAATCGGAGGAGACACCAGCAACAAGTGCATTTAGCGTGCAGGAATGCAGATATGGACCACTGAGCGCGTACAGGGAAACAATCAAAAGACACCATTCCAGTCATGTGCAAAAGTCATTACTGAAATATAGTTTGATAAGGACTGAATGTGCCTAAGTTACTAGACAAAGCTATCAAAGGAATTCCAAATTTCGGCACCACTGTTTAAATGGGGAAGTATTTGAAGTAGAAAATATGAATTTGAGCGCCTTTATGAAAATGAAAGCCCTACAGTGTGGCAATCGACTCCCCAGTTTTTGGTTCCCACAACTTGATGGGCTGCTGGGCATCCTTGCTACCAGAGATTATCAGCGATTTGTAAGGGTGCCAGGCGATACTGCGGACGTCCGAACCATGGCCTATACCAGCAGTAGAAGGGATGTGACATTTAAAAGAAAAAATAAGACGACATTTACGAGATGGATGAGGATCACAATAGCACGATAAACGAGTTTTTTGCAGTAAAAGGAAGTATCCTCTGGCCCACTCACCTCGGAGAGCACGCTCCTCATGGCACCGGAAAAAGTCCCAAATGCGTACTGTGGCATCGTCACTGCAGGTCACAAATTTAGTGTCGCAAGGTGAAAAACTGAAAAAAGTAAACATGTCGGTGCAAAAATCTACAGTTAAATAAGAGTTGACGAAATATTTATAGTGCTGAAGAGCTGGGTGGGATGTCGCGCAAGACTATTTACCATTTCGCGATCACCGGGTTCCTTTCCAATGGGAATGATAGAGTACGAACACCTGACCAGAAATACTTAGTAAAATAACTACCATACAAATCATAGAAGAACAATTTTTCAAAAGCGAAAGAAGGCTTTGTTCATTAATATCAGGTCAACAAAGGGAAAAACCCACATAAAAAAGGGTCCTACCAGTTCTTGCTGATGCAGCAAGAGAGCATTAATCAAGCAAAAATGTATAGAACGGCGAAGGCCGGGGCATACCTGACACCGCGAATGGGCATCTTATGCGCCTGGTACACCTGCACATTGTTCATGTTAGCTTGCCAATACTTCACGTAACCGGCGTGATCAGCAGTGAGTAGCCAGTCGTCATTGTGGGACCACTTCATGCATCGTATCTGCGCCTCGTGAGCCTAGCAGGCAGTGTTACCCAAACCCGAAATGCCTACCTGCAGAATGGTTTCAAAATTGAATGTGAGTCCATTCCAGAGAGTGAATTCACCTGTGTAAGCACCAGTTATCAGACGCCGTCCTTCTGGGGTCCACTAAGATTGTGTTAACAACTACACATCGACCTACGCAAACACAATATATTGGGCACTTATTTTTATTTGTGGATGTTCGAACAAGCTTGCCAGTAACGCAGTTCATAGGGCTGTTAAGATACTCACTTGGAGGACCTAGCTAGAATGCATATTTGCGAAAAAGTGATGTGAACAAGCGATTATGAGTAGCAAGTAGAGAGGCTGCGATTAGTAAATACATTACAAGGTAATTGTATAAATAATCAGGTTGCAGAGCCACTCGAGAGCGAGAAGAAAACTGCCAGACTCTGTCCCTCAAGTAGTTCATTATAGAGGCATTGTAATCTATTGTTCGGCGAAATATTGCCTTCCGCATGCGCCTAGCATCCGGTCCAGCAGTTCCCAGCACTTTCTGCTGCGAGGTATCCAATCCAGTGAGTTGAGTTGTGTTCATAATAATATACTGGGTGAGAAAAAAGCACACTAGATCAAACCAGTTGTCTGAAAACACGGGTACTTAATAATGCAAAATCGACAGAGCTGAGATGAAAAAGATGCTACCTCTAAAAAGGGTGTAGGAAGCGCTACACCAAACATGTCAAGCAGTGTCAACAAGTAAAAGACGCAAAAAAAAACAAACTAAACCATACAATAGAGGCGATAGCCAATAAAACCATAAATTGAAAATTCCAACTCAAGACAAGGCTATTATAACATCAGTGTGAAAACCTATGCTTCACGAGTAAAATGCATGATTACAAAGTTAGAGGACTGGATTCCCTCTAATACTTTCTAGTTAGGGTTGCTCAGTACTTTTTATGTGTTCCATAAACATTTAATTTTATAGAAAGTAATGAAGTAATGCCCAGCATCACGAAAAAGCTGCTTAATTGGTTTTGCTTTTCTGCACCTCCGCATCAAATACACAGCAGCAGGCGCTATTCGCTATTTTGATTACCGGCCTCAGCTCAAATCATAAAATTGGGGATGGACAAGACTGCACATGTCTTTGTTTTAACTCTGATAATTCAAGTGAAAAGCAGTTACTGGCGCAAAGTTCCCTGCTAGTTCAATTTTTAGTGCCAATACAACAAAGTAACCAGATTTTGATTGTAAACAGTTAGGCTATCAGACGGTAACAACCTACTAATAATAACCTTAAAAAAGAGTTTAAAAAAAAACATTTGTTTGATTGCGCATCCACTGTTCTGCGTTTTCCAAAGGCTGCACATTAGTAATTGGGGCGATGGCTGCCGAAGTAGCATCGAATCATCCTAAGGATGCCGACAGTCTCCTTAATAAGACCAAGGATAATTCGGATGATGATTTGGTCAGTTTTCGCCTTCAGTCATTTTTCGCAGAGCGATGAAGATAGGCAGCTTCGAGATGAATTGTATATGCTCTTACAACGTCTCGAGGAGCCCAATGTTTATTTATACGAGACTGCACTAGAGAGTCTTAAGAACCTAATCAAATCATCAACGACGTCTATGACATCTGTCCCCAAGCCCTTGAAGTTCCTACGTCCCCAATATGCCCGAATTAAAAACATTTATGAAAATATTCAAGACCCTAAGATTAAGGTAACGTAAGTGCATCTACTGAATAGTTCTTAGGCTCTTTGTGCTGAAGTTGTTTCTGTGGTGGGGATGATAACGTATGATAATCCGGACTACAAAACTGACACTTTGAAGTATCGGTTGCTCAGTAAAAAAGATGATATCGGTGTTTGGGGTCACGAGTATGTTCGCCTTCTTACCAAACAGATTGCGGAAGTTTGGGACGAAACAGAAGTCTCTAGTTCGGGGAAAGGGGTTCCGGAAAAAAGCATGAAGCAAAAGGAATACCTTGAGCTTGCGGGAAAAATAATTCCTTACTTGATGGAGCATAATGCTGAATCCGAAGCTATTGACCTTTGCATGGAGATTGAAAATCTGGACTTTTTGGAAAATTACACCACTGAATTGAATTTTCAACGTGTGTGTCTTTATCTCATTAGTTGCACTGCTTACATTCCTGATCCTGACAACGTTAAGGTACGAGTGCTAAGTCTTGAGCAATTCCTAGGTTCTTCGCTGTGCTGAGAATATTTACAGAAAGTATAAGGACCTTGGCAACGCCCTACGTTACGCTCTGCGTTTAAATGACGAATCATTAGCTCGGTCGATCTTCAATGAGGCTGCTTCCCTTCCAACATCAAAATACGGTGCGACTGGAACCGATGTACGTCGGCAGTTGGCCTATTTGCTTGGAAAGCACCAATTTATTGTGCCGTATGACGAGGTTATAGCAGAAGAAGATGAAGACTTGGCTGAAATGCTTGGCAATACCCGCTTATCTGAACACTTTTTATCCCTTGCTAGAGAGCTGGATATAATGGACCCTAAGGTGTGGTTTGCCTTCTTTGTATTACGTTATAGTATAACATCCTTTCCTTCTCGTGAGATGTATCATCTTTTTTCACACTACTTAATAGTTGCCTGAAGATGTTTATAAGCAGCATTTGGAACCGACCCGCTTGACTATGTCGTCGATGCTTGACACTATGCGCACCAACACCGCCGCTTCTTATGTTAATGGTCTGATCAATTGTGGATTTGGGAGAGAAAAATTGATACAGGATGAGGGAAAGGACGGATCATGGCTATCCCGGCAAAAAGACCTAGGCAACTTTCCACTGTTTCGATACCTTTATCTGCCAACTTTATTGCCGATGTTCTTGCATTTTGATATCTGTCTGTTAATTACTTGTAGGGAAAATGAGCGCAGTAGCTTCGCTGGGGTGGGTTATGCTATGGGACGTGGACAGTGGTCTGTCTCAAATCGACAAATATCTTTATGCCGTGGATGACCACACTCAAGCAGGTGCACTTCTTGGTTGCGGTGTGGTGAACTGTGGCGTGAAGAACGAGTGCGATCCAGCCCTCGCCCTTCTCTCCTCTTATGTGGAACACCAGACTGATGTCTTATCTCGAGCTGCTATTATTGGACTCGGAGTCGCCTACGCAGGTTCTAACAAGATGGAAGCCATAAACCACTTGGTTCCAGCCATTCTCGATTCTTCGTCTGGTCGCCTTCAACATGCATGTTTGGCTTCGCTCTCTGCTGGCATGATTGCCGTCGGCTCTATGAACGAAGACGTTACATCAACAATCATCCAGACCATGCTCGAACGCCCAGCTGCTCATTGGAACAACACCTTTAGTAAATTCATGGCCCTAGGTCTGGCTCTTACTTGCCTGGGACGACAAGATGAGGCCGAAGTGATTTTGGCTTCACTGGAAGCTGTGACTGAACCGATGAAATCTATGGCACACATGATGTGTGATGTCTGTGCTTATGCATGTACGTGGTGTACTGTGTATTTTATATCTACTGGCTGCAATTTGCATTTAAATATTAAAGCATGCCGCAATGAATTGTATGGAAGAGGTACTCCAATTCATATTGATAATATGGTTCTCATTGTACATATGCACTCATATTTAGTGTGGAATTGTTGGTTCCACTCATGCCTAATAGCTTCAACTTCTTTATTTTAGGTAGTGGTAATGTTTTAAAGATTCAAAAATTGTTACATATTCTCTCTGAAAAGTATGAAGAGAAAACAGACAAAGTAGACAAGGCTAAATCTACTTCTGCTGGAGCAGAAAAGTCTAAATCTAAGGACCATCATCATCACAAAAAGGATTCGCGCCGGACCGCAGGTAATGCAGGCAATCGCCGAGTGCGTCGTCACGCAAATTCCACTGGCACTAAGCCGTCCACGGAGAGCACTCAAGCAACAACAGAGGAACCAATGCAGGTGGATGAGCAAGCGGCCTCGTCGAACGATGACGCGAATGTTCCTTCTACCTCAACTCAGGGTTTCGACTATCACGCTCACCAAGGCCTTGCTGTTCTAGGCGTCGCCATAATTGCTATGGGTGAAGAAGTTGGCCTGGAAATGGCATTTCGTATGTTTGGTCATTTGGTACGTTTTTAATAACTTTAACCTGATTATGTCCACTTTCCCCATAGATTCATTTTAGGTAGTAATGCCTCGGAGTTGCCTCACTGTGGACTTCATCTCACTTTGGTCGCTCAGTTTTTACCCTAACAGTTCTTTTTAGAGGAAATATTTTATGTTGCCTCTTTTATGATACAGAGCATGTTGGCTTAATACTCTTGAAGAAAACTAAAGGGGCTACTTTTGGTTCTCAACATAAGTGTATCAACAGATTTCGTTATTAGTTACTTTTCACTTACTATATGACTAATTTCAGCTCCGCTTTGGTGAGACACCAATCAAGAGGATCGTGCCATTGGCGTTGGCACTTTGTTACATCTCGAATCCTCAACTTAAAGTTCTGGACACCCTCAGCAAATTTAGTCACGATTCTGATCCCGAGTTATGCTACAATTCCATTTTGGCGATGGGTATTGTCGGTGCTGGTATGTCAAAATTTTCAAAAGAAATGAGCCCAGTATCTTAATGCTTAAGCGTTTTTTGCCGTAGGTTATGCAAACATTTAGGTAATTAGTTTCATTTGGTTGTAATACTTTCAAAGTTGTTTATTGATGTGATCGAGTTTATTATTTGTGGCTTTATCCTGATTTTTTATGAGAATGTCATGGGCTTTCTTTTTATTAAGGTACCAATAGTGCTCGTTTGGCTGCAATGCTTCGTCAATTGGCTGGTTATCATTGCCGTGATCCTTATAATCTGTTTTTGGTGCGTCTTGCACAGGGACTAACACACTTAGGAAAGGGCACTCTTACTCTCTCCCCTTGGCACTCAGATCACGCCCTCTTCCGTCCAGTCAGCTTAGCTGGTCTCCTTACCTTACTTGTCTCCTGCTTGGAGATGAGGATGACATTTATGGGTCGCAGCGATTACCTCATCTTTTACCTGACTCCGGCCATTCAGCCTCGTTTATTGATGACTTTTGATAAGAACTTGAAGCCTCTCACAGTGACTGTTCGTGTTGGCCAGGCAGTGGACGTCGTGGGCCAGGCTGGACGCCCAAAAACCATAACTGGCTTCCAAACACACACTACCCCTGTCCTCCTCGCCCACGGTGAGCGTGCAGAATTGGCAACAGATGAATACGTGCCTGTAACGAATTTGCCCCTCGAAGGCTTTGTCATTCTAACGAAGAATCCTTCCTATGAGAAGCCATCGGTTTAACAACGTTGTGTAGGTACTGTCAGGTTGGCTCATTCTTATTTCTCAGCTTCGCATTTTATGCGCCTTCTTGTTTGCTACTTCGTGTTTACCAACATTACAGTGGTAATTTCCACCGACAAATTGACGGTTTTATCCAACTTGAAGGAAGGAATGTTCCTTTAGGAATATATGAGCGTTGGGTTGTCGGCATTGCCACTTGCCAATTTTTGTCGAACGTGAGATTGAGGTTGGTGTCTGGTGCTGGGGTATTGAATGTAAGGGCTTGTGCACTGTTTTAGGGGTGGTCTAAGATTTTCGTTGTGACGGCTGTAGAGAATGTGGACCTTTGGCAGTGTCTGGCTGCTGATACCTCGTAATCGGGACGAGGATCTTATGTGACTCCTTGGTGCGCGGGTCCTGGTGTGAATGTGACTTGTTCTGCTTCCAAACTGAATCACCCGTGGCCAATTAGCCTTGGAGGGGTACCCGTGCTGGATGATAGGGGTAGTTGGGAGGGTGGGTTCGGTGTTGATGTCTAGAGTTTGCCCGGAGGAGATGGGGGCGGTGTGAAGTGGGTGATTCTGGTGAGTTAGGTTATTTTTTGCGAGGGGCATGGGTACCGCAAACCTCGGAGTACTGAATCGGTACTCTGACCCACACCAGGATTTCCGGTAAATGGATGGCAAATTTCAATGGAATCCTTATCTACGGTATAATACAGGTAGTCTTGTCTGATTTGGCAAGAAATTAGGGAAATAATTTTGACTACAAACTGAAAATGACAAGCAAATGACAAAACTATTTTCATAGCTTAAAACAAAACTAAAATGTTAAAACAAAAATAATTTTCAGCAAAATAACTTGCTTATAAACTTTTCATTTTCACCAATTCCTACTCATGGCTCTATCGTCTAACTTTGTATGTGTCATTATGACTGTGATTGAATACGCGCATTTTGCAAACGGAAAGGCGGTATATATTTGAGGCGCGATTTTGCTTGTTGTATGTTTGTTTTTGTGCGTTTTGAATAGACAGAACTTTTACTTGCATTCGTTTACCCCTTTTTCGGAAATGAAATATAATGATAAGGCTCATACTCAAAAAACGAATAGGAACTATGGGAAATGTGACATTTGCGAGATCGTGTATGCCAGTGAAATGGTAATTCTCCTTCGTAGGCTAGCTATAATGTTTGTTATTCTAGGTTTCTGTGCAGCACATGCTGAGTTTAAAGCACCATAAGCGCTATGAAGCTGTTCAGCGTAGCCTAGGAAATCCTATGTAATGCCCTACCATTTCTCATGGTCTTAGTTCGCACTTCTGCCCTGTTTGTGGGATCGGTGGGATACGAGACATCAAGGCGTGGACTGACCACGTTTGTTCAATTCTGCATTCTTCTAATTTTGGCCAATATATGCAAATATCCAATACCCAGTATGGCTTCTGTTCATCATTTGCTAATGTCTTGCCATTTTCCTCTTCTTAGAAAAATGGCAGTAAAACAGCAAAGAAATGACAAATTGGTGCATAAAAGATTGTTAAACGAGCCACATATTGGAGGTAACTGCTTATTTTTAAGTAATTATCAAATTGTTCTTAAATAAATCTCCACTACATGCTTGGTGTCAGTTACCTATATACTTTCATTGTAGAAAGCTCTGTATCCCTTGCAATGTCTAAGACTCAGCCTGAGGTAATCCTTCAGGATCAAGTTTCATCATCTGGCAGTGGAATCTCCGAAGATCTAGGTATATGATTATTTGTATTATCATCGCCAGTGGATTTATTAGGAAACTTGGCCTCCACCCCTACTTCTAAAGTCGTTCGTCTAAATCTACCTTCCACATCCGGTAGCTCATTTTGCTATACTATCCTAAATCAAACCAACTGTTTTACTCATTAACATTTTTTGTTGCTATGTCGTTGCAGTTGAAAAGGCAGGAACATCACTATCTCGTGAAGAGGTCCCACACACCAATATAGATGACCGAGAATCAAACTGCTATCCGCGTTCCACGGTAAACGAACGGGAGTCACATCATTCAATAAATGATCAATATTCAAATGATGGTTCTCCTTCACCAAACTATTACAGAGTGAGTTGGGAATATTTGCCATTTTAAGAAAGGGTTGAACAATTCGCATTTCCCAAGTATATGTCACAGATCTTTTGTCGTTGCAAAGGTAAGGTTCTCGTTTGTGGTAAATGTGTTAAAAGTGATTTTACAGTTTGTTCCCTAATCACAGCTTCAATAACATTTCGTGCTAAATTTTCTTAAGCGGTGTCATCCATAGTGGTCTATTATATTCACTTGTGCTGTACTGTGAAGTCGTTTTTTAGACTTAAGTGGCTCGAATAGAAAATCGACAATACAAGAAGTTAATGACAAACTTGCATAGAAATCATATACACATGTCTACTTTGACCATTGCATATTCTTGTAGCATTTCGTGTCGGTTTCGTAAATTGGTGACTTCCCGCTCTTTACCACAGATCCCTCTACTTGATTATCGTCGCTCCCGTTACTATCCGGCGTCTCATTCATCTGGAAATGAGCCGCCTGACGTTTACTGGGATCGATCTTCTCACCAAAGAATGAACCGTTTTGATTGCAATAGAACTTATGACTACCACCGCCAGAGCTATCTTGTCAGACACCCTCGACCTTATCGCAGTGGCCGATCATCCATATTACAATCGCATCTCTGTTCACCACGATCTAACTCTTTTGTCAGCAATGAACGACCAAAAATATCATCGGAATCCGACAGAGACAACGCTTCAAGGTCGGACTCTTGGCATACTAGCCAAAAGGAGGCGCCAATGGTGAACACGCGAATATCAGAAAACGAGCTGGCTCGCCAGTCGCCAGAATCCCCAAAATCGGTGCCGCAAAATTCAATGCAGCAAGAATCGGCACAGCACAGGTTGTCTGCACAAGAGGGACCTTCAACAGAGTATTCAGTGTCGGTAATGACGGATCCATCCGCAAGACCTACTCTCTCAGCATTGCCGCCTTCGAGCACTGTTGAGAAAACTCATGAAGTTTGGGAACTATCCGAGGCTCTGGATAAGCTAAGGCAGCAACAACATACCCTCACACACTACATTCGACAATTGAAGTATATTCGACAGCAGGCAAGTTTTGTCTGCGTTTTGACAGATTTGATATGTATGTAATGAGCCACAGGCATTAAGTTGGTTTATGCTTTGTCTTCTCGGATAACATGCAGGTGAAGTCGATCCGTCAGTCAGTCATTTACCGCCGTTTTGAGAACGAACTTTTGATGTCTTTTCAGTACAGCATTAATAAGCCATTAACCCTCCAGGTGTTTTATATATTGCATTAAGCTGGATATCATTTTAGTGGCTAGCTTACCCATAGCTTTATACAGTGTCATTTTGAGAATCGGATTCAACTTTGGTCCTTATTTCATATGCAGCTTTTGTACTATCAACCACTTTGCTTTTTCGCTGTTATAACTAAATATAATGTTTGACAGTAACACTGGCATCGACTTAGACAACATGATGCGATTTGCATTATAACTATATATACGTTTTCCACATTTGTCAACTTTTTCTATTTGAGTTATTTATTGTAGAAAAGTGAAGAGAAGAGGCTTCTCAGGAAACGACGCTCAGCTCTTCTTCGAGGTGATTTTCTTGTGCTAACGACCTGTTACTTCAGACGGAACTAAATGGCAATTATTGGTGTTCAGTCCTGTTACTAAAGTCAAATCTGGTAATCATTCAGGTTTCTGTTATTATTAGAACTGCTATTCTTTCACCGAACGCCATTTACCTTATGATCGTACTTGCGGTATCACAGGCAGGACCTTATGCATGCCCTCTAATCAGATCTGATTGTAGCTCTTAATTCGTCGCATAAGCTTGCTTAATTACTGATGCCTTTCTTCCCTAGAAATGAATCTGTCAGATTCCCAGGCCGAAACCGGTTCTAGTGATGAATTCAATGACAACACCGCAGATGGGTTAGGTCCAATTGAAACGGTAGTGGAGGGTCATAACTTTGGAGAAGTAGTTGTCAGCGCCAGTGGTGCCACCTCTAAGGTCGTTCCCTCTGCTCCTGAAATCGTCGATGAGGCACGTGACCAGAGTAGACCCTATCGTCAACCGCCTCTGTCGTCCGTCGCGGAGGTGATGCTTGATAATGTTACTTCGAGCGCGTCAGTGGTGACGACGGTACTGCCAGCATCCGGACTCTCAGGTGCCTGTACAAACTCTCCACATTTCATATTCTTTTCCCCGTTTATGGTTGTTGTTTTTCTGTATAAAAATGACAGTAACCTAGGTGATTTTTAGTACCAGGCAAGCGTAAAGTGAAAATTAGCATATTCATAGCCGCCAACAACTACGAAGGGGTGCATTCAGGTACGACGCTTTCATTTGGCATTATCACAATTCTGGTGTTCATCATTTGGTTCATATTTATCTTTATGATATATTACTAGTTTTTTAAATGAATTTCAAATCGTATTTTTTAGCTGAAGGCGGTAATGAGACTTTTACTTCGGATGGACCCGAGTTGCCTATGCTACCGACAAGGTCAAGGAAACATTCTAGTCAGTCTGACCAAACTCCTTCGGTCTCTGCTGCTGCTGCTGCTGTCAAAGGTTGTAATCCGAGTTGTGCTTCTGGCATTCTTTTGAAGATCTCTGTATTAATTCACTTCAGTATCACACTCACCAACTTTGTTTAAGTACTGCGTCAATGCGCCATTCCCCCAAAGTACCTGATACCAGGGCTCGCAATATTCACGAGTATTTTACTGTATTTCCGTAGGTTGCACTTACAAACATTAGGAATTACTTGATTCAGTGCTTCTTGGGGAACTGGTTGGATTCGTTATTTCTGTAATCAAGCGTGTCACCAAATCGTGTGCTTTTGCCCATCTGTTCCCAGCTCCCCCAGAACAGCTGCTTGAAAAGGATTCTATGGTTCCACGAGGGGGCCGACGGCCCCGACGCAAAAGTGAGCTCGAGCATTTCAAGTAGATAACAAAATGTTTTCCAATGCCTTTATCATTTAACTTTTGTATTACTCTAGTTCATATTCCGATTCTCCCTGGGTACATTTTTCATGAAAGATGGCCGTTTACAAGCCCTAATGACTACTTGCATTCGGTTCCGGGTTTCTTTATCAAGTCTTTTTTTGAAACAATATTTAGGCCTATCACTGCTTTATTTGGTTGTAACTTTTTAGTCTTCAAAAATGTGTTTGTTGGCACTATTGCCTTTGCATAAACATCTTTGGCTCTTGTAACTGCTGTTTACCGACTTAGCTGCATTTAATTAATCGAATGGAACGCGTTAATGACGTATCTTCTCCTATCCCTGAAACCAATGTGTTTAATGCATCTTTTAGATCCAAGGAATGTGGTCTCTGCAAGGCGTTCATCCAGAAGAAGTGAGTCACCTGCACACAGCATTGCAGTTTGGGAATATCAAATGAAAATTTCCCCCCTCCCCTCCCTCCCTTCCCCAAGCGCTACATTCCGTTTGCCTAAGCATGTATATTAGGCGTCTCCACTGATATGAGCTTCAAAGTGGAGGGCATTATGTGTAATAATGTTTTGCGGGTTGAATTGCCATGCAAACTGAGCTCAGCCAGTAACGTTTCCAACTTGAGCAATGCCCTCTGAGATGTTAATCAAAATATAGGTGGCTGCGACATACATAGTCGTTTGCAAAAACCTTAATTGCGAATTAGCTCCCAATACCACTCATTGTTGGGGAAATCAAATCTTCCTCATTGAAGGCTAAATTTCTACCCACCGCAGCGATGACTTTGTCAATGCTAAACGACAGTTAACGTTTTTTTGACTAGTTTTGTTGAATAATTTCTGAAGAAATTCGATCGGACTCTACTAAGTGCAGGCACTTTAGCCATTTGTGTGAACTTTCTGTGGAGAAGATGAGTTAAAAGGATTGCAATGCATGTCATTTTTTAATCAAATTGCAGCTGAGATGCTGCATGCGTTTTTATCAACAGCACGATAAACACATCTGTTGTTCAATGTGGATGACTTCCTGAATGCACGTGATGCATGCTTGTTTTGTGTTTTTTTTTTAAATTTGTTAAAGAAGCTGCGGCAAAGCATCAATCTCAGACTCCGACCCCTTCCAATGCTACAAAGAGAAGAAAAGTAGCGCAAGATCCTCCAGCAGTGGAAGTAACATCGGAAACATTCCAGCAGACTCGTGATGGAAAAGCAACAGAAGCAGAATCGGAGTCTGGCGTGGATCCAACACGCCTCCGTTGGGTACGCCAGTTGCTAAGTCACCCGCAGAGTCGAGTCTACACTTTCGCTGAGCTCGATAAACTCGTCATCGACATTGTCAATAGCGCTGCCCCTTCAAGTGGGTCTCAGTCCATGTCTAGTGCTGATTGGTCACTTTTGTCCATTCTTCCCGATCTTGTTCTTGCTAATCTCTTTTGCTCTTTTAGAGTCTTCGAAACAAGCTTCGAATCAGTTTTAGCCATTTGCGATTTTAATTGCATTTATGTATTTCAATACAATATGTACACATATTTGTACTTCTTGGACAGTGCCGAGGTGAACGTACGTTTTTGATTAAATTTAAACCGATAATCGGGGCTCGGTCTAAAGCTAATTAGTCGACTTTTCGGTCCGCCACCCCCTAATTCCCCCTTGAACTTCGAGCGGCCAGCCGGTGGGTACTTGGATGCGGTAATTCCGCGGATGTTCGGGCTTGTAACTCAAGGCCGCCACTTTACTCGCGATAGGGGCAATCGTTCTCGCCCTGGTTCATGCACTACTGGTTGTAGAATATCGAACACGGATGAAGTGATTGGTCTAATCTTTAGCTCTAAGTTTGCACTTGGTTTGCTAGGCAATATGTGAGGTGCATTTTAGCACTCGAGGGTATCGCTGAATGCTTAGGAGTAAGAGTACTGTGTGGCTTAGATTGTAAATTCTTCTGATATGCAATACTTTTATGAGTGGTGTCCAAGTTCCCTCAAATCAGCGGTAAAGCCAGCTTCATAGGCCGAATAAGGTATAAGTTGTACCATCTCATGGAATAGTTAAGTCGTTAGGCATCATTATTCGTGTTAGACGGGTATTACTACAAGCAGGGCGGTCCTTACTATTACTAATTTTCACTAATGAGTGCATGGGACAATATGTCTCTACCTTGACGGGTGAATAAATATTGGTATTAAGGTAACAGGTCAGAATAGCTGCTAACTATAAAATGCCTGTTTTGTGCTTGTTCTATGCTTTGGAAGTAAGCTAAAAATGAAAAAATAGCAAAAACTGAATGCTGGCTTTGACCGATGTTAATGATGTTATTGATGGAGCAGGATTAAGTGGGTTCACGGAATCTAGTCATAACTTAGCCTGTCACCTCCACCTAAGTCTGGTTTGGGAATAAAATGAACAGTATCGTTAACGCATACAAGGCGAACGCTTACGAAGTCATTCACTTCAAATTGAGTAAGAATTTCTAGATGTTTTCTAAAGTTGCTCTTTAGCGGAACTGGCTCTGTGATTTACCACAAGTCACTTGGCGCTATATAAAACTTCAAACTATCCCCTTAATCAAATCAATTTCGATAGTTTGCTTTACACTGCATACATTTGCTTTATGTGCTATCGTGAGGTTGTTTTTCACGTATTCTTTTGCTGTATCACTGTTTTTAACTTACTTGAATTTAATTTGTGTTCTAGTTGTTTATGTCATTCATTATGCTGCATGTATTTGTACAAATACTTACTAAAGTATTCAATTCCTGTTCTTGTTTATTGGGAAGTAGCTTGATGTTTTTTCACACCCTCATTAGTCAGAGAAAAGGAGGACCTGGATTCGGAGGAGTCTTTTATGCCAGAAATGACACACCAGGTTTTTGGCGAAAGGTAGGTTTTCAAATTTATGCCTTATTAGTGTCAGCGAAATAATATTCGGCTATAAAGATCCTAATATCACCATTGCTTACATGGCCGGAAGCCTTTCTACTTTTGTCGATATTAAATATTCAGAGAAGATATCTCAATCGATTTCTTGTGGAGTTGAGGTATAGTGGGTCACCTCTTTTATTTGTCTCTTTAGCCCGATGATATTCTAAAATCTTTGAAAAATGTATACACACAAGGCATTTGCACTGAAAGGGTGGATTTCTTGGACACATTCGAGGGAGAGTTGAAGTTCAAGCCGTTCGGTAGTTTGCAAACTGCTTACACGATCAACAGAGATGGACAGTCCCGCGAGTTTGTGGTGTATCGTGTTGATCACTCGGCACCCGATTTTGAAGCTTTTTCCAAGTATCTTTTGCGCATGGAACCCTTCCTTCTGTTCTTTGTTGACGAATCATCGTTCGTTGATTTGGATAACCGGTGGAGTTTCTACATACTGTAAGGCGCTTGTGTATGCTTAAGCCGGCCACTTTAATAGGTACGAGAAGTTTAGTTCTGCGAGCTCCTCAAACATACGTTTCGCGTTCGCTGGCTATGTGTCAGTTTACAAGTTCTATGCGTATCCAGAACACGTTCGGCCTAGATTGAGTCAGATGCTAATTCTGCCTCCCTTCCAGAAAATGGGTCACGCTACCCGACTTCTCGAAACGGTTTACAAAGACCTAACTCCTCTGACAGAAGTTATTGACATTACTGGTAAGATTTAAGCAGATATTTTTGTTACGTCTTAAGTACTAACCTGAGAGTCGCGGCATCATTTTGGTTAAAACCACTTGATTATCCTCACACGCGGGGGTTTTCTGTTGTTTTGAGTTTTTATTAAAGATTAGTGGTACTTTTAATTGCTATGCCAAATATCTTTGTTCAACTTATGTTAGCCTTCTCATTTCGCCTAAATAAAACTTTTTGTTCATCGACGACAATACATATGATGGTGACCAGTTTTGTTCAAGGGCCACGTGTCTGTTTCTAACACAATTAGAAGCTATAAATGCGGTGCAATGCTTTTTCTTCTAATTAAACAGAATAAAACCCACCCCGTTTGTTGTGAAGTGTAAGTGAGATGTATACTGCAATTGTGCGTAAATGAAAGGTGCTCCACCCCGGTTCTATTATCTAAAGCCAAAATTTGACAGTGAGTTGAATTCATTCCCTCTTATGAGCGAGGGCGAGGGCCAGGGATGCGGGACTGACTAAGCCGTTCATTGACGTGTTTCAGTGGAAAGTCCCTCAGGTGATTTAACTCGGCTGCGCGACTATCTGGATAGCAAACGCTGCCTGGAGCTAGCCGATTGTGTAAAGATTCTCAAGGAGGTGAAGGAGACTGTGGAAACGGCGGTGGCGGGGACCAACGAAGCGGTACCAGCTGCAGAAGAGGAGGCAAAAGATGCAGAAGAGGCGGCGCCATCCAGCACCAAGCGCAGACGCCTCAGTGTCACTCCAGCGGAGACCCGCAGCATCAACGCGGCCAACAGCTTCTATAAGGTGGTGCGACAGCAGCTCAAGTTGTCACGTACGCAGTCACGTCGCGTCTACCAAATTCTTCTCTTCTTCCTCCTCACCCACAACAAGCCTGAGGCTGTGGAGGCCTATCGCAAGGCTCTTCTCAAGCGTACTCGCATTGTCAACGGTGTAGGCCTTTTCCTCTCTCTATATAGATACAGGCAAAATCTTGCATCTCATGGAAATTCTCTCTTTTATGATGAATTTGCCACCGTCAGTATCAAGTTAGTGCTAGCTTCAATTTTATGCCCGTGTAAGCTATTTGATGTTTTTTTGTCATTGCAGTTTGTTCTGCTTTAAGAGAGGGAGTTACGCGTTTTTAACAATTTGGTCTTATTTGCTTTCTGCTACGGTTGTAAAGTTGCATTCAACACCACCCAGATAATGCTTATCGCCACCGTTTGCTTTCAGCGACCTCGTTTGGCTTCGTCATCATTTGCGCCAATAATGAATCGACACAATTTGATCACTGACCTTTTTAACGAAGAATACGAACGCGAAGTGGCGCAGCAGGTGGAAACAGAGTTAATTGCCTACAAGAAGATCGCAGAGAAGTTGGAGGCAGCTGTCCGGGTGGGCGAGGTGGATCTCAAGTGTCTTGTTGACTGACCCTTCGTCCTCCCCCCATCTCCCCCTCGCATTTATCGTAGCCCTTGACGCCTCACTTCTATCATGACGCTTTTTATACACAATAAAGTTTGTTGAGATTATCATAGCTTTCACCTCGGTGACGAATCAAATTTGCAAGGAGCGTTCAATTCAGATTGGGTGCTGCTGTGGCGATTCCGCAGTCAGTAGTACGTGACGAGTGCTTTTTTTTCTATTATTCGGCGCTCAGGCATGGCTCATCAGGATAATGGGCAGCGGTGGCAGTGTATGCAACAGCGCATAGTAATGGTGGAGTTTCTTGTTAAAGGGGACATAAAACCTATGCCAACGTCTGGTAACCGAAAAGCCGGAGAAGAGAAAGGCTTGTTGGTAGCGCCAAGCCACCCAAAGATAGTCTACTTGTCCTTTTGTAAGTGGCAAATTTTGCCGTCTCTACAGAGAGACTCATCGGCAAATTAAGCGTCGATCGGACGCTCAGGATGAGGCAGATACTCCACTAGTTTAATGCTCACAGCTGGGACCTTAATATTTCAAGCTTACAGACAAGCATTTTCAAAAAGTTTACAGTCTTGAGTCGCATCCACCGGTGTGGGTTTTAAGTGTAGCGAGGACTATGTCTACAGACAGATTTGGTTTCCAACACCCATCGTGGCTTTCTCGGTTTCCCGGCTGGCTCATTAGAAGCCCTTTTAAGAATTTTGGAGTATTTTTCGGTCTCTAAATCGTGGCGTGTGTGCGTAGTGAACACACCAGTGCATGTGAATGCGCCTTGGAAGAAAATGCATTGAATGTGAAAATGGTCTGGGTGTTAGGTTTACGGGGGCGCATACGTTTGCCGGGGGCTGTTAAAGCACTTAAGCACTTCGATTTTCAAAATCGTGCTCTCTAAGTTAGTCCTACGATGCAACGTCCCGATGTCAGAGCAGTGAAATCCTACACAATTAATATCACTAAATTACGTTACAGTTCCTTCCTTTAAAACATGCCTTTTTGTGTGATAATCCATGAATGAAATTCGACACACTGGTTTGGTTATAAACGATTTGCCAATTCAGCTGCAGCATATTTGGCGCATACAGTGGCACAGTAATCAAATCCAGAAGGCCCAACGCTCTGTTTTATCAATATCCTGTTCTGTGATGTAGTTTGTAGAAATGATGGCGCCGTATACCGTCTTGCCGGAGTGTTTTTTAATAAAATTAGAGAGTTATCCCAACTAATAGCTGTCTACCTCCCAAGACAAGGTCTATTCTTGATTGCACACCTAGGTAGTTCCTTGCTGTTCCAAGGATGCTAGAGTAAATTCAGATGGGTGTTGTTAAGACTCCCTTGGCCTTTTTGGGTAGCCAAAATCTTGAAGATGAGGTTTTAGATTCGGAAGTTGTTATTTAGGTTAAATGTAAGGTTGTTTTCGATGCATGCAGTTTTGATGCATGAAGAAAAAGTCGTTTCCCACTAATGGTGCATTACCACATGTTTGAGGAGGGGAATGCTGTTCCTCCTACCAGGGTATATACTTCACAGCAAAATGATAAATCTCTCATGTTTCATGGTTCGTAAGCAGCCACTGACTTGTGCATACTTATAGCAAGGCGCAAAGATCCCATGATGTTTACTTAGCATCTGCTTCGTGGCCGTGTTCACCACTATAACCTTGGGAAAAAAACATTCTGTTGCACAGACGTCAGTATTGCATCCTTAGTGGGGCTCAACTACAGCAGCAAAAGGCCAGATTGTGTGAAAATATGGTACTCTACTTACTTGATCCAACGGGCTTCATGAACCCCTGGTCAGCATCCAGAGCACACGGCCGAAAGTGCCTAGTCACGTGCCCGAGTCATAGCTAATCGCAACACTACAACCAAGCGTGATCAGGCATTAATAAAACTTCCACCAACTCCTCCTTGGTGGTTCAGCCGTTTAAGGTCACTCGATCGTCACGAGTGTTCCGACTAGTTGTTGCGAAATAACACACGGATGTGTGTGCTGTAGCCGTCGACAAGATCAGTCCGCTTGCGCGCGTACCATCACGTTTGAAGCTTCGTCCACTCACATCTAATTTTTTTAAAACGGCCTCCTTGACCTTAAAAATCTCAACTCAAATAAAATTCGTCAAAGCAGGAGACAATGCCATCTGAAGTTCTAGATGAAAAAAGAATAAAGTAATGATTAGATTAGGCGAGAAACAATCCCGGACAAGTACTCAGTAAAGTAAAGGAATGAAAGTGCGCAATAACGGTACGTGCTGTCTTCCTTTACGCTGTTCATGACTGTGAGGGTCATTATGTGAAACGCAATAAGGGCAACTCCATGCGCACTTACACATTAGTCAGAATAAGGAAACCGGTTACTTAAACTGTGAGAACCCAAATGCTACTGAATCCTACATATTGCCAAGGTATTTCAAAAGGATACAAAGAGCAAAGTTAACAAGTAAAAACGTAGATTAAGAAGCGTAAATTTTATGCAGCCATCACCTCAAGTTGGTATGAAATCTGCATATGGCTGAAAGGAAAACCACATACGATGATCAGAGAAACAGTTGCAACAATGCACAACTCAGTAATTCCAGTAAAATACCCGTGCTACGCTCCCACAGCAGAATACAACCAAAACAAGGGACTTGTAAAGGAGAAGCCCACAAAAAAGACAATTTCAATAAGGCTTTTCGTAAGATGCAAAAATGCATTCACATACCCACTCATCATAACCAAATAACTGGTACTCAAAGGAAAGGGATACGTCAGAGGGGTTAAGAAAGATAATTAAAAGGCCACAAAGTTAAGTGTGAGTGGGTGCAGTTACTCGTGCTTCTCGTTCTGCGCAGGAGAGGCGGGAACGGTGACAGGAGAGACTGATGGGGCGACAGAGGTGGAGGAATGAGCAGTGAAGCAGAGCGAGACGGCTGCCAGCGGTGCCGCAATCCACCGAAAATGGCGTTTTCGCAAAAGACGCACAGCCTGGCGCAGCGGATTGGAAAACTCGTGAGGCACCGTACCACGCACATCCGATTCGAAGAAGGTGAGGAGAGGAAACCAAATCTGAGCACGTCGCATGTCACAATGGAGGAGGTGGTGGTTGTTGGCCTGCCAGTGGTAGTAGAGGAAGAGACGCGAGGTAATATAGATGGCAACAAAGACATCGATGGAATAGTGCTCGTGCGCTGCTAAGATGAAGAAGACCCCGAAGACGTTGAGCACCCAAGTGAAGTTGTGCAGGCGGTTCAGGCGGCAGGGTGTGTATTCAGTAATAAAGAAGTTGAGCATTGTTATTACGGTCGTGTGTCCGCTGAACATATAGTCACCGCAGGTTCTCACTCCTCGCAGAGTCATGCCTGGTGTAGTAGAAGTGGCTGCGCATTACTTTCCCGTTCAAAAAGCATCGATCAGAATCGAGATATCTACTGACTTCATATTATGGATCACTTAAAGTTACTCACTCAAAGAAGAGAGAATATTTGGCAATAGTTCCACCATAAATATTAGGAGAATAGTCACACTACCATTCCGATGGCGATAAACACAGCGCAACAGGCACAGTTGTCACAAGACACAAATGAATGTTCAGGCGAAAATTTATAGAAGAAATAAGAAGTCTAAGTAGCAGTAAAACCACTTTTGTAAATACCTTGAATGTGTAGGAGGTTTAAAAACGTTCCAAATCGCTAAGTACAACATCAAATTTTGTCAATACTGTGCACGTGAACAAGCAGAGGATTGTGCAAACTGTGGCAAAAATATTAATACCATCTTAACCACAGGCATCGACTTCCTTGGTAGTTTCTAGTAAAGTGGAGACGCATACCCATTCCAAACCAAATTTCAGCGGCCCGTGCAAACTTTTCCCGATAGGAGTCGAAAACGAAGGGCCGACACTCAGTCAGGAGATGCTTTCCAGGCACACTCAGCGAGGTAATAATCATGGTGATAGAGCGCAGTAGGAAGACGGTTCCCAGAAGCGAGCAGTAGCGACGGAAGAGAATGAGGCGATGTTTGTGGAAGAAGAGGACAGTAAACCAAATAAGGCATAGACAGAGAGCAATCAGTTCAGCCGCCTCGAATGCCCAGGGGATGTACGGCAGGTTGTCCAGCAGGATGTCTGGAAGTGGGGGATACTTGGATATATCAGGCAGGCGCTCATGGGCTAGAACCATGACGAAAGAGGTGACACCGAGGGAAAGAAAGGCATAGATGGCACTGATAATGACTTTCCAAATCTTTGGTTTCAATTCACAAATTGGGGAGTCAGAGAAGAATCGGCAGGACTCAGAGTAATGGGAGTAGTCTAAATCACCCCCAGAGAGGATATCCAAACAGGAACAACAAGAAGTTTGGTGTCGAGAACGCCATACGTCGATTAAAAAAAGGAGCTTTTTGAGAATACCCACTTTAGCGACGCCCATCTCACGAAGGTCATTTACTGTAAGCATCGCAAAAGTGAAGCCATCGACCATGTGTTGCTCAAAAAGGAAGCGTGTTTCGGCATCGACACCTTGTGATTCGAGCCAGTAGAAGAAGGCTGCAGGTGATTCGTTGATGAGACACTTTGCATCGTGCGTAGGTCCACTCATTGTTTTACAACGCTAAAGAACATATTAGGGAACAAGAAACATGACAACTGGACGGTAGACAACAGCAATTTCACGGAGTTAGAATCTACCGGGACGATTTTAAAAGCATAGTGTTCAGGAACATAAACCTCAAAGACATGAGTACGACTAAAACTCCACCAGCAAAATCAAGTTGATTTAATAATGTGCACGTGCGAAGTCTGAAAGTGCACATTTTGCCCATAACTTACTAAAACATCAGTAAGGGCCGAAATGAGACAACTTGTGAAATAAGGAGGAAGACTTAGGCTTTATAAGTGAATTGGGAGACTACGGAATTAAATGCTACTTGCAAGTAAACCATATAGCAAACGAAAATGATAAAAACACAAGAAATGATAACAACGTGCCCAACCAAAAACATTCTCCATAAAAATGCGCCAAGGTCAACTCGGAGACAATCGGTTATATTTCAAAAGCTATAGCTAAACGAATTATTGAGCTGTGCAATAAAAAATACCTGATTTACTCCTTTTGATTTAATCGGAGATGCACAAACTGTATTCACGATGGCCAGTATGTATCCTTTTACCAAATATGTATATACAAGGATTATGTAAGGTATACCGATGTCTTTTTATTACAATGAGATCAGAATTCTAAAAACAACTATGATACTAGTCACAATCGAAACTTCCTTTGTCAATGTCACTATGGCGATCTTTGTACACAGGTTTTAATTCCCTGTAAGATAGGAAATAATTGAAACCAGAATTGGCCTAACAGGGTAAATAAATATAACTTGAAGTTTTGGAGGCGGGATCACACTGTTATGTAAGCGGCTATGCAATTGCGGTAAAAAAACCAATCATGAGGAATGAAATCAGGCTTTATGTCCACTACCACATCCATTCATCTCAGGTTTGGTGAGAGCCGGTGCTTTGTAACAATGGCGCTACCTTACTCCAACATAATCTGTAGATAGGTAACCTTTAAACCACGTTTAGGGAAACAACATAAACTGTGGAATTGGTACAGAATATGTTCTTAGTCAGCCTAGATTCACCTTCTTTTAAAGAGGAACTTGTTTGTGGCGAGGCGATAATCGCTACAAAACTGAGGACGCCTGCTATTAATTTCGAGAGTTGTCAAAGTGAACATTGAACGTGCTGATGACTAAAATTCTGTACGTGTTCTTTTCTCCGCGAGTGGTACCAACGCTCAAGTGACCATGTTCAAGTGGTAACAGCTTAATCTAGTGGCAGGAAGCCAATAAACTGCGGCACTTTGATTACAGGAAAAAAATGTAAAATTGGAAAATTGCCACCAAATAATCAATGCCCAAACATTGACATTTGCAAGGTTTAAGATGGGGGCCAGCACGGAGTCGAAATAGGTCCAAAATCTTTAATTGATGTCTTTTGGCACCTTTTGATAAAGCACCAATGGTTTATATATCTACAACACGTCTAAGGCTTCCTAAGATATTAAATAAAATAAATGTAGCTCTGATGCTTGGAGTGCGTACTCACAATGTTGATCAGATAAGTTGGTGTGATTTGGCTTGATGGACAGGGAGAATCAGGGGCAAGTATAAGAGGATTAAGGTCAAAAATTGGGGTTTCTTAAGCAGCTGTTTGCGTCACACGCATGTTTGGGCCACGACAAATGGACTGGACCTGCTCTAGCCTACCACACTTATGACATGGCATTTTGAACTCTGAGTTAAAGCAAAGTTCTTTAGGACTCATGACTTACAATTTTCATCATTCTGTAGCATTTGGATATGCCAACTAGTCGGCACTAGTTACACCTTTACACGTCCGTATCCGTTGGCATCATAAGCTTTCCGAGTTGCTTTTTTTGGCCCACGGGATTGTGGTTCCAAAGGTAACGGTGGTTTTGCATCCTGCTGCTGTTCGTACAGAGTTCAAATAGATTAAGGATTTGGATCTTGCACTAACAAAGAATTTCTTCACATTTCTGGCTAATTCAACAATTGGTTGGTTAAGGAATTTAAGCTGAGTCCGTAGTTGATCACCGAAGTTACAGCAGGTAACTTGATTTTGGGCCATATAATTTCTTATATATTGGTTCTCTTTTGCATATACAAATAAAACTCAGCTAGCACAGCTGCCTCGAAGTTCATGGGTTGCGTGTCGGCATAATTTTTTAAAGCTTACATGGATAAGTGAAACTGCAAGATTTTGGAATGCCATTCTGTTAGCATAAGGAAGTGAGCCATTTGCTTATCCATATTCGGACTCTTGTGAGCTAGGTCCCAGCCTTCAATCTCTCTTGCAGAGGCATGAATGGTCAGAGTTTCGGATTGACAGGAACTCATCTCGAAAATTGAGACTTCGCAGGGCCATTTGCAGTAATCCTAGCGCAATGGTTCCACGGAGGGACTCGAATTTAGGACTAGTTTTACGAAGTAAAAACATAATTCAGTTTGTTGAAATTTAAACTGTACTGTTCACACAAATGCTTATACAGTTACAGTAATACGAGAATGATGAAGTTTAGTACACAACTAAGAATTCTCAAAGAAAAATCCGCCCTTCAATGAGAAGGTTTACTAAAGATATTGAAAATTGGTGTTGGGAGGAAGATTTGCAGTTACTTATTTATCAGCATTCATTAATCAGTAGTAGTACTACTGCATTTTCAGTCCCTTTTGTAAGGTAATCGGGAAGCTTCAACATGACAGTCATGATCCTTTGTATTTCCTACTTTACCAAAAATTATGTCAATCAGGGGAAACCTCAAAGAGATGTGCAGCAGAAATACGATAACTCCACTTTGGACGGATTAAATTATTCTTACTTCTAAGTGTGCGTAAAATTTGGTCTGAACAAATAATTGAAACGTTGATACAATTTAGAAATACACACGATTACGACAACTTCGGGAACAACATTTTTACTGATGTGGCAGTAATTTGTTAATGTTTTGATTAAAATGGTAAAGAGACTGATTTTGACAAAAGTGTTAGCCGACACTGGAAAGTGTTTGGTAGAAATGGAGCGATTAAGTGTGGCATCATTATAGGTGAAGTTGAGGAAGTCTGGGGTTGGGTACACATGTGGTCAGAGCAGGTGGACTGCTTTTGTAAAAGAGGAAGGGGCGCATGTAGTGGCGTTTGATTGAAATGTCATTTCTTGCTCCGCCATTCATCAATATCATTGCTGATGGAGGTTGAATTCAAGTTGTTATTTTCAGTCGCGTAGAGGTAAAACCTTGTGTTGGATCGGACTTTGCTTCTCTGTCCGCGCATTTCGGATAGGCGAACAGAGACAAAAATGTCCGCCGGAGGTTCAATCGGTCTGACCAGTAACAATTCAACCGTTCGTCTATCAGAGGCTTTCACGGCTAACTATGTTCCAGATCAAAAAGTGTAACAAGAAATTGATGGAATTAATATTTTTCTTGATTACGTAAACAAGAGAAATTTACCTTCAGCGAATTCTTCACTGAAATGTGACGCTTTGTGCGTGTGTCGTAAGCATAGTGTTCCAGTAGTTCAACATTCACAGTTCCACGTTTGACCACTGAAGAATCCAACTCACCTAGAACTATTCGCTTCTTCAAAACTGAGGGTAATTCGATGTGCAGGTGATCAATTCGGAGTGGTCTATCCTTCAAACAGTACGGATCAAAGGTATTGCATTCATATTCTGGCATTAAGGAGCACCTGTAAAAGATCAGTCATTCAACGCAAGACACTACTACCAAGGCTCGATAGTGCTATGTGAGATTGTGATGAGTACCTGTATCCATTCGGAATTTTTTGTTTTACATACATAGATGGACAACGCTTGGAGACGCAGCGATAAGAACCATGGAGGTTTACGCAACTGAATGTGATCCCTCGGGCGTGGCGTGAAGTACAAATGCCGTCCCGCTCCTGACACTCATTAACGTCTGCGGTTGTATACAAAATCAGAGATTTATTCAACAAAATGTAAATCAACAGAAGATTAGTCATAACTTATTCTTACTTTTTGAATGGAGATAGACTTACTTGCTCAGGGGAGGCAGATGGAGTACATTCAAAAGTGATAGGATTATTGTAATTAAAATCAACAATTGCTTGTTAGTTATTAAATGGAATCTTTTCAGTGATCAGATCTTTGTTTATCTGGTTATTTAACTACATGGGTTCTCTAGTAGTCGCGGGTTGTACTTCTCCTCGATGGTGCAGCCCTCCGGCCATGCCTATAGCCGCCCAGACCTTCTGTACGTTAATACTAACTTCAAGAGAGACACGAGGCACCACATTTTAGTAGCAATTAAGAATCCTCCTTGTGACTTCCGGTACTTCATCCATTAAGCTGCATGAAGTTGTCAACGAAGTAATTTTGAAATTCGTGCTGTCCTTCTTCAAAAAAGAATACAGGAAAGCGATTGCTTAACTTGTGAAAGAGCGATTGAAGTTTGTTAAGGTCTCTTGACAGTAGGCTACGTGGAAACAATTTGAAAAAGCTGAGATAAAAGAAGGATTTTCCAACCGTTAAACAGGAAGCTCCATCTATCACAAAAATGACTTATTGTTTGCGCAATGGCATCATAACTCAGTACTCATGAAGAACTAGAACTGATCCGGATGCTGTGATGTGGAAATTCATGACTCCAGAGTCGTGGAAGATGACTACAACTATTGCCGACTTTCCTAAATGGTACTGTTAAATATCTAATGTGTGTCAAATCATCACACAGTGCACTTTGTACTATCTTGTCCCACTTTCCCAAAATAAGCGGGAAACTCAGCAGTGCTTCGAATCATACTGCATAGCACTGAGGATGTGGAATTGCATATCACAACATTCGGATCAATTTAAGTTCAGATTCCAGTGTACTGAGCCTTCGTCATCACGTGATCACTTGATGACACCATGACCTCGCGAACGGTATATGGGGGTTAGTAGCTTATTCTGTTGTAATCTCACCTTCACCTTAACGTTATTTTTTTGTCCTATAAAAGTCATGTGGCATCACATGATAACTTTCATAGCACAAACAAGCAGTGTGCAGGAGGACTTACCAACACAGTTCCCACCCTTTCCGAGACGAAAGCCAGAGGGACAGTCACACCGAAAGGAGCCGGGAGTGTTGACGCAAATTCCACTCTGGCACAGCGCGCCTGCGCCCTTCTCCGTACACTCATTAATATCTGCACATATAAGAAAATAACGCAAATGTTATAACAATGCCATTAAATTGAGCTCCACCTTAATTAAAACAGTGCTGTATCACTGTGGCGAAGGAATATTTCATAGTGTGTGGAACAGTATAGGGTCTGAGTAACCCACCGATGCAAGTTCTATTATCCCAATTGAGGCGGTATCCCTTCGCGCATTCACAGTGGTACCCTCCCTCGTCGTTAACACATCGGTGCTCAGGTCCGCACGTATCAATCTCGAGCACACATTCATTGACATCTGAAGAGAATATGGTCATTAACATCGTTATATCTTCCAGGTAATCATCCCATAACAGAGCCTTTCTCCTTTTCTTTAGGAAAGCAAACCGGTTTCCACCTATACAACTCACTACCTTTCCGCTTCAAAAATAGGCAGAATATGTGTTATGTAAGTTGTTTTTTTCAAATAGAAACATTTTTAAAAGGCATACGATTTTTGAGTTTCCTTAGAGGAAGACAAGACACCGTAACCTAAGAATTGATGAACATGGTGATGTTAGTGGATTAAATTTGACCCTTTTTTGGGATCCAACGTCTTCTTTACACCAGATCATTATTTTTAGAAGAAAGTTACTTCAAAAATCGTAGAGATTGTGATAAATTAGGCTTTATCAACATTTTCTTTGAAAGCAAAAGAATGAGTCCGGGGGAAGTGAAATCAGTCAGAAAGCCAATGCTCGCTATCGGGATGATGAGGGAAAAGATTATGAAACGACGGATGAAGATGGACCAGCATCTGGTGTTGGCTAAAGTTGCCAAGGCAGCACATCAGGAATTTTCAAGATGTTTCCATCATTTGCCCTTGTTGTATGTTCAATAATTTACAATTTTTTATCACATAAATGATACTAAAGTTGCAAATTTCAACTGTTATATGGAAAAAAAGAATTATTAGTCTTCTAGTCTGCTAGATTAGATGATTTGCGGGCTATAAGTCTTGTAATTCGGTGGTACTTATGATGTGTGCTGGTTTGTTAGGCGAAAATAGACCTATTTACCTCGACAGGCATAGACAGGGTAGCTGTGCCAGACAAATCCGTTTGGACAAATGCAACGGTAACTACCAGCAGTGTTTACACAGCGGGCACGCCTGTCCGGGCACGATTCCTCCGGGCGAAATACCTCACATTCGTTGATATCTACAATATATTCGCTGACATTCTTACTGGTAGGTACATGTAGTAAGGTACAGCTCTTATTGGAATTTTTTTAATGTGTATTTCAGGGGCAAATAACATGGAGATGATAAGCATATATTTAAAGACATGTTTTTACCGATCATGGGTTCTAACAATGCATGTGGTGTTATTTGATAGGCTTGCCATTTCCAAGCGGCTTATTTGTGAACATTCATTACATTACTGAAATCACAAGATTCTAGTATTCTGACGAAACGTGAATGATTCCGACGAGGACAAGAATGACGTACCGGCACAGGCAGTGTCATTTATGTTTTTAAAGCCTCTTTCGCAGAGACATCGGTAAGACCCAAGGGTGTTTTCACAGTGCATATTCGGACCGCAGTTCGCTTCCCCCGTCGCACATTCGTTGATATCTGCATGAGAAAACGCGAAACCCGCAAAGTACAAAGTAAATCCCTTCATATGAAATACTCATCATATCAAAATGACTTCCAAAGTTATTATTTTATTAGTATTGTTATTTGCCGTTAACCGGGGTGGGACTCTGTGGAAAAGTAACTATTGGTATCTTCACTCATTCTTATAATGTCTGACCACATTTGTACTTTTATGGGAGAAAAAGTTCACATCAACTCCTAGAATTACGAGAAATACCTGTACATGATGCTTTTGGAGATGTTCGATGGAAGCCCTTTGGGCAATCAGTTAGTGTGACACATCTGTAGGCACCAACCGTGTTTACGCACACTTGATGTGAACCGCACAGTGGGTTTTGACGATCTCCATGTTTTTCCTCCTCTGCACACTCATCTATATCTGCTCAGGCAAACAAAGGAAATATGTTACATAGTAAAAGTGGTAATCTAGTAGAACGTCAGTCGGTCATTTCTTGACATTAATTAATGCCAAGATAAGGTCAGACTTCGGTTTTGAGAAATAATTACTTAGTAGTGAAACCGAAGATAATTGGAATTCATTTCTTAGTAGGAAATACCGTTTATAAGTCGGTTACGGGGACGCATATTTGTATTCTCCAAAACGATGTGATATAGAATTTTGTTAATTGACTCACCGACGCATTCTCTTCCGCGATGCTGGAATCCCGTGGAGCAAACACATTTTTCTAAAGCGTAATCATACCTATACGGGGAAAATTACCACAACTTAAAAAACCTTAAACTAGTGAGTGGTGGATCGCGATAGAAGTACCATTAGCAGCCATTTATCTGTGACGACTTCTTATGAGACCAAAAATAAGCTGATGACCGTATGGGCGAGAAGTCATTCTTTTTGTACTCACCTCAGGAGCCAAGAGTGTTATAAGCAGTGGACCTTGTTGCATCGTGCTCAACAGCATTACGTCGCCCTCCCCACAACCACACCAATGATATTTTTTTAAATATGATTCTACTGCTCACTGCCAGTTGATGTTCTTATAAACGAAACCACTTCATAAAAACACCCTCCGCTAAATCTCATCATTTTAAACTCACTAAATGCGTTAACAACAAAATTTTGTGCAAGCAGTTGTAGTAAAATAAATGAAGAATATACGTTACGTATTCTTGATGCTGCGCTCAGATTAGGAAATCGGGGGGTCGCATATGTGTGACGCTGGTGGATGCGTCCCCGACCCCCGGACAGCACTCCTATTTCGGTTCCCCAGAAGTTCACTTTTTGTGACTAACTCCCAAACATTTAAAACATCTAGAAACTTGCGCCCTTATTCAGTCCTCCTGAATGACCAATATGACGTGGAGGCAGACTTTAGGTGTGCTCCAAAAGGTACAGCTTAATCAAATAATGGAAATATGGTAGAATTGAACTACCCCGTGTCTATAGCACATTAACTACTTGTCGAGCACACATACTCATACTAACTGCAAAACATAGGCGTCCACATCGAAGCCTTCGTGTCTCGACAGCTCTGACTGGGAGCTAGACATGCACAAAAACCCCGGTCCACAACAGACGCTAACAGTGAAGGCGTTAAGATATCAAATACAAAGGTCTTTTTAATAAAAAAAAATGAGTTACAGTACCTCTCGGTGAGGTGACAAGGGGAGAGCTCGCATTCGTAGGCACCAGGTGTGTTTACACATATCTGACCGTGTCGACAATTGAAAGCTTTCAATTTGCATTCGTCAATGTCTATGAAAACAAGAAAGTTCAAAAGTTGTGAGCCCCTGCGTCTACTTAGGCAGTCGAATCACTTTTACTGGATTCAATGTTACTGAATCATAAGCATAAAAGCAAATATTTATTAACGTTTTCAAAAGGTTGCAGTAAAAATGACTGTTTGGGTACTTGGTACTACCGATCAAAATACTTGAATTATTAAAATAAATCGGATGGCATTTTCAAGTCTCAGGAATGAGATCGAAATTAGGCTTGGAGGTACAGTATTAAAGGTTAATCAAAACTATTTTAAATCCATTAACTTCATCTCCGTTTACAATTTCCCCATTCCACACATTTCACCACATTGCAAACAACTAATCAACTACTCTTACTCTAAAATTTTAGACGATGGCATGGATGAGCGCCCTTTACTCTCCGTCTTCACCGAGTTTTGGCCGTCAAATCTCACTCAAGTATTGAAAATCTGTCGGTAAATGGACACCTCAACCATCTATGGGTCGTGCAACTCACCATCGCAACTGGTTCCGTTCTTATTGAGTTGGAAGCCCATCTCACAGCGCAACTTCGGCTCGCAGATGTAGTCGCCAGGACGGTTGGTGCATCGCTCGAAGGCTCTGCAAAGAGTCGCGTTCAGCTCGCATTCGTTGATGTCTATGCTTGGAAGAGGAGGTTTAGAAAGACCGTTGAAGTGACCGAAATTATAAAGAAGTTATAGGTAAGTAAGTTATTACTAGAATTCCGTACACCGAGAAAAAATCTAAAATTTATTGCTAAGCATGTTTACATATTGAGGAAGCATTGAAAGAAGTAAGCCTCATTCCAGAAGAGAGCAGGTATAAGCAGCTTAAATTTGCCATGAGCATGGCTAGGACCAAGGTTACATTCTGGAAGCAAAGTGCCTCACCCCACTAATACCTATACTGCTATAAGCAAGTGAATGATGGTCTGGTAATATAAATTACGAAAGAATTGAAAATTTATGCTTGATTTACTTCCTAACGTTGCAATATGAAACCTCGAAAGAAGCCAAAACGAGAAAACACTCAACAATGTTCACCTAAGGACAGCAATGAGGAAAAAATGCCCTGTTTTAAAGGTGAACGCGTGAATTGAGGCAAGTGCTCATTCGCCCGAAATGGGACTCTACCTTCACAGCTATTGCGCCGCTCATTAAAGGTATAGCCAGATGGACAAGGCATGCACAACCCATTGGAGTTTCGTCTAAAATACATTAATAATAAAGATATACACACATACAAAATGTTCCCATTTAGATATTTACAGCTACATGCATCTGAATAACTTATTATAGTGAGACATTTTACAATAGCCAGGTTAAAGAATAAGACTGACTGAAGTGAAATGAGGAAATAATGGTTGTAACTACTAGATGCTAAGCCGATACAAATAGCCTGTTGTTAAAAGACAATACCATTCAGCGCCTGTTTAACATTGCATTCTTCCATAAGTGAGCGATTACCTCAGTTTTCCGGGGCACTTTTTCGGGACGCACTTCATTCCACCTCGTACGTTTACACAGATCATGTTCGGACCGCAGATATCCGGCTGTGCTTTGCACTCGTCGATGTCTATTCGTGAAATAAGAAATTCTCCGACATCGAGGGGCGATGAAACGCACCCTGAATGTTTTAAAGTGTATGTACTTATATTGTTGAGTAATATGTCTAAAAGTTGTTTGGGTTCACATTGCTAGGTACAGAGCCAAAAGGGCGAACTCTACCACCATTAAATCAAGAAGCTTACACTAATTTTAACTTTTAAAAATACTATACCTATCAAACTGTCATAAAAAGGCTATAAAATAATGGTGATAACATGACCGAATGAAAATTTATTACATATGCAGTTTGATAAATATGTTCGTCAAGGCTTAATTAAGCGCACATGACTGCAGTCATTTTTACTTTTGAAGGGCGTTTGGTGGCTTTCTCAAATAAAAGTGGTTGTTTTGATCACCTTCGCATTCCTGGGTCTCGGAGTTGAGCACGTAGCCAAAGCCACAGGGCACTTGACGAATGCACTGGAAGGATCCGATCACGTTTCGGCATTCGTAGCCTGCTTTGCAGACCTCCGAAGAAGCCTTACACTCATCAATATCTAAAAACGGGCAAATTTTCCTCAAATATGCCACTCAATCTCCCAACTCATAGTTTTCTCATAGTCTCACAATTTTTTGGGAAGCGTACATGCAGTAATTGCACAGTCTTGAACTCATTCAGCCAAAATGGGACAATGTCATGCATTTTAGACATTCAGCAGCCATAAGTTCAAACACAAGGCCATTTTCTCTGCTTTAATGCTTTAAAGTAGAGGGGTCATTCAGGGTATCTAATCAAGTTGCCACCTGTATAGTTCAGTCCTACTACAGATGCTACATAATATCCGCGCCTGGCTAACTTAGCTTCAGGTATACAACTGTCGGGACAGCAACAGAATACACACCCATGAAGGTCAAAGTATGCATGAACGTATCATGAAAAATACCTAGAAGACATCAGTCCTTGAAACGAACAAAATAACCTGGGAATCTTATGCGACTAAGAAAGAACTGGCAATGTGGCTGTTTGCTTCAGGCGAAAATGGAACGGAATACCATGTCTTCCATCAGACATAGTTCAAGGTCATTTGCCCAATAGGACCTTTTTGAACATCCAACTTTGCACAAAAGTCAGACAAAGGAATTTAAGAGGAGGCTATTTTGGGCAAGTTTGGATGTTATTAGAAAGTAGAACTTGCCAACACATTCTCCGTCTCGGGTTTTTTGGAAGCCTTGCTTGCAGTTGCACTCGTAGCTCCCCCCAGTGTTGATGCACTGCTGACCAGACTTGGGACAGGCGGCCACGTAGTGACTACCCTCCAAAACGCCCTCCTCGCACTCATTCACGTCTTTTTTCGTAGCAATCACACAAGAGGAAGCAAATCTCGCATTAAACACATGCACATGCCCATGCAGGAACATGCGTTAGGGAAAAAAAGGTGGAAATGTATTGGTAACCTTACACAAATGAAAAGCAATCTGAATGAAGCATTGTTTTTTTGCAGTATGAGAAACATTTGTGTCAAACCTAGTCTTTCAAAAATGGATGCTACTGTGGCAGTACTACATTCGCGATCAAGCCGGCGCACAGGCATTGTTAATCAAGGATGACAGACAATAGATGTAGTGAGAGCATGCAACGCTGTGTGAGTCGACGAAGTTTCTTTGGTAACGAAAGCGTAAAACTGGACCAGTATAAGCCTTTCCAAACGGAAGACAGTACCGTGCGGTGATGGGATATTTAGCTGCTCAGTAGTAGGACAGTTGAATGATCTAAACTTTTCAACGACAATTTTTGGTAGCTCAATCCACAGCCTCCACTGCCGTTCATGTGAACATTTATGCGCAGAACGCCTAGTTCATTCTCAACATTTGGTCGACGCCTAATCTGTCATAAATTTACGGCAGAAACAAATCTTTAAGAACCGTGAATACAATCATTCCTGAACCTTGGCGATCTTAAAAATTTTGAGCCCACTGGACGCTAAGGTAGACAGAATGTCCTAAGATGGATCGATGGTACTGGCAAATCCTCTTAATTCATGGCTACTCAGGCATCAATCAAACGCCAAACAAAAATGCAGGAACTGTTCAATTTTTTTTTATAAACTCAAAAAGAAAACTCCCAAACCCTCTCTGTAATATGATCAGTTTTTTCAGCACTTACTTCACTACTTAGCTTCCAAAACTTTAGCAGAAAAAAGTAACGGCCTCGGTTTTAAGATCCTGAAGTAAAACGAAGCTTGAGGGTGAATAGTAGACAATCAAAACTTTTCTATGGCTCCTTAAAAGAATCTTACTGCTATAGCTTGCTGTGAAGTGTCCAGCTATATCCGAACTGTGCGTTCACGTAAATGGGTATGGTAGTAAACACCTCGGTCTCACGATGGAACTCAAACGCAAAGCGATTTGATTTTTCGGCCTCCATTGACACATCGTGCTATTCATTCAAGGGTTGACCAGTAATTTAAGTCCAGCAGTTGAACAAATATTGAATTGGCAGCTTTGCAATTAAAGCTGGCAAATCTTCATTCTGCCGAGCAACATGGTTCGCTTTAAGCATTTGTCTGTTTCAAGCCCTCTCTAAACTGAAGCCGGTTGTCAGTTATCATTTTATACGGAAACAAACAAGTTGGTATGCCTCAATAAACCTTGTTGACCTCTTAATTTGTCACGAGCCACGAAGAGAATCTGCCAGCGACTGCGTGAAATTCCGCCCAATTAATGTTTATTTGGTGCTTTTCAAAAGGCTAGTTTACTCAGTTGAGCCTAGAAATGTAGAAGAGAGACATGCCAAGACACGGAATGTTTACTACAGAATACAGCCTTACGGGCAATCTGACAGGTGACATTTCACTATTTCGGAGAGGTGCGAGACTAACTGACAATCATTTGGCACCTGAACTCGGTAAACAAGGACAACCTAACCGTGAAATCCTCCTCACTTTCCATACTGTTGGAACCCACACAATTATGAAATATGTAGCTTGCTTATTCCAGATTTCTGTGCCATTTTTCTGACTTCATTCATTTCATTTGTTAACTATATTTAGCTTACCGATGGTACAAAGTATTTTTAAGTCTCATTCAGGTGCTTTTTGAAGTCATTACATTAAAATTAAGTCTGGTTTTTTCTCTGATTTGGTCTGGCTTCAAGTTTATTGATTGCGGAAGTAGCAGTACTAAATAATCCTTCTTTTAAATGCAACAAATTTAGGTCGCAAAATGCATTCTAACTGGCCTACGTATAGAAAAAAAATAACTTGTGTACTTACCCTCACAGCCATTCATATCGTTGCGAAACTCGTAACCAGGAGGGCATTTGAACCTGTCACCAATTTTTGGTAGGCATTTGCTTTGATTCACTGAAAGATACATGCCCTTGGGACATCGAGCTAATGTGTGGAGGCAAAGCTGCTTTTCTGGGTTCCACGTGAAGCCAGGCTCGCAGACGAGTTCCGCCTCTGTGCTGCGTTGCGTTTGAGGTGGAGGTGGAGGTGAATAAGGAGGATGTGAATGCGATGGGACAGTCGGAGGAGGAGACGTGGAGTATGTATACGAGTACGAGTGCTCCGTCGAATTGACTGTTGTGGTGATTGGCTCGAAGCTCGCGTGCTCCGTATACGACTTTGTGTTGTGGCTGCTGGTTGACATTGACGATTGCGTCACCGTCATTGTAGTTGATGGTACAGAGACTATAACAGTCACCGAAGTAGACTTGGCTCTATGACTGTTCGTTGGTCGCTCGTAAGACTCTGCACTACTCCTTGTTGTAATCGCATTAGCAAAGGGATCCAGGTCCTGGGGAACTAGATGAGCATAAAGGAACCGCCCTCAAACATTCGAAGAAGGGTCTTATTACAAATTTACTATCCACGGGATCCATAAAGTGAATACTAACATATCAGGTTGAAGTAAAATTACGAAAACCTTGGAAATTTTGAGAATTTAAAACACATTTGCATCCCAGTAAACAGGAACCAATGAAACCATCGTCTAGTCTTGCGCTTCACCAATCTACATATTCGGAGTGACAAGAGGAAGATGATTTTTAGGTGTAGCGAGCCACTAAGTAATTATTTACATAGGAAAGCTTCGAATGACTTGAAAAGTGGCATGCGGACTTTTTAGATGTGCGCTTAATTCAAATTCAAACTACGGATGATGGTAATTTGGAAACAGCAGATTTTGCGAAGAACCTCCTACATAAGAAGTCATTTTTAGGGATTTAGCTAAAATAAGGTTACGGACCTTGATAACTAATAGCAGACTCATAAAGATAAAAACTTGCACTGTTTAGTTTTAATTGAACATTTCGACTGACCACACATGTAAATGTATAGGGGTATGCACGATTTGTGGGTTCCTAATTCATACCAAGTCTTATGCAAAGGTGTATGAAAATGGAGGCAGGCATAAAAAGACCCTTCGTGAAGTGCGATGACCCGAATGAGAGCCCCACTGCGCTGTGGTGGGCGTTTGTACTTCATGTCCTCATTTGAGTCTCAGGAGTGAGGCAATATACCTGTGCATGTGCCTGATATGCTCGGCTTTTCAACACACCTTCATAGCCTTTGACCGTGCAACAGAGCGGAACGCCGTTGATGTCAAAATCCATGCTGTCGTCCGAAACTACATCCAATGCTGGAAGTCGATTGTGTCTTTTGCAGCAATCCTATAAAACACCACTGCAGCTTTAAGTTTTTTGCCTTTATGAAGGCGGCATATCAAAGCCTCTAAGTTGTTTATTTGAGGAACAAAAGTCTTACTCTCGGGGATTTGAGAAGTTCAGGAGAAAAGTGACTAATGGGCGTTAGCTTGTCGTCAGGAGAATATATACTTCGGGCTGCATTCTCGCAGAAGACATTAGCCTTTGCTGCGTAGAAGCAGCCTCGTTTGACCTGCAGGCATTTGGCCATTTGATCGTCTGGTAATTCAGCATTGATGTCGTCAATCTTCAGGAGGGGAAATATATCCGCTATTAGATCGTTTTAGAACGACTATTTGTTTAGGAGAAAAATTTTTTAAGCTGAATGGCGATTTATATACTACCAGGTACGTTGATGAATGTACATTTTGGCCATTAACAGAATGAGGCGAAGGCAAACGCTTATTCAATGCTTTTAAAAGCGGAAAGTAATGACAACAGTTCGCAGTCTTACTTAAATGCCTTTAAGAATTGCGGGAACCCACTTCCCTATTTATACTAAATTTTTATTGTGCAGCTAAACTTAATTCGCATTTTTGACTGAAACCGGTTTATTGACGAGGTAAGGTGTTGGCAGTCATAGGATTACCTCTTTGAAGATTTGATCCACCTGTTTTATAGCGACGCACTCGTCCGAGTTGCTCGCCTTGATGAGGGTATCTAACTCCATGTCATGTGTGCTGTTGATGCCGACGCTACAGCAGACAGCGAAGGAAAGCTCCACCGCTCGACATGCCGACGGTGGAATGAAGAGCGCAGCAAAGAGGAGGCCGACGCAGAGGAGATGGATGAGGAGGCTATGCTCAGGCAGCATTACCTGAAAAGTATTCCTTTTGTACACTGTCTGATGCACACCAAATTATTAATGGGAAACTCTAAGTGGCGCAGAAGGAGACGGTAGTTGTGATATAAGATTTTAAAATGCATAAAATATTATGGGTGCAGAAGGCGTTTCAAATCTTCCGCTTTAAAGTTCCTGCAAATTGATACGTTTATGCTCGCATTAGGAAATGTTTTACGAGCTTTACTGCTATCTTTCAAGATGTATGCATTTATTAGAAAATCAGTCCCTGAGTGTTCCTCTTTTAAGCTAGCCCCACTGATGGCACGGGTAGGAAAATACCACATCATAGTTACGAAGTTACCGCATTATTTTCCGTGGATGAATTACTATGATCACTTGATTATGTGTCATTTTAAAAGTACTTTTCTGGCGAAATGCGTATGCAATTGGGAGCAAATCCGGTGACTGGAACTTAGGGTTTTTTTTTCGGCAACGGTTCCGTGAGAATTTACGTCCTATCTACCCTCCTGTTAAGTGGTAAGCATGAGTCGTTGTCCTGACCTTACTGGATTTGACAAGAAGGTAAACTGAAAATTTCTATGTCCGGAAGTAAGGAATGATTGTTTTAGATTGGTGAAAATATAACGAAGTAAATTATGTCCTCTTTTAATGGAGCTAATTCGAGTTATCGTATACAATGCTAGAATTCAGACGCATTAAAAATGTACTGCCTGAAAATTAATAAATAGAACTGCAATTCTTGCGACGACTGCTGGGATTGGGTTAACAGCACTAATCCAATGATTTGCTTTCATTTTTACACTGCCTGTTCCCACACAGCATCTATTTGATGTCTGCATATGGAATTAACTGTTAGTCCAGATAACCATCCCTGTTTGTGGAAGTAGTGTCTTCTCCGATTTTATCTCGCTCAGTGCAACATAAAATACGGTAAAAACCCCATTATCTAGGTCTTATTTATGAAAACAAATGGTTTTGGAAGCTCATGCAATATCTCTTCAGTCATATTCGAGGGGGAAGAATTCTGGAAAGATTAGTGCAATAATTCCACTTGTGAGGCGCACATGCTACTTTCCAGGTAGAAGCAGTAAAAATGCGCCCTCCTCCATCAATCACTTTGTTGTCACTCAAGAGCAAGGCTATAGTTCTCAGAAAACCTGAAGACGAGCGCTTTACCAAAGTTTACCATCCAGCAATAAAGAAGGTGAATCTGGCAAAAAAATTCCAGAACAAAGGTTGTGTTGCATTAAATTGCTGACCTAACGGATAAGATCTGGTTTACTTTAATTCATACAATTTTTACTGCAGGATTTGCTTTGCATGTACCTCCACTCACTATTAGTGGGTCTGAGTGCCGTTGTCAGGCCCTCCTTAAGCATTTCGGGCGGGTAGTTCCATTTGATTTCCCAGCCATAATGTGCGGTCTTTTGGGGTCTATTAAATATTTTCTTCGAATAGACTTAGTCTTGGGTGGACATACCATATATTAGTTGAACAGATATTGAGTGCATATTTCCCTGCAAGGGCTATTCGGACCATAAAAAATATCACATGCCACGTCCGAAGTCAGTACAAATTATAAGTCGTAACAAACGATTAATAATAGAAGGCAGAGCTCGCTTGACTGATTTTGACGCTCAAAGGCTTTTATATTTAGCAAGAATGAAAGCAGTACCCCAATCGTATCGGCATTTCATTTAGTTAACCTTTCGAAATCGGGAGACTGCAAAAAGTTGAAAGTAAGACACCAATTTTTGTATTTTAGGGAACTTATGAAATTCGTCCCAATGTAGGGACTATTTGTGGAAAAAAATGACGGCAATTGGACGATATATGTCCGATGCCATAAGTGGGCATGTACCACAGAGGCAGAGAATCCCATGTGTTTACCCTTGTACATAACCCAGCCGGATGCAACATCAGCATTGCCTGGAACATTGCTATTTACCGATGCTATTCATATTGAATAAGCAAAGGGGCTTTTGGCTACCGATGAAATGATAATAATAATAATAGTCACGGACAAAACATGTGGCGGACACAAGGTTGAATTGGCGGTAAAAAGCAATACTTTGATGACATTCTTAAGGTTTCATTCAAGAAAGTGTGTTTTTGAGCACACGATAAAATTCTGACCACCAACAAGTGGAAGTGTTTTCTAGAGTATTTGGATAAAATTCATCTTAATTCATGTTTAGTTAAAGCAGCCATGTGACGATAATTACTTGTAAACTTTTATCAATTCGAAGTACTCGACATCCACTTTCAGTAGCGTTGCGTTTCATCCAAAAGCTTTAAATAAGTTAGTGAAAGATTCGATAGGCTTGTCACGGCTTTAATATTTCTGCAATCATTGTTACATTCAAAATGGACTCAAAATAGGGGATGTCCTTCATTTATGGATTTAGGTAATCTCAATCGCACTTGAAACTGTAGAGATTCTAAGTTCATCTCTATTTAGGATTCTACAGCATGGTGTATAATCATGCACGTTACATTGAAATGCAGTTCAAGCCGACGCTAAAGACTCTTTGCTCTAGGTGTGCAAAAAGTCTAACGAAACAAACTTTATTCACAATCTATTTTAACAAATCAACTAGGGAGGAGCAAAATAAATAGACATATAATCAACAAGGAACAATTTTTTGTCTTCAACACGAGCCAAGTTGCCAAATTATGCAGAGCTAAGCTGCTGAAGTGTTGCCATTTCTGAAAGTACTACGAATTTCAGTTCTGGCTAATGTTTACACCACTAACAATAATTTGACTTGTCCCCAGTGGTTATACTATTCCATATTGCGAAACCTTTAATTTGAGACTATCTTAAGTGCCATGGGGAAATGCAACCTAACCACAAACAACAATCTATTTGAATATAATGGTGATATTTAAACTTCGCAGGACAGGACATACGATCCTTCAAAAGGGATTAAGTTAATTATTAGCCGAGTTCATAGGGCAAAAATATGCTTACAGTAGATGCGAGAAGACAACTTAAATAATGTTTTCGGATTTATTCTGGAATAATATTCTGATTCGGCAGAATAATTAGAAGCATCAAATTTGCTTTTATTTTACCCGAAAGAATGGGTACTGCATTATCTACTTCACTGTTCATTTATCATTCCAAATGGGCATCAGTTAAAATCTGCATTGCAGTAACCTACCTTGTACACTTTTAGCGAGGTTCCCAGCTCCGAGACAGTAGGTCGCAGTGTGCTGGTTAGCTTTCCGAGCGAAGTGTTGTGAAGTTCATTTTGAGCGACCCCACCCCGGCTAGCCGACCTGGGCACCTCTCCATTGGTGTGTTTGGCACAGCATGCGCGCATTGGTTGGACAGGCGTCAGTTTATTCACAAATTTGTTTGGCCACATCAAGTGAAAGTTTTAGCATTATGCACATCTGTAGCCATTAACTTCATCGGTACCATAATGAAAATAATTTTACCAAAGCAAAAGGTACCCTTCATTTCTTCATGCCATTAACCTGCAGATGATATTTCATTTTTTTTCCAGCTCTATTCCATAATACATGTGGAGTTTGGTGTCTTAGTTGGGACAATGGCCAAGTAGCCGGTACCTAAGACAGCGAACAACTACTGAAACAACACAACCTATCGTTAATCGAGTGTTTTTTCGCTAGTTTTCATGTTTGGGAATTATTTATCAAGCATTCATGATTCCACCTAATTATTCTTCGTAAGGTTATAACACGGCTGGTAATTTAATAAGCCTACTAATAACAATTGTTGCAAGAAATCAAATAAAGTCGTTGAGAGTTACGCTGTTTCCCAGTTACATCCATGGAACTGTGCTGTGTCTTCAGGGTCGAGCGGTTTATCCCCTCTGAGTATGCCGACCTACGCAAAGCTATCACCACTTTACCTTGACTGCTCCTCAGTAGATGTCAAAAAGCACAATCCAGAAATTCGGTTTCCGGAGGACTCATACACAGTTCACACTCTAGGTTAAATAAATTTACAGCTCCTGCTGTTCCAGCAGGCGTACCGTGGACCCAAGCTTTGTTTATACTTTTACGGTGTACTAATGTTTTCGGGTGAACCTTAGCTTTTAAAGTAAGAATGGACCTCAATAGAATACATGGGCGGGAAGGATGGCTGAACGAAGTGGCCAAGTTATTGAAAAAATGACCTTTCGTGAGGATGCTTAAATCCAACAATGGTAACGAAATGTTGTCAGAATGCTCTGTGGGACACCAATTAGTTGCGTCCGTTAGCATTTCAGGTTTTAGATGGCCTACCTGTATTTATGCAATTTTGAGTACGTAGGGATAAGAATGAATCCCTCCACAACTGCCCCAAGTAGTCAACAATGAAGATGTCATGAAAGTCAGTTAGTTGCAGAGCAAAGAAATGGCAAGTATTGCAGTAATTGCGCCAAAACGTTTAAGCACCAAAACCAAGTTTTAACACAGTGTACTGCACAATCTAACTCAAAATACGCCCTACCACTTGACCGTTCAGCACTGTTTGAGAGAAAAAGAAGCCACTCGAAAGCGAAGTGCTTCCAACACACGAATTTCAATTTATTTTCTTCAAAATATGAAATCGTTTACCATTCATGCAAACAACTTTTAAGCTCTCTCTCTCTCTCTCAATTACTGCGGAACAGCAACATGTGGCGGCCGGAGAGGTGTTTCGATTCGTAGATAGTGAGATGGACAAGAAAGTTAAGATTCATTCGACAAACCATTTGCAGTGAATTAATTCCTCTCAAATAGGCTTGGATACAACTTTCTATAGTGGATAAACATAATAACAAGCCTTAATGGCGCCCCAAAGACGCTAGGCCCTTTCCGGACTAAAAAAGATAACTGGTTGCCTAGTCCCAAATGGGCATTTTGTTGCTCAAACCAAGACTGATACATGAGATACTTTCAACAAATTGCAGAACTTAGATGCTTGCAGTTGTATTCGTTGCACCAATCCTCTGTTTCAAGACGACACAGTTAAGGAGATAAAATGCTCAGATGTAATAGGTCTCACGGTAATAGTTTCTTCTACCCCAGCGACACACAGAATTTGCCTTAATTTCCCGAACGTATTCCATATTCTAGAAGAGTTTATAGCAAATAAGTAAGCAAGACATGAAAAAAGATGCCGAAATGATCGAGTAGAGTGCAGGGAGAGAGCGTGTCAGGCACACTCCCCGCAGCCATTGGCTGATGTCGCCTCGGAGGGGTAGAAGTGAGCATTCCTGCGAACTTGCGTCGATGTTGAATCGGAGGTGGAGGTAGAGGCCAGAGGGGCAGAGAGGGCGAGCCCTCTTGCACCATCTATGCGAGTCCACCCGTCACCAGCACCATTATTCACCGAGTACATCTGCCGTATTATTGAACGTGCTCCAAACTTTGGGACGTCGTTCCTGAATAAATTATTAATTCTGCTCATGCATAGTGAGCCAAAATATTTCCCATTAAATCGAATCCCTTCATAATTGAGACCTTAATAAGTCGCTGATACCCACCGCTACTGTCTGGACATGTAAGCGTTCACTATTAAAATATGTTTTTATCCAACATATAAAGCCTTGGAATGGTCATCCAAAGTAATTGCTACTAAAGCTCGCTAGCGTTTTATTTCAGTCGATGCGCAATACTCGAATTGTTCGTTTAACTCTCGGTTTGGGTGACGGGCCAATTAGGGCTACGTCATTAAGCCTTCACCGGGTCGTTTGGCCTCTGGGTCATGCCGGAAGCCTCTCAGCCATTCTGTGCATCAACAATACATACTCTGCTCGGGTACTATGCCTTTGTCTAGCACACTTTTCAGCCAGAATGAAAGGTAAGATGAAAAGATGTTGGCTGCAAGAATTGCATGATTCATAACTAATGGCAACATTATTCCCCAGAGAAATACTGATTCAATGAATTGCTCCTTTCACTCCCAAATACATCTATTTTAAGTTGACAGAACTATCTAACCTAATGACTTACATAAGTTATTTATAGACGTTTTTTATTTAACTAAATGAATGTTTAATAATCATCTTAAGTGCTTCTTGTTAGCCGAGGTAACGAGGTTGATTTATTTGGCAAGGAGTCAGGATCCACGCGCCGTGATGTGATGTCACTACTTAGGAGGAACAAACAACGCCTGAAATCAACAGTCAGAATCCCTCCAAAAATAAACAAAAATGGCGTTATTTACAGATAGAAAGTCTATAATGTTGTAGTTTAATGGATGACTGTAGGGAAATAGGTCACTAGTCTCTTAACTTTTTTCATGCGATACCTAAATTGTTAAAGTGCTAAGGCTTATAACGACACAGTAGACTAATCACTTACCACATTGACCTGATTCCTTTCAGCAGGAAGTATGCAAAAATTGTTAAAGCCAAGATAGTGGTGTACATCCACACGTTTTGAGTTCCTTCAACTGAAGGTAACATATTTGAATAGCCCTAATGTGCGGTAGTTACTGGGTAAATATATAACTTTAAGGGGTTCTTTATGGATGTCCTCCATGCTGTTGAGACGAAACGCGGAGTAAAGCGTATCACCTGCTGTCGCAGACTTAGGCGCTGGAAATATGTCCGTCTCCATCGAACAGGCGAGAGTAGGAAGTAGGCTGGTGATTGGTGGTCCAAAAAGCCAATAGGAGCACAGTATTCGCTGCGCTAGCATCCCCCTTCTTCCCCTTTTCGGCGGGAGTTTCTCACCCAGGTGCAAACGTGGAACAACACCATGCCCGTTATTTGGCTTTTCGTTTTCGGTTATTTGTTTCATATTGGAAGGGAAGACGTCCTGAAAACACCACCTGTGGTTCACCTCTCTTGCCCACCTAACTAGTTCCTAGGGCGACGTACATTAAGGTATTTTTGACTAATTATCACCAACAAAGACCTGTTTTGGAGTTTGTGTTGATGGGTTTTAACACCTTGCAATGGGGACTAACCTCGCTTATATTTCTTTAGCATTGTAAATCTGAAGTTTTTTAGGCCAAAAATATTTTCTACCATGTAAAAAAATTTAAATAAAACTTTTACCTTACCAGAAGTATAGATTTATGACAAATTCGAATAACAGGCATGAAGAAGCTATATTTACAGACCCTGAGGCCATTTGCTCTGCTTTTAGTCGAGTATCGACTCTAGAGAGGAGAGTGTGCATTTATACGTGTCGTAACTGATAAAGATTAGTTGTGCCACATTTTCGATGTAATATAGAATGCGGATTTGATGAAGGGGGTCGGTTTAAGCCTGACTTCAACCATGCGTTCGACATCGATCACTTGGGTGGATCCACAGGGGTTTGTTTGCCTTCGTAGATGGATGTGTGCTGAGGAAAGCTTGAGTAATTCTTCCAACCCTCCGTTAACATGTTCATTGATACTGAGAAAGGAAAAATGTGCTGTGAGTAAGTAAAGATTTGACAATAGACACGCGTAGTAAACGATTAAGAAAAGTTTGCACCCAATTTTGGGATGTTTGTGATTGCATTACCTGGAATACAAAAACTTCATGAATGCAGAAACATATAGGAAGGTAAAACTTGATAATTTATAAAATATTCCTTACATGTTGCCACTACTTAATGTATATTGCAATGTCTCACGATGGTTGTTTAACTTTCTGTTTCGGCCATTGTACTACGCCGGGTAGGCTGGCTTTCGGGCCAGGCCAGTATGTCGAATATATATGCATATATTCTGCCCGAGGATTATGCCTTCTTTCGTCTCCAGGGTAGTCTCGGGGTGCTACAGGTCTTACTGAAGTGCGGTCAGGTGCTATCGAAATATTTATCTTTTGCCTTGCATAATTGTTACAGCTTAGGAAAAAAGTTGGGCCTTCTTATCACAAGCGCGTATTTGCAAATGCCCTCAGGAGTTGAAACTGGCCCCACTTTTGCAGACTCTTCTTAATTCAAGATGTGATGAACTATTCTTAGGAAACAAGAACCAAATCACAAATGTTGCATTCATCTAACAACCACGAAAACGAATGTCAAATCGACCAAATATAGCATTTTTATCATTGACGGCTTTGTACATTGGAATATCGACTAAGCGCGAACAGCCACGACAAGGATTTCCAGCCCAGAAAATAGCGAAAACTATAAGCATGGAAATTCGAAAATTTGTAATGACATGACTAAGAACACAAGTGTTTTCATTTGGTACTTCTTTGTCGATGCATTTAACTACGTACTCATTTCGGAACCCCTAAGCTATACTACCACTCATATGCATGTATAGGAGAATGGAAATAAGCTATGGTACGTGCAAATGTGGTGCAATGTGGTGTCCCAAGACTTCAATGAAGTCGTTGTAAACCAAGGTAATGCTGGATAATATATTAACAATGTGCAGGATGTAATATGATAGTGTTTCATCCATCGGCATTGGTGAGGCGTTACTTTTGTACTTTGAATGAGCCCCTTGTACCTCGCTGGGTGGGTTGGCCTCTTGGGCCATGCCAATTGCTTAGACACCTTCTTGCTGAATATGTATTCTGCCCAGGTATTTTGTCTTCTTTCGTCTTCAGGGAGTCCCGCGACGCTAAAAGGAATTATAGGAGGCTTCAAGTACCACACAGGGGCCGTGCCGCACGGTGGAAGTGCAATCTGAAGTACTGGCTGAAGTACTCACAGCACAGTCTTAGGAGGCTTTCTTTTTACTGCGTACTAATCTAATCATAAAAAAACGTAAGCGTTGTTTAAGATCCTGATAATGCGCATATTTTGAGAGGAAATGACTTAAGGCCTCTTGCTGAATACGCTAAGGCAAACCAACACAGTAATCTGAGTTGAAACCGCAGTTAGCTAAAATAAGCAAGATTACGGCAAAATGTCATGCTAAACTTCTAATATAACCTCCGGAACTTAATCGGAGCAATGAATGAGAACAAAACGATCGGCGAAAGCATCTTAAATAGTCTCTAAGTCCCAAGTGCAGCAGGAATTTGTGCTAAAACCGGATATCGTAATACGTATAATAATATTTTATGGATATTAGTGCTAGCCTTTTTGTTGATTATTAATATAATTTAGGCGTCAAGGCGTAATTGTTTAAGTTTATAGGATAACCGCAACTTACTCAAAAGGCTTTTTCTGGGTCTTGCATCTCATAGGGGCGGTTTTGACGTTATTCCCTTCCGTTTCGAGGCAAGATTTTGCGTATAGTAGTATTGTTTCGGTCGTTATTAGCCATTCTATCGCTGTAGCTGTATTTGCCTTGTTGATCCTTATATGCTTATTTTAATTTGGGGCTTAGTAACTATTCAAGGTTGTGATCATTTGCACTTGTTATGAGTAAAGCATTGTGCATTAGGGCGAACGACTTATTTCGGCTCTTTTATTTAGTGCTACCCTGTTTTAGCGATGTAACATACGTCTATGCTACTTTCTTAGGTCCTCTTACTATAGTTGCTTTCAGAGCGCTTATCCCACCTTTCCCTTATTTTATTTGTTAACTCTTATCCTACCTTAGATAGTTGATGCTTTGAGGATCTTTTTGAGCATGCCTGTGGATTTTAACAAAGGTAAACAATTTAATCCAATATCAGCATCAAGTGATTGCATTCCTCCGCCCCCACTGAATGCGAAACATGACCTCCAATACCTTGATATTTCAAAAGCTGAGGATTTGCTATCTTCTGCCGCTCCCAGTGTATCTCCAATCGCGTCTCTTTTGAATCCCAACGAACCGGGAAATGCAACCGACTTTGTCTCCAACTGTGACGGATCCAAGCATGGTTTTCCTCCCCAATTGCACCCGGAGTTCCCTCATTCGCGTGTTCAAGATCTTGTAAGGATATTTCTTATCCTTTTGTTCGATGTTGGCTAGTTTATTTCAGCAACTCTTGGCAAATAATCGCCCAATTCTTACCCTCTAGCCTCCTTCCAACCTGAATTTGCGCTATCGGAATATGCTTAACTTTCCAAAGTATCTATCCAGGAGAGGCTTAGCTTTTGAAAAGAGGATCAAGTATGTATATAAGTTTCTTCCTGCCGTTTATACAAGAAGAATACTCTATTCAATTGCTTAATTTGTGCCAGGTTAATTACTTCTTTGCCGCTTAAAGAAACACTGGCCTTGTGAGACTGTTTACATGGTCTGTGTGTCTCTATGTGTTACAATATTTGCTTATCTAGACGCTCTGGTATCAGCACTGATCCCGTGTACGCTCTGACGCTATTACGAAGACTTATCCAACCATTCATAAATCGTGAGATCGACGCAATTATAAAAAAATATACTAAGGTAATTGATTCTTCTATTTGGTTTCGCTTTCTAGTCTTTCTGTAATTTCCCAATGTTTATTATTCTTAACACATCTTAATCAATCTTGTGATGCAAAATCATAAAGCACCATGCGCATCTTTTCATTTCGTGCTATTGTCACGTTTTTCATGGACTCCAGGTGGGAATGCACTGGCAATAAAGTGAGAGGTGATTTCACATTTATTATTGGAACTTGCTACTAAGCTGTATGCTGGCATATCATTGTCTACTAAGCTCACCCTTGTGAATCGTGAAATGAAGACAGCAGTGTGGCACTTGAGATGTATCGGTTGTACGGTGTTCTTATTTTCCCTCTCTCGGTTTTGCTACCTAATTATATCCATGGCATTTCCGTTTAGCTGGAGTTTGCTCACAGTCATTCCCCTTCTAGTCCAGCTCATAGTCAGCACCACTCAACAATCTCTGTGTCCGGGCCGAAATTTGTGACAATTGGAACTTAGACATTTCGCCATCACAGAAGGGTCCGCTTCATAGCTCTTGGTTTTGATCAGTCTTACTTTCATGATACGTGTGGTGCGCTCTTTTTGATCTGCTAGTCATTTCTGAACATTCCAGTCGAGTTGGCTTCCTATGCTTGTAGCAGGTCTTAAAAACCACCAGTATTTAAAACAAGTTGGTTCACTTTTGTGGAATTTAAATCACTCACCCTGTTCAGGTCTGTTAGCGTTGAAAATATTGTATGCAGTACCTGGGCACTTTCTCATCTGATTCAACTGGTTGTATCAGATTAATTTATTGTCGAGTAAGTGTTGCGAGTTCCACGTAAAGTTAATTTCGTCTTTCATGTTTGTGCACTCAATTCGCTTAATTCGTTTTCCTCCCTTTTACTTTGGCTGCTTTTTCCGGTATCCACATGCACCGCTTACTCAATCCCTTTTGCCCGCCATCCATTCTGCCTAATCGTGCCCCATTAAAAGGAACGTGTGCACATATAAGCTGCATTGACCCCTCTTTTTATAACTCTCAATGTACGGAAACGCGTTTATATCTGTCTGTGTATGACTATGCACCTTTCAAAAGCTTGTGCTTGATGTCTTGTGTCTAACCGAGCCGCGGTCTTCAATTTCAGATCATGCCTGCACACCCACGCAACAGTGCACGCGTGTGCCTGGTTTAACAATAATACCTGCACTGCTGTTGTCGCCTGTATTTGTAGCTCGGCTTGAATTGTTTGTCGGTCCATATTCTGTGCTCACTCGAGTCTATCACGTGCAAAAAATTGGCAATGCAGTCGTCAAGATCTCGTCTGAATTTTGCGTACAATCTAATCAATACTTTTTTCCTCTCCGCCAGTTTAGATCGTCCTTCAACCCTCGTTTTTTCGGTCGATATAATGCAGCAGAAGTTAATTTAGCCATCTGACTAGATGCAAAGTTGCTTTTTAAGGACTGTGGCATCGTAAAGTGCTCTTTTAAAAGAAAAGTGGCCTTGTTGAGTGTATTTAACTGCACAACAGTAACTCACAGTCGATTGCATTCACGTGGGCACATACGCTTTGTTTGATCCGACATGATCAAAGTAGTAACAGTGGCCTTTGCATCGTTTCTGCTCAAGAATTCGATTTATCGAATAGTTTCCTCCACTACGACCCGTTATTTCCAAACTTTATCCTTATTTGCGCACTTGTGGAGTAAAAACCTATTCCTAAGGCTTTAACTATGGTACCAACTTCGTTTGTCAAACTTAACTTTGCTCTATTCAAATTATCTTCGGTCTTTAACTGTGAGAGACATTGCATATTTTTTGTGTTTTTCGAAACGCGTTTATCAATTGCTTTAATTCAGTCTCACGGATTAGTGGAGTACTTTCCTTCACCAGAGTTCAAACACTGAGTGATAAATTCATTCAAACTGCATGCATGTAACGGAGAGGGAGGTATTTTTATCTTTTTCTTAGCTTCTAGCAGGAATTTGTGTGCTACTACCTGTGTTTCTACAAATAAGCAGCCATTTTGAAATACTTAACTCGAATAATATGGATTGCTTTCTGTCATTGAGCTTTTCAGAGCCTTTTAAGCAACCAAGCTCTCAACAACAATGACATTTGATGGATTTTATGCAAAAATTCAATGTGCAATCGCATTCAATTGCAATTTAACATTACCTATTCGGCACTTTTGCACCTAGTGGTTCCTTTTGGTATTTTTTAATATCTGTTTGAGATGTGTTTCTGCAAGCATAGGTTATTTGGTTTTTGTGTCAGAGCCATCCCCTCAAGTCGACCTATTTTAGCGTCAACTTCTCTCCTGATTGACTTCTAGGCAAGCTTTAACAATTGGGAAAAGGTACACAAAAGTGTCACAATGCCAGACCCGAGATCACTAGGACTTTCCGTGAATGTATTTTGCTGCAATTTGCCAAGTTGTTTCTAATATTTTGCGATCACGATGCCACAAGCAGGAATTCTTAAAGTGCGCCCTGTAGAACACTACTTTTCATAGTTGTCGTGGCTGCGACTTGACACAGATCTTCGGATCTCTCTCCCCGAGCTTGCATCCTTCTGCTAGATATTTTGCGATACTCTGCTGTACAGATTAATGCCAATTTTGTTCCTTTTCAAAAACATTTACCCTACCTCTACAGATTTAAGTACCTTTTCTAGAAGTCCAGTTTCTTTTTACCAGATGCGTTGGTGTAACTCAAGCTAGAAGTCCCGAACTATGCATTGAAGCTTTTCTACCAATCAGGCGTCTGTTTATTTGCGTGGGTGAATTTTTTAACATAATCTTGTGACCCGTTGAAATATGATTAATGCGATGATTGACAGCCTTCTGTTGATATAAACACCATGCCTGCCAAAGTCATTTTCTTATCGGCGGTGCATTCAAGCTGAAAGTTTTCGTGACGCGTCCTAGACCACAGGTTAGGGATTGTGTTTTGTGACCGTAGAAGAACAAACAGCAAGTTAAGTTTCTCTTCACTAATCACATTCAGCAAAGTTAAGAGGAGGCTGACCTCAGCTGTAACTTGCTAGCTGAAAATTAGCTCTTTCAAATGGTCTCCTAGACTTTATGATAGTTGAAGTATCAGGGATATTTAACTGCCTTACGCCTAAAGTTTTCACTTCACTGCTGTTAAACTCTCCATCTTTGGGTAATTTCCACGTTCAAGCCTTCACTCCTAATACCTGTGGATATATTTTGGCATCTTGGCGCAAGATATACCATATTTTGTCGCAATTTAGTACCTCACGTGTGCTTCAAATTAAGGGCTTCGTGGGGGGGGGGGGGCTCCATCGATCCGTGGAAAATTGTTCCATGTCTGCATTGGTTGTCTCACATTGTTTATCCACCCATGTGTTTACCGTGCCTGGTGTTTTGTTTAGGACTTCCTCTCCATCGCGATCGAAAACATCCGCTACAATTTGGGAAGAGGTGCCGTATCCGAAAATGAGTTGCAGCATCTGCAGTACAGCATCATGATGGATGTGAGTGTGGCCTGTGCTACTTTTGCCTGTCATAATTTGATTCATTTTTTTGCAACACCACTCTTCAGCCATCCCACCCTCTTTCCACTTCCCATTCAGCGTAATATGGTTGTTAAGGCGAAAGGTGGATGACCGGGTGGGGATGAGGCATCTGACTCTGCACTCTTTTTTCTACTATCATCAATCCAAAAGGCGAAAAAAGTGGCTTTTTTGTTTGAGCTGGTGATTTGGCGCTAGTTGGTGCAGCGCGCACCTCCACATGCTCCTGGATTTCAACGCCTTGGCCAGGGTTGGAAACCAGTCTACCAGGCAGTCACATAACTTATGCTCCCAATTGGTGCGGAAACTTTTACATTGTCGCCTTCTGGTAATCCTATGGGACGGAAATATTCGAGATGAATAGTTCATCCTTCCTTCGTATACGCTTTGTGTAACTAAATGCTCTTTTATGCTCACTTCACTGCAGGCACGTTAATGTCCTTTGGGATGGTAAATAATATTTCCAAATGTGTATGTTCACTGTCTTGAAGACCATCGCAACCAGAAGCTTGTTTCTTATGCTGTCATTCTTGTGGAGTGTTCGGTAGGAGCTCGGGAAAAATGATTACAGTGCAGTCTCATGCAACCTAGTCACCATCCCACATGCAGATCTGCCTTCCACAGTTTCTGGTGCATTCTTGCTATCAAATGTATTGCCAGTTTTCGTACCTGAGGTTTTCGTTTTCGTGTACGCGATAAATGATGGATAATGGCTTTGGGGTAGGTGGCCTTATTATCGACGTAATGAGCAAGTGAAGGCGATACTGTCGATGCGTACGAGCCCAGCGACTGAAGAATAGGCTGAATGCGAGACCACCTGTCTGTAGATGTCAGTGAGGCGCAGATATAGTAACATATTGATCTTGGCCTTGGAACGGATGTCAGTGCACTTGGAGTACTTCTCTCCTTGATATGAACCAATCGTGAGGGACTTAGCAAGAACACGACTCTACAGTGTCCAGAGACTAGCCAACGACTGGATTTTCTACAAAACAAAACAGGAACCCTTTTCTGGGGTTGCATGCATACACAACAACTCTTTTGATGAATATGGTGCAGGAATGGTCAACACAATTGCTGCTTCATAAGAGCGGTGGGGTCGAATGTATTATTTGTGAACCCTTCGATAACTCGATTTTCTGACTACGAAACGTCATTCCTTATGCTGGTACGTTATCCTTATTTAATATTTAGGCAATAGCTCAATACCGAGTCACCAGCGTCGAGTCGCCGTGCCCTCAGGCTGACGCAACTCCGACAATCGCGGTGCCCTGCGCACCCACCGAATATCCCTCCCCCACCGCTGTCGCTGCATCCACCCCAGCGGCGGACCTTCGTCGTTCGGTTCTGCTGCGGAGCTCTACACGTCACCTGCGCAGGCATACTCTGAGCAGCTGCGGCGACAGCAGCCTCGCGCGTAGCCCCTCGCCCCTCTCTGACAATGCTGGCCTCATGCTTCTGCCCGACGCTGACGCCTCTCCCTCTCCTCTTCCTTCTCTTGGTGAGGAAGGGGACGGAGGTGCAGGCGCAGGGGGTCGCTTGACCCCTGCAAAGAGACGGCGGAGGTATGGCGAGAAGGTGAACTCCCTACAGGTCGGGTTCCTAGACAACGCTGTCTCCTTGAACGGATCTATTATTGACGGTGATCCTTCGGTAAACATCTTTGCTACGTCGCAACTTCCAGTTGGAATTATCGATACTCGCACCAAGGAGAGCCTACTCTATTGCTTACTGTTATTGGCATATTTTAGACTCCGTCCAATGTACGAACCTTCATACATAGAGCAATCGTGATTCGCTCTGTTTGCCCACACAATTCGTAACAAAACCGTGGTTTTTTGCATTCGCTTGTCTAGATAGTAACCAAGACTAAATCAAAATAGTCGCATTATTTGCGGAAGGTATCATGTGATGTCTCTTCCGCACAGTAGACCGGCTTTTTTTCCTTGATTTTCGGGAGTCGCAGTTAGCGACATTTTGGATGGACAGTGGGTGTGTAAGACTCAAAGTCTGGAAATGTCGAATTCTTCACTTCCTTGGCGTCATCTCCGTTCTTTACTCCAATTTTATCCCTATTGTAACATTTGCAACGGGTAAAGGATTTATGCCTACCACAAAAAGCTATCACTAAAACCTTTTCACTTACACCAAGCCGTCTCCCGACCGTACATATCTTCAAATTTCTTGCCTCGAATTCCTCTAGGTGGTATGCACGAGTCGCAAGTGCAAGCAAAATAACCGGTAGATAGGGTAATTAAGCGTCCAGTGTGGAAGAAGACTCTGGTAATTGGATGTCTTGATAACTAATACGGACTCTCACGCTTTTTTTTATTTCTTGCTTTACATAACATCCCTCAAACTTTTTATTTTAGGTGGTTGACGTCTTGGGACCGTTGGAGTTAGAGTGAGTCACTCGTTTTCGAATGCCTCCGGTCAATTTTTCCCAATTGATTTTTGACCTACTCTGTCGATGGAATTTAAAACCTAAATGAGCGAGTGGATTCTATCTAGTAGGACTGGTAGTTTGGCAGCACTGAACAATTTTTTGGCCCATACGAAAATATTTATTCCTCAACTTCATTGGGTGTGCCTGGGTCGTCCCGTCTACTGATAGAGTTAAAGGTGTGTACTTCCAGTGTAGCCTGAGTTGCTTGTTTGTCACTTGCTCTTGCATCCCCACCTCCTACAACACTCCAATAAAAGCATTAATGATTACTACTCAGATTAAGTTGGCTGGAATTTTTGTCCCTTTGTCTCGACTTTGTCTTATCCACCTCGATGAGTGCCGTGCATGTTTGATGCGTTTACAACCTTGAAACATACTCTTCAGAAGTCTTATGTGCCTTTCCAAAAGTTCTTCACAGCATCACTTTGGGTGCCTTTATTCCTATTATAGTCTCATGTGTTCTGAAGCTTTTCACGAACATTGATCTTATACGACCTATTACAAGCCTCCCTGCTCCGTTTTTCGCACCGTTATCACTAACCCCTGAGGCCACTGTTTTAATAATGAGTACTTATGTCCCAAGCGCTTGTGAATCCGGATTTACTTTGCTGATTTGAAGCCTCAGCTAGATAATGACCTGTACGTTCAGACACGACACCTCGAACGCTCATTTGGTTTACCCTTTATGTACATTGTCCAGTCATATCACACTGGTTAATGGTGACTACAAAGAGAAATGTAAATAATGCATTCAGTGGCGTTTAGTGTTACGTTTTGTTCTTCTGACTTTCACTACATGCGTATTCACACATACGCACGGGTGTTGCTTATTACAACTATCAACTTGTGTTGGCCTCCTGCGTCTGGTTGAAATACGTGGCCAAATTTACACTGCTATAACTTGGGTGAAAACTGGCCATTTCGTCTCCCTAATACGCCAGATTTCCTCGTCTTTATGGCCACTAGTGTAACAATTTTATCTTGCTTTGTGTTGGACCTACATCTCTATGATTATTTCTGGTACATAATTTCCCCCAAAAACAATGAGACAATCTTGTACAGGGCCATTAAATAAAGTTTTTTTTACGAAAAAATGTCACATATGTTGAGCTGATTGCGTGCACACGCACACGCGCACGCAACCCTGGATGCAATCGCTATGGCGATGTGGCGAAAACGCTGATGCCGCCTTCGTTTTGAGAATGCCTGGGAGGCAATTCACATCCTCTCCGTACTCGTGCTAAATTTATCCACTCTGTACACTTTCGCCTTTTAGTGGCTCAGCCAACCAACTTAGCCTTTTGGTTGAGGTAAAGTGCGTTCGAATTTGGGGCCCCAACAAAGTCGGTTGCATGACACTTATTACTGGCCACTCTTAGGAATTCTGTTTAACTTGACATGAGCTCGTTCCAACTGGCGTGTTCATCCCTCCTTTTGTAGACAATCATTACTCCAGCTTATCCTAATACTTGGCTTTGGTTTTTTGATCCAATTAGCAAAAGTAAATTCTGTTTGCCAAATACCTCAACCGTAAAATGAGACCTGGTGTCCTGGGTGGAGCTAGCTGCAAACCTCACAGGCCATTTCTTTGGAGACTGTCTGGAATTTTTTAAATGTCTTATTTGCCATTGTTTAAATATTATCCAAATTCCCCCAAAAATGTTTTTCTGGCTTGTATTTTTTGGTGACACAAAAGTTACCTGAGACTGATTTAATTCTATGCAGCTACTGCTTCCACTTTTAACTTTTTTTCGAACTATTGCATGAGTTATGATGATGCAAGATGTCTAATTCCAACCTTAATTATTTTAAGTCGCGTAAAAGTTTTGTACGGCTGAAATTGTTTTTAGGGGACGTTGTTTTGCATTTGCATTGTTGCTTTGATGAGTTTTGTTAGTTAATTAAAAGTGGTGCTTAATTGGAACGACTTTGGGTCATTCTATTACGTCAATTAAGTTGTTATTGGCAATCGTTCTTAAATTTACAAAATTCTTGGCTTTAAAGAATCATTGCTTCGAATTATTGTCGGTTCAAGACCGGTAATGGAAGTGACTCTTGATTGGTTGCAGACTTCCGGACAACGCCAGTCGAGGGCAAGGCTCATCGATGGCTTCGGAGGCGGCAAGCAACGCGACCGCCCATTCCTTTCACCTTGATGGCCATCTGCCGCCGCACCTCCTTGCCAGCGACTCTTTTGCCCTGGGATCCTGCGCCAACGCGTGAGTCCAGTAATTCATCTCTTCCAATTCTCTTCTCTCGTTTCACCACGTCTACCTATGCAATAAAATAGGAAGCTTGTCTAAATCGATGATATTCACAAGGAATGTCCTTCAGGGGTCTTATTTCAACTCTGACGTCAGAGCACGATAGACTAACAACTCTGCTACCGAATTTGATTCTATTTTGTGGACGAGAGTTATCTCTACCTCTAAAATTTTTCTGTCCTTCCACAAAATTGTGAACCGTGCGATAAGAATGTGTGTATCCTGCACTACACTATTGTCCTTTTGTTATGGTACACATGCCTCTAGAACCGCTCAACTAGAGAATTTGCTATCGTACGTTTTTTGACAAGAATAGCATTTTAGGGCTAATTATTGCTCGCATGAGTACTCCTATCTACTATACTTGATTACCTAAGAATTATTTTTGTATGTTTTAATTGTAAATAAGTCATTTGAACGCTCCGAATTCACTGTTATCTTTAGTCCATTAGCCTCATAGCGCCTTCTGGGCGATTTTCTGGCTTAGATGTTTGACTTCTCATGAAATGTGGTTATTTCTGCTACTCATTTGGTGTGGTTACGGTCTTTGTTTTATCTACACGCCCACGTTATTAGGATCATGTGGGTTGTACTTCAATAATAATTTTACAAGGGTAGACCTGCGTTGAAAGTCGTTTCTTCTGCATCCTGTAGTTTGATTTAAAACTTCCGATATGAGGCATGGACAACCTCGTTTAAGACCTAACTGCTGTTTTTTATCCGAAAGATTTAGTAAATTTCGCACTTTTCCTCCGTGAGATAGTGTCGATTCGCCAAAGCTGTGAGACATCTCTCAGGCGACTCCCATAAGGATTTGCAAGAGTATATTTGACAACTAAAAAGCGGTCTTTAAGTCCACTCAAAAGTTACTCAACTACTCCAATTCCAGAGTTGCTCCAGTGAGGTGCAATGTTGTGCATACGTATTTCGCAGTATGATAGCTGACCTAGCGTATAGCCTTTCTCCATCCAGTATCAACGTTTCAATACGCACTTGGTGTAGCGATCGCATCCTTGGCAGTTTGGTTTGCCCCACACATTTGTACTCTCCCTACGCGGAGCCGTTCGGATCTGCCTGATCTTTGAAACATCTTTGAGCAAAACGCTTCTAGCAGTTGAAATAATTACTACCTCAGTAAACATTGTGTATTTTATTTAGTCATCCAAACAAAACTAGCTCTTTTAGTCCCCTGATTGTTTACTAATGGTTTACGTTAAGAAAGCTGCCCTATTTCTGCTCTGTTGTCATTGGTTTGCGATATCCTCGCTTCAACCGATTTAATGAGTTGAATCGTGATTTTTCTGTTCATGCATTCGTGTTTATCGCAGATGGCTTGGCTTGGGGGCAGCACGTGGGCGCATTTACTCGAAACATCCGTGGATATTCCGTTACGCCTGCGACCGGGAGGACAAGTCGTGGCTGTCGAGGGCGGGCCACTTACCCAATTGCGGCGCGAAGGCCTTCCTTGTCCTTGCTAAGCAAGTCCATGAGGTTGCAGCTATGGACGACAGCCTTTCCGCCACCACCGCTCGCCAGCCCTTACCTCAGTTCACTCTGCCCCCTTGGCTCTTCCGAAAGGTTCGTCACTACCCCACTTGCGACTTGTGTCTGCACTGATTCATGCCCCATCGTCTGTCTTTGAGTGCACAGTTTACTCACATAAATTAGCCTCTAATCATGGCAGTGTAATTTGTCGATTGATGCACCTAGATTTCCAACGAAGTCCTTGTTGTTGAGTCATTGGCTGAGGATAACCTTGAGATGGTGGGACCAAAGGAATTTTTTCGGCTCGTTTTTAGTGTCGGATTGAAAGAGGTGATCCGACACCTGCAGGACATGGTAGTCGGTTGGTACACGCATTTGTTGAATACGTTATGATTAGTTCTGTAGTTCGGTTCTAGTAATTTTGAGTTGTTTTTTTGGGACTAATGACAACCTGCTTTTGTGGTCCTTTTGCAGTGGCCACCCTTCCTGACTGATTGTTCATGAATTATCTCGTTTTGCCTAGTTGGCCGTAGTAAGCATCCATGGTGATCTATTGACAAGGTCCCGTCAAGCTGAATCACCATATCTGATGCTGATAAAGGCTAATTTATGTGACCGAGATCATCAAAACGGAACTTCTCCCTGAAGCTCTGGAAGTACTCTAGTTACATCCCGATGGATAGATCAGATTTTTCTTTTAATGCCGAATTAGTACTGCATATTTGGAAAGCTAATTTTGACTTATCTATATTTGGGCAAATTATATGATTTACAGGAGAATCAAAAATCCAAAATAAATCATAGAAACTCAAAATGATATTTCTTATATATCAGCATTCGAAATTCGCATTAAAGGAAGTTTAATTTTCGAAACCTAAGCACCTTTCATCCGAATACAACATTAATTTGAACGCTGCTGATCAACCTAACAATTACCGCGGCTATTGTTAGGAGCCTTGTTTTCAATCCCCATGAGGGATTTGTAAGTAATACTTTTGGCATTCATAGTAGAAGAGTTACGCTGCATCAGCGATTCGAAACAATAGACTGCTTAAGACAGGAGTGTGATAATAAAGAGAATCGTTTGATTTCGCCCGGGAGGCAATAATCTGAGCATTCAAACTTAATGCTGAAGAAGTTATGCGCATTAACTTGATTTGGAGCATAGATGCCTTCAGCTCTTCATGACACACAGAGTGGTAACCCTAATTTCGTTTATTTATACATGCATCTGTTACAACCAGGTCTAGGTGTGACCGAATGTTAAGAAATACTTTACAGCAAATCTCTTGGGACTGTTGCAACGTTGGCCCATAACAATACAAAGACCAGTTTCGAAGATAGTAAACGCTTAGAAATGTCACTCTTGTCTCACCGATAGGAAAAACACGAAACACGACAAGAATCTACTGACAAAAAAAATTCATTGCTGCCTCCATCATACTTCGCTAACAGTGCTTGCTGCTTAGTGTATTTTACTTTCACCAGGAAACAGACTAAAGATCTCAAGTAGTGGTGGAAACTTAACAAGATTGTACTCACGCAAGCGTACTTCTTTGTGACAACTGGGATTGTCATAAGTTAAATATACTCTTGCAAAATGTGGATCCTCTTGTTGGATGAATCTATTATGGATCGGAGTAGCTGATATCCTCTGTATTCTCTGGACGCAAGTAATTTCTAATCAGGTCAGCTGGCATTTTTTTTAAGGAGCGGAATTACTAACGCACTTGATGTTGCTTTATTTTGCTTTCATCTTTTATGATGTCACTGTCATATTCCGAAAGTAGGAATGCGAATTTTGATTCATTTGTGTCATTGGCTCCTCTGGATAAGCGGAATTTGTAGATCTCAAGACCGTAAATTGAGATCTACACCTTGCAGAAACCGTTTATCGTTTTGCACAACTTTGAGTCCCAGAGCCATATAAAGTCACTGCTTAACTTCTAAATGCTCATCTACATCTGATGATTAAATGGACCTAACTATTCTGAATCTGAGTTCATTTTTATAAATAGCTGAGTCCTCGAGAAATCTTTTTTTTATATTCAAAGCTAAGTTACACAAAATAAAATAAATTCCTCTGAATATACCACTCTAAATGCTGGCTATACTATCATTAGGACCTGGGATAAGTTGAAATCTCACAAACTACTCCATGCTTAGCATCAGTGGATTGAGTAATTAGCTTCATTTAGGTAAAAATTTTTCAACTCACTGGAAGGACAGTTTTTATATGCCAGTTTGATTGCCTGATAATGGCTTTCTATAGCTTGATTCATGGTACACTTCTAATGCTTCAAATTGGTTTACAGGATCGTTAATTGATTGGACGTATATCGATGGGCGGTTACCATGGTATACTGTTCCATTTCCTTTTGGCATTTCTTTTTTATCATAATTGTCCTCCCTGTATGCGTGCACATTCGTGACTCAAATCTCCGATCCTCCAGTTCGCTGTGCATTCAGATGTTTAGGGATCCTATCTGCAGCAATAATTGTTCTCGGATAGATTTTTTCATCCACGTACCACCCCGTCGATACTATCATCTCTGCATTTAGACTTCCCCATTCACTTGAAAAATTTCTATCTGAGCTGCATTTCGAATTATCTTTGCTACTCCACTCACTCCGTTTTACATGGAAAAACTCCTGTTCTAGGTTTACGACTCAACCATGACCCGAGCAAACACGTCCCGAATGGCAGCCACCAATGCACCTGGTCCGACTTCACACCGACAATTTACAAACAACACCTCCTCCACGCACCACCAGCCTACGGTTCAACGATCCAACTTCGTCGACCAATTCGCATTCACCGAGGAAGAAGAGGAGGTCAGCTGCCACTCCAACTTCTTCAATGGCGGCGTTCATACACCACTCTGGCCCAACGGTGGAAGGAGTCCGCCTCCGCTGAGGAATGGACGATCTTACGCTGTGAGTTACTATCGCTTCATCTGGTCTAGCAGTGATAACAGCTGCTTTTGATGTTGGCTAGAATTCCGTAGTGCGCCCAATCCCGCTTCTCGCTCTTCCTCTAGACTCCACCGGACGCAGTTTACAAGTCTGACCGTCAAAGTGGGACCGGCCTTAAGATCGGACACCTATGAGACGCCTTATTTTTATAGTCACACATTGCCCATGTATTTGCCTATAGATGGTCGTCTTTCATCACCGTCACCATTACCCCCTAATATAATCCTACAGTTGTGTCTTTTGTACAGTTCTCATTTTTGCCCTACGCATCATGTGGACTATATACAAATGCTTAGATCATAACCTCATAATCTTTTCACAGTCTCAAAGCCAGCAGTATTTAACATTCTATTATTACGCCGATTACTTTGTCTAATTAGCTTAGAATGCTTTATATCTACTGGAGGGACTATTCAAACTATTTTTGGCGTCTGGACAAGAAGACGTTTTAATTTTCCTTTCGAGGTGGTTCTGGTGTGAGCCAAGACCAGCTGTCAGGATATATGCTACAATGTGCAGGGGAATGAGGGCTCATCTTTGAGTTGTTTTGCCTTATTCCTCTCATAGGGGTCCCTAGGCAGCCCTAGGGATTGGGTTCTAAGCGTCACTAAGTCCTGTCACACCTTGTTGGGGACTTGACAATCACGACTTTGTTTTCCTGTTAATAATATGCAGCGATCATACGCCGAGACATGGCTCTACTCCGCCAATGTGAAGCGGGCGATGGAAGCGGGGTGAACAGGGCAGGAATTCTTGTCCCAGTAATTAGGTTATGATAGGCGTAGTAGCTGTGAAAAATCTCAAGTACGCCTCTGGACGACAGTATTGTCCCCCAGAATGGAAGTGTGACATGTAGGATATTATGGACCACATCCCAGTTTTCGGTACAACAACGGTGATCGGGTCTCTGATCACTTCGCCATTGCATTTTTCCTAACAGAATCGCATGTCGTAAATACCACAAACGTAGCTATCCCCTTGCGCACGATACGCCTTTATCGGATAATGCTCCCATTACTTCAATTACAGCGTCTACGCTGAACAAATCCAACATGCCTAAAACAGCACGAGCCTGATAGCTTCTTTGATGTTGCCTTAAGTTCATAGTGAAACCAGGCTGTGCTACAATCGTAAACTCACGTAAGCCAGATCCGGCCAACGCGGTCAAACGTGTATATTCCTCCACTTTGCTAGAAATTGAATAACCAGCCTATGAGACTGCTTTTGATTACGTTTTGCCCACTCCGAGCCTAACACTAGGGATGGTCTCACGTAATTCAAACCCAAAACATAGAATAAAAGTTAAGTAACACGAACTCAGAGATTTTCGGAACTTCTATTTTACTGATAGAAGAATGCCCGCATACACAAAGCAGAGAAGCAGATTACTTGTAGAAATCGAGTTCCTGGTTACCCTTTTTGATATTATTTTTGTAGCCTTTCTCAAAATCCTTGGCCAAAACAACATACCGATTCTCACGCACTGCCTGCATACCAGCCTGAAAAAGAGAAAGCAGATTCGTGCACTTACTGATAAAGCTCTAAGTAGTCATATGCTAATATGATGAGGTAATTACAAAAAAGCAGTGCAGTTCGCTTTATAGTGTGAGGTGATCGGATTTTAACTGAATGGCGGAGTTTGGATAACGCAAACAGCTTGTAAACTCTGAATTCTTTCAGTTGGATGCAACACAATAACACAAGTACTACACCTCTTGGCAAATGGCATTGATATCAGCACCGGAGATTTTGTCTGGACGAGCCACATAATCCTCAAGATCGACTTCCTCACTTAGATTCATCTTGCTGGTGATGGTGGAGAAAATGAGGCGCTTTTGACGACGATCTGGGAGGGGGAATTCAATCTTTCGGTCCAGACGGCCAGGACGCAGAAGGGCTGGATCCAAGGTGTCAGCTCGATTCGTAGCCATTATGACCTAGGGGAATAGAGTTGGTAGTTTGACAATCGCAAAAGAACCTAGTCGCAAATCACCAAAAGAAACAAAATATCATGTAAGATTCGAATCAATTTAGACGTCATATATCCTCAATTAACTTACAAAAAGGATTGGTGTGGCATTTTATGGTAAATTCTCAATGTTTTTGAACTAAAGTTATCCATGGGGGGGGGGGGGAAGTTTAAACGTATGAGTGAGAAATCAAACAGCAGCTCACCTTGACATTAACGGCCTGATCAAACCCGTCCATTTGGTTAAGAAGTTCCAGAAGAATCCTCTGAACTTCTCTGTCAGCTAAAGGACAACGTAGAACCGTCATCAATTATGCTCAAGTCCAACAAGTCCGGTTCTGTCCGGCTGTTGATAATATTGAAGTCGACTTCTTAAAACTGGGCATGCAAACAGTAGGATTTGGAGAAACCGGTAAGCTAGGTTAACTGCACACATTTTAACGAGTTTCACAAACGATAGGTCTGTAAACAAAAAGCTAGAAATTAGTCAAAACAGCAACGAACACTGCGAAATTCGGTTTTTGCGCACGACAAATTTCTGCCAAACTCACCTCCAGTCTGAGCATCAAATCGTTTCGTTGCGATCGCGTCAATTTCATCAATGAAGATAATAGCAGGTGCATTCTCCTTCGCCAACCGAAAGACATCACGCACCATGCGAGGACCCTCACCAAGGTACTTTTGCACAAATTCTGACCCAACAACGCGGATGAATGCAGCGGTGGTGTGATGAGCAACAGCCTTGGCAAGCATAGTTTTCCCGCACCCGGGAGGACCGAACATTAGGACACCACGAGGTGGGTCAATTCCAATTTGTTTATAGAGGTCAAAGTGTGTCAATGGCAACTCGACTGCCTCGCGTACCTCTTGCTTCTGAAGATCCATTCCACCAATATCAGCATAAGAGACATCTGGTTTTTCGTCTACGGAATGTGAAAGATTTAAGCATAATAAATACAGAAGAACATATCCATTTGGTCCATCGAATAGATAAAATTATAAGGGATAGTGTCGTTTATTTGAGCTAAAAATGGCTAAAGGCACATGACTGTCCTAGAAGCAATGCATTAACTACAAAGTAATGAGATGACACAGACCTGCCTGCAGCATTGTGATACTGCTGTCAGCCTCAGGTGGAAGAACATCCACGAGTGCATTGCTGTGCTTGTGGAGAGCAACACTAGCACTTGGCTTAAGGAGTTCACGGTCAATTGTAGAAAGGATACGAACGTAATAGTTGGAGCCTGTTGTGGAACCAACAATGCCAGTGCTCTGATCCACAGCCTCCAAAAATTGACCAATCACTAAGGGGACACTTTTGATGCGCTTAACTTCCTCCTGGGCGTGCATATATTCTTTTTTGAGATTCTTTTGCTCGTCTTTAATGTAATCCTCTTGAACCTGGATAAACTCCAGCTGCTTCTTGAGGGACTATGAAAGTCGTGATAGAGCATATGTCAACGTACTTTAAGCTTTTGATACAGATCCTCATCATTAAGTCGAAGTGGATCTACAGGAGTGATTGGAGCAAAGTCGGGAACATCCACCTCTCCCTGCTCATGAGGATTCGGGGACAGACCAATCTCTTCCATTATTTAACAACTGAAAGAGTTGCCATCACCATTATGACATAAAAAAAGTGCACTATTATTACCAATCAAATAATGACTACTGGAAATAACAACGGCCTTAGTGATAATCTATAACTGCACCCAATAACAATTCTGAAGTGCTAGTAAAAGTAACACATAATTTATCTTCTATTTTGATGACAGAAAATCAGTCGATATTTATCCAAGCATACGAGACGGGTATTGCCATTAAAGAGGAGACATAAATAAAAAAACAGCATGCGCATAAGGAACTAACATATAGATGGCAACCTAGGAAAGCATTGGACATAAGTAAGACTCGCAAAGGGCCCACCCATAAAAGAAATACACAGATTCACAGTGATATAAAAAGGAAATTAGGATTATAAACGCCAGGCTACCTGATTTGACAATCAAAAAGCGACAGCAGAAAACGACTTACTTAACAATCAGCCTAAAATCCGCGCGAAGGGATGCGACTCGCTAAAAAATATGAAAGTGGAATTCTGATGTGTTACGTTAAACCATAATTTATGTTGCTTGCTTAAAAAGCCACAGTTTCCGTTAAGCATCTAGAAGGGTTGTGTACGATTATAACTGCATAACAAAAAATTTTTAGCAAATAAGTGTAGGCTACATCTAGTTCTATAATACTTAGATTTGAAAAGTCGCAGTGCCGCAAAAATCATCAGACGTAAGCAGATTTCTCCTGTGCTTTTTAAATTTGCGTATTTTTTGGCCAAAAATGAACATTAAGGCCTATTTTCGGATTCCAGTGCTTGCCACATTAGAAATGATTAATGCATTCCTAGTTCATTTTCATCTTAGAAGACGCGACATTTGTATGAACCCAATCTTTGCTAAAGACAAAGGAGGACATAACACTCGGTCAAAATATGCATTGTCGACATGCAGTAGGGCTTGGACCCACTGACATGACCTATAGGCCCACCTACCCGGCAAAGGACCAATGCCGGAGACGCTAGGTCCCCTCTTTACCAAAACCGAGAGTTAAGCAGCCACTGTATTACACAGCCACCACCCTCTTTTGAGCGTCGTCTCCAGTGCTTCCCTTGGTCAACCTCCGGTGTCAGACATCACAGTGTAATCACTACTGTCAGAAAAACAACCATGAGCCTACCGTACCGGTCATCGAATTCCCATGCGGCTGAGAAGGTACTCGACCACAACGTCACTGAATCCCTCTTGGCTATTCTACTGCATCTGCAATTTTGTCCCCTACAGCAACTGCATTCGGCGACCCGGCGATATGCTGGTCGTCACGCGCGTGTCCACCATTAGTGGTGGGAGCAATGGCCTCGAAGCAGAGTCAAATGACAAAGGATGAGATTTAGCATAGTTTTGTGTGGGTAGGATTTCGCGTCTGTTCCTCCTTGTCACGTAGTTTTGGCTTCATAGCTGCGCAGCCGCATCCATTTTGGCAGTATTCAGGTGGTGGGTAAGTGGAGGAGGAGGAGGCACCACGTGCTCAATTGACTGATATGCTCATGCAGGTGCAGTTGGAGACTCCGTGGTAGACTTGTGAAAGTGGTTCATGGGTAGTGTGAATGTGGTTGTTAATAGCTTTTGGGGATAAGAGGAGCCTGTGGTAATTGGCGATGACAGACGTCATTTTCAGCCCATCTGTTGGGAGTGGTTCAGATTCTCCCATCAGCAGCATGTTCACTTCTTCCACTTAACTAGGATTTACCATTCAGCGGTAGGAATTGGATGGTCGTCCTTTAAGACAGAAAATTGGAAGTGGAGTTAAGATTCGGTCAAAATGACGATTCTGTAACTAAAATGAGTTGCAAGTTTTTTTTCCCACCCCCCTTCCGAAAAAAACCATTTAATGAACTTAATGTATAGGGTTGTTTATGCGCTTTTTGCGATAAATTCGTTTGTTTTAATAAGGTCTGCACCTTTTTTATAGGTAAACTGAATAATGAAATGTTCGATGTGGCCTTAAATAGCCACTCCAAGTTTAATTACCTTGAAGCGTTGAACCCTCCACTTCGCAGTGCTTTCGGCTCTTAACATTTCCGAGTTTCGGAAAATCCACTTCTTTAATTTTATGAATCTGTTTGAAATACCCAACGTGCGCAAATGATCTCTACTTGTTTTCTAATAGCGCGTTTTTCCTACCGCAAAATAAACACGGAGTGAACTTGCCCATTTTGCATTTACATAGGCGAAATATGAGATTACTCACTATAATTACCAATGGAGATTTTCTAGTTCAGATAAAATTACTTATGTTGCTAATAACCGAAACCTTTTGAATTCAATGTGACAAAACAGACACAACAGTCTTGCACAAGTGCTGTCCTCATTCCTACCGAATGGAGAAAATACTTCAATTCTTATTGACTGCCTCGGGAAGTAAAAAGCCCCATCACACTGACATCCCATCATCCTCTTATTCGGCATAATCTCAGCAGTTGGCTTTAAAACCTTTTATCAGCAAACAAAATGTCGTTACTTCACCTACCATACATCCTACCCAACACCAGCTCTGACTCCATGTTTTTCCTGTACATGCGAGAAAAAACGTTGAGGAACTATCCACTTCAGGCCATTATGGATATCCACACCACAACCTCAGCACAAGTCCTGTACCATGAATTAAATGGATTAACTGACCCTCTCGGATTTTTATCATCGGCTCAAAGGCCTTCAAATGTTTTAAATGCATACGTTTCCTGCGCTCCGCCCACCATCTCAAGCAAATTGACAAACTCCGAAATTTACGCCTCGCACACTCCGAGGCACTTCATCAAGCGAAGCCAAGATTCACATGTCCTCCGATCAGGAAAGACACCAATACTGCCAGTTACTGAGGCACCGTCCACTTCTCAATCCTTTAAAACATAGGGCTACAGGTTTACTCAACGCCAGGATTAGGAGACCACAATTTGCAATTTCTGAGACGCAATGAAGCGAAGATGCTTCATCACACCGCCTGCATCTCAGGAGCTCAGCAAATCAGAAGTCTAGCGCGAAAATTTTAGTTTCTCCTTTTTGAATTTATTCTTGGGGAGAAGACAATGCATATCAGCGGTCGTAATCCTGGAAACCGACTGCATCGATCATGAAGCAAAGACTTGACGCTCTTATCCATTTACCATTGTTATTTTCCGTTCCATTACTTGCCCATGGAGAAAACATGACACTCCCAATGCCTGAGGAGGAATCAATTTTTGACCAGAGAAAACACGAAACCCGAGGTACTAAGCCAAAAAGCATGCGTATTCAATGAGAACTGGGAGAAGGCAGAAAGTTGAGGAGGCGCGGGACAATGGTTGACTCAAGATGGCCCTCAATACGACTGCGCAGCACCGAGGGTCCCAGAGCCTTCGAGAGTGTCTCCAAACACTCCTCCGCAGCCGCAATCGCAAGCGGTTGATTCGTCGATACCGCCCATGCAATCACCGGTAGCAAGAAGTCCAGGTTCCGCTTAAAGTCTGACTTCTGCTGCCCCTCGCAAAGTGCCTTTATCGTATAACAAGCTGTCGAGAAAAAAGGCAATTCAGACGCTTAGAGGTAGGCAGCACCTAAAGCTGTGAACATTGTGGGATTAGAAAGCATAGAAACGTACCAGTCTCGAGAAGGTAGGGATGGTGGGGATAGTGAGTGAGTGATGCTGCATTGACCATTTTTTCAAGAAGCCTATCAGTCACCTTCTGCGGTGCATATATGCCCATTTCACCTATGAGACGGATAGCTCCATCAGCTCTTTCCCATAATTGGCTTGGCCTTTGAAAAGTATCATCCATGCAGCAACCACTTCCGCCTAGAATACCAAAAAACGTGTTAAGTTAGGTCCATCAATTAAGTTGATACACCTGGATCACTAGCCTTTGTTGACCCTGGTAGCGAGAGAACCGCATGAATACATGACTTGATTGGTGTGCTTTGCGTCATGTGCCTCATTGCCCGAACGCACAACCACATTGGCACCGGGGCCGCGAGACATCGATACAGCACCCTTCGAGTCCACAGGCTGATCCACTATGTCATCCAGCTGCTTCTCCGCAAAATCCAAGTACATCTGCAAGACAGTTTATGAAGTTTCGATTAGCCACAATACTCAGAGGCAAGTCGAAGAAGAAAGGTATCCCAGGCAGACCTTCTCGAGCTCTGGATCGTTGGCTCCCTGAAGGACTTTAGCGATAGAGGCGGCGGCACCCTCTCGCACTGAGGGGATGCAATCAACAAGGTTGTGCAGGAAGCGCTCGGCCATGAGATCGGTATAACCAGCGGCGCGAGTCTCCGCAGGGAAGACCGAGACGAGGTTGCCCAGACCGATGCAAGCTGCGTCGCGAACTGGCCAACTCTGATCCTCGAAGCACATCGTCAGCGCCTCCAGTAGGCGATTTAGATGTGGCCGCAAGTGGTCGCGTGGTAGCTTGATACCTACCTCTGCCATGCATGCACAAGCTGCCTCACGAACCTGCGTTTGAAATACCGAAAAAACCGTAACAATGCTTCTCATCACATACGGAGCGAATAAGAGGCCAGACATTCTGCTGATTACAATCAAAAAAATTTTGAAAGTGGTCGTTAGAGTTTGTGAGGCAATCATACACTACAAAGTGGTGCACATCAACCTACAGAATCCCCCACTGGATCTGCAGATAGCACCGCATTGGCCACGCAATGAATAGTCAGTTGGTAGCATTAAGCAAGTCAAAAGTTGGTAAAAAGGGTTGTAGCTTACAACATGGTTTTCGCTCTTACTCTCCTCTACAAAGTAATCCAGAGTTGGCTCAAGAATGCCGGTAAGGATCTCACGACCACGACCACCAGTAACTTCGCACCAAGTCTGTTGGCTATAGACCTTAACACCCTCAGCCACGTAATAACGACTCAAGCACAGTGGTGGAAGCAGAATTGGATAAACGCGTTGATAACTTTGTCCCGGTGGTGGTGGTACTTGAAAAAGAAGACGAGTAGTTTTTAATGCAGCCATCCTCACCTATAGACGGGAAGATAGTTTAATAATGTTCAAATGAAAAAAGATAACCTGATAATAAACAACCACTTACTCGACTCCAGTTATCGCCTAGACCAGTTCTCAGCTGCTGAGCTACACGTATGTAGTCTGAAATATTGCCTTCTCCAGAACCTTCGCAACCCTGATTCTGTATAACAGTGCTCAAAACGTCATAACCAGTTTCGCGGACAAATCTATTGGTGTGGCTGACAGCCTTGAAAACTATTGTCAGAATATCGGGGTCACAGCACATCTTAAAACGTTCTGAACCCAAGCCACAAATACAAAAATGAAGACATTTCATCCAGGTTTCAAGGTTTTTCCAACCAGCTGTATCATGAAAGAGAGTGAGAGAGCTCTTGCTTAGGTTAGGATTAGTGTCCTACAGTAAATGCGAAGACATTAGGTATTTACTAAGACTGAGTGATAAACACAGCATCAATCCCTCACCATAACTAAATCCAGTTCCTTTTGAGCTTCTTCCTGCTCTTTGGCAGGGTTAAGCGGGTCACGATTTAAATTTTCCTCAATTCCTTCTTTGATTCTAGGAAGAAACCTCACAAAAACTTGAACACCGGCAAGGTTGCAAAGAACCCCCATCAGTTCACCCGCTGCAATACGAACCCGATATTCGTAATGTGAATCCATTTCGGGAAGTTTCTCGATCAACGCTTCCCTAAAGTTGTGGGCATCCAACAGAGTAGTCGGGACTTTCTCAAGCAAAATACGCGCAAAAGTACAGGCACCATATATCTAAAAAGCCCATTTAGATAAAAACTCATTATACGTCCTCCCACTCGTGCAAATTCTCTGACTTTTCCATGACCCAATCGACCAAATCTTTAATTTCATTAGCTTCAAACTCTCTTTCTCTCAAAGCTACTTCACCACGATCACGATCCAGTTTTTTGGATGCGCATAAGAGCTCAGCAAGTTCCAATACATCACTCTGTTCACCCTTCTATGAAAGTTGTTTTCTAATTATTTTAATCGTTACCATCTTCTGAACCGCGGCACCGCCGCAAAGTGACAGCCTTGAGAAACACAAAGTTGACTTCCCCGCTTAAAACCTTGTATGTTAGTAAGCACTTCTAGGTTTCGAAATAAATGCTTAGACTCGGTATTTCAAGCGCTTTTTACGAAGTAGTGGCTTTAACTAAATTAATTATAGCTGTATTATAGCCGGGTCTAGCCTTGTTGGACAAGTTATAATTATCACTGTCTTTCTGTCATATTCAACCTTTATCTTCACCGCCATGACCTCCATACAAATAAAACGAATAGACTGACCAGGTAAAAGCGTTTTTGCTGGTAATATTTAGAGCAGGGGACAGAGGCTAGTGATACGCACATCCGGATCTCTCCGCCGCCTGCGGGATTTTCGGCGACTTTCGCTATAGGGTTCGTGTTTACTGAACACTCCTCCCTAAACGATAAATACAAACAAACATATATTACACATTATATGCCGTTTTGAGTGTAATTGCACAGTAACTGAAAATCAGGCTAAAAATAGTATTTGATACATCGATTTTTAACTTTAGAATTGTTGGATCAAGCACGTCACGATCGAAATTAAATACATCTTTTTTTCATGCATCATACTGCGGCCGTTCATTTAAAAAATTATTGGCAATGATTTAAATAAATTTTCTAAACAACTATCGTAACTCATTGTATGTACAACTATAGTATTAAGCAGAACTTCAGCACTTTATACCCCGGTATGTTCAAAATTCCATACACTTTTTCACTTCCCTTCCACATTTTGATTGAAGCACTCATAGAAGTGGACACAAATTTTAATCGTGCAGCATAGCTGCGCATGCGAAGTGGATGGATTCAACTGATGGAGAAACCGTTATGGAGACAATGGAATAGTATAGCCTCAACTAAGACGTCTTTGTTGTTTTCGACGGTAGTGAAGTATCAGAAGATTTGGCACAATTGCATCCACTGGCCGATTTATGAGCCAATTCCTCCGTGTCCATTGAGCCACAAAGTGTAGTAGTTGGAGTTTCGGCTTGAGGAATGCTGGTGCTAGTACTAATCTTGCAAGTGCCTGCGTTGGGATTGTTACCCTCGTGGCGTCCGTGACTTCCATGTTTACTGACCCTGTGTATGGGACTGCTCTGTGGGTGATTCATGTAGGGGCAATACTGGGGCAGATTTTGACTCTCCGCATGACTGTTTACCAGCTTCAGTAGGCAGGGGTGCCCCCTGACGTAGTTTGGCCGACCGGATATTGCACCACTGCTAACAGTCATCTGTTGGGACCTGTGTAAATTGAAGCGTGCAACTGACTACCTTATAGAAGAAAACGTGCAAGGCCTATGTGCAATTAGATTTGGCTGCATAAAAGTATGATGACACGTTTAGCACTCGTGAAACAGTTCCAAAGATGTCTGAACATATTTGTTCCCGAAACCCCCTAGCTTCGTAGAGCTATGAGCATTGTTGAACCCTTGTTTTTCTATTACAGTAAATGAAAAGTGCTCCACGAATACAAATGCGGCGACTAACTGGGAATAAACATCATTGCTTAACACTACTGTTATGTGCATTACCAATGCGCTTTGATAACACTCGAATTACGATTATACAAACTTTGAACCTAAGCTCGTCAATCGGGTGCATTCGCAAAACGTCTCTTTACGAATTTGTTTTAGTAAAGCGCCTATCCAAGCGCATTTCAGTAAAATCCCCTCTGGCTTCAACCACATCTTCATTTACTGCATTCGTTAAGGAAACATATTCATGCCTGGCAGACACAAATAGAAGCTGTCCCGGGAGACTCAGTCTTTAACCAACTTCCTATTTGTTGATGAACAATCACATTAACATTTTGCAAGTCCTTACCTTATTTCACGCATTAAGTAGATGCGAATGTTTATGTAGAGTCATGATTTTTACGCGATCCTTCAGCTCTGTTCATTACAGGGTTGCTACGTACTTGCAATTTTTCAAATATTATTACGTTTGCAAATACAGTTTGGATTGCTGTATGTATACGACACTTCGGGGTGCATAAAAGGACAATAATAACAACAATAATACCTTTTATCCCTTCTAATCCGGCCCACATTCATCCAGGAACGTTTATACGTTTACAAGACACAACAGGTTTTTAAAATGTTGAAACTGAGACCCCGCTGGCCTTTCATGGTATAATTAATCTATTTGCTGATCCTATTCTTCGATAAGGGACTTACAAATCTTGGAGTGAAACTT